ACGTCCCCTCCCCTCCCCCCCCCCCCCTCCGTCCCCCTCCCCCTCCCCCGCCCCCACCCCTCGTCCCCCTCCCCGCCCCCACCCCCGCCCCCACCCCCTCTGTTCCACTCACTCAGCACCAACCCCTCAATAAAGCAGACTCACCTCTGCCACCACTTTCTGGAGGGATGTCTTCAGGCTATCCTTGTTGGACACATGCTCCATGTCCTCCCGCGGGAAGCTCTGTGTGACAGGGAAGGAAGGCTTTGTCTCGCGCTTCAACACTCAGCATAGAGAGCACTGATATTTTGGAACAGAATAGTTTGGAGAATCTGTTATGGCCACCACACCATACACCCCGCACCCCACACCACGCACACGGCACCCACATCACACATCCCACAAACCCCACAACCCACACCCTACAACACACACTCCGCACCCCGCACCCCATGCCACACACCCACACCCCACAACACACACCTTGCACCCCACACCCTGTACCCCAAACCCTGCAACCCACACCCCACACCACATGCCCCGCCACACATACCCCACACCCTGCACTCCATACCCCGCAACCCACACCCCGCATACTGCGCACCCCCCCACATCCTGTAACCCCCACACCACATTCCCCCGCATCCCCCATGCCCCACATTTCCGCACAGCCTCCGATCCACATCCCCCGCACACCGCACCCTCAACTACCCCCCCGCACCCCACACACCCACGCCCTGCATCCCCCGCATTCCGCACCCTGCACCCTGAACCCTGCACCCCGCACCATATCACTGACACTCAGGAAGCGCCCTGTTACACAGGGAGAGGTAGTGCTTGACAGCTTCAGAGCTCTCTGGGTGTAATGTTGTTCCCAAAGCTATGCATTGAATCTGTGGGATCGTTGGCTGGGAGGTGATGCTGATTTCTCGCGATTTATTGCAGACCTCTCATGAGATGGTGGTGCTGTGCTTTTCTCGGGTCATCGTTCACCCTCTGCACGGTAAGACCTGCTCCTATGTGGAGCATCTCAGCTCCTAACGTTGGGCAGGGGGTGTCACAAAGATATTCATGGTTTCAGTGTTTGCCCGGGGTGACCATCCAGGCACCTTACACACTGACTGAGGCACTGTACACTCTCTGGGGCACCATACACACTCACTACCATACACGCTATCCACTCACTACACACTCACTGGGACACATTACACATTCACTGTGGTACATTACACACCATACAGACTCACTAGGGCACTTTACAGACTCATTGGGGCACCTTGCACACTCACTGGGCATCATACACACTCAGTGGGGCACCTTACACACTCATTGGGGAATCTTACACTCTGACCAAGCACCTTGCACACTGAGACACTATACATACTTCCTGGGCACCTTACACACTCACTAATGCACTGCTGGTTAGTTCCCCTTACACACTTCCCATAAAATGAGGAGCTCCTTTTCCCCTTCCTTGCCTCCTTCAAGGCTCATCTAAAGACTTTCCTCTTCGACCGCACTTCTACCCCCACCCTCCCTGCCCTCCATCCCCGCTGATCCCAACACCCAGCTCAGGTCCAAATCTGTAACTGTTCAGCACCTTGGGATGTCCTCCCAACTAGAATGGCACTGTGTAATTTGTTGTTATTGTGGGGCTGTGTCTATGTTGTTGATTAACACCTGTGTTCAGTGGAATAATTGTGTTTCTCTTGCAGTGATTTCTGCACGTAGCATGGTTCAATTTGTTGGGCGAGAGACCAAGTACAGGTAAAAGCCCTTCCTCTCATGTCATTTACTGCTTGTGAATACACTATAAACATGTAGAGTTTCTGAGAAGTCATACATGATGGTGACAGGCCAGAGTAATATGTTGCTCTGCTTACCTGGCTTTCTGCAGAGAATTACAGCGTAATAATAATAATCCTTGCATTTGATACAGTGCCTTTTCCCGTCTTTGAGACATCTCAAAGCGCTTCATAGAATAGACTGTAAAGTGAATTGACTGTATGTTTTGTGGGCGAAACACGGCAACCAGTTGCATACAGCAGTGTCCCCACAAACCGTCGTGGATTAAGTGTCCAAATTATTATAATTTTTTTTGAAGAAACCCCTTCTCCAGTGAGATAGCCTCTCCTCTGATGAGATAGCCCCTCCTCTGGTGAATTATCCCCATCTCTGGTGAGATAACTCCTCCTCTGGTAAGGTAACCCTTCCTCTAATGGGATAGAAAGGAGTCCTGTAGCTCAGTGGTTAGAGCACTCGCTTTGCAAGTGAGAGACCTGAGTTCAATTCCAGGCAGAGGGCGAAACCTTGGGCAAGTTTCCTTACTCCACACAGAGCCTAATAATAATCCCTCCAAAACAAAACAATAATAAATTGGTCATTTTCAATCTACGACTGTTTGTGGGACATTGCGCTGCGCAATTGGCTGCCGCGTTCGCCCACAAATATACAGTCAATTCACTTTACAGTGTGTTCTGTGAAGCGCTTTGGGACGTCCTCCCGACGTGAAAAGCGCTATATCAAATGCAAGGATTATTATTATTATTATTATAGCCCCTCCTCTGGTGAGATAGCCCCTCCTCTGGTGAGATAGCCCCTCCTCTGGTGAGATAGCCCCTCCTCTGGTGAGATAGCCCCTCCTCTGGTGAGATAGCCCCTCCTCCGGTGAGATAGCCCCTCCTCTGGTGAGATAGCCACTCCCCCCCCCCCACCTGGCCTCTCCCGCTGGCATCCCATGTTGTATAAGTGGGCAGTTTACACCAATCCTGAGCCTCTCAACAGAGGTAAACAGAGGTGAGTGGAGTAAGGAAACTTGCCCAACATTTTGCCCTGCCCGAGAATCGAACCCAGGTCTCTCGCTCTCCCAAGGTTCTTGTGCCTGAGTTGGATTACTAGGGTACTTGTGTGCTGTCTGATCAGCTTCCTGTATCATGTAATCATCTTATCACCTTATCTTATAAGCGCCTTATAATGTCATAGAGACATCTCAAAGTACTTCACAGGATATATTGTAAAGTGAATTCATTATATATTTCACTGACTGAATGTGAGCGAAAATGGCAGGCATTTTGCGCACAGCAATGTCCCACAAACAGCCGTGGAGTGAGCAACTGATTTTATTTGGGGGATTGTTGGTCAGGACACCGGAAGAAACTGCCTCCTTTTTCCATTAGTGCCATGGGATCTTTAACATCCACCTGAATAGGCAGATACGACCTCGGTTTATAATAATAATAATTCTTGCATTTGATACAGCACCTTATCACTTCTTCGAGACGTCGCAAAGCGCTTCACAGGATACAGCCAATAGATTAATGTCTCATCTGAAGGACGGCACCTCCAATGATGCAATTCCCCCCCCCCCCACCCCGGGCTGCACTGGAGTGTCAGCTCAGACTATGTGATTCCAAGTCCCGACATGAGGCTTGAACTCACAACCTTCTGACTCAGAGGTGAGAGCACTACTGACTGAACCAGGCTGACACTCCTGACGTGAAAGAAGCAGTATCGAATGCAGTTACATCAAGAACCTCTCCCTTTCCTCTGGCACTATTCCCACCCCCTTACAAACAGCCATCATTACCCCCACCCTCACTTACACAAAGTATTTGCTACTCTATCTACCTCCGCTCGGCTGGCTCCTGCCTCCTGTTTATCCCTCGTCCCCTACGCTCCACTATCGATGGCTGTGCCTTCAACCACTACGGCCCAAAACTCTGGAAGTCTCGCCGTCAATCCTTCCGCCTTGCCCCCTCCCTCCTCACCTTCAGATCCCACCTAAAGATCTTCATTTTCGATCATGCTTACTGTCACCTCCCACCTCCCTCTCCCGGCTCGGAGTCAGACTACGCCACTGTCAAATGCTCCGAGACGCTACCCCTGAATGAAGGGCACTATATAAAAGCAAGTTGTTATTAGTACTATCCATTAGTGTAGCTTCTGTTGTTACAGTGTTCAGCTTCTGATGGGATGTGTCCATTTCTATGCAGCACTGTTTTCGCTTCCATTGGGAGAATCTTCAAAGAAGAAGGGATCCTCGGATTCTTCGGGTGAGTTATAATAATAATCCTTGTATTCGATATAGTGCCCTATCATATCCTCGAGACGGCTCAAAGAGCTTCACAGAATATATAATAAAGTGATTTAACTGAATATTTTGTGGGCGAATCGTGGCAACCAATTGCACACAGCAGCATCCCACAAACAGTCGTGGATTGAAGTGACCAATTTTTTTTAGTTTAGTTAGAACACATAGTTCTCCAAGGGTGTGGACTATAGCTTTTACTCAAATTATTACTGGTTTGAATTCCTCGTCTTTTCCTCCCCCCATTCCTTTAACATCCCATTGCCTCACCCAGCCAGTAAAGACCCTCAGTGCAGTAAAACAATATAGGGATCAATGGACCTGCGTGGAACTGGTCAACACCTTCTTTCTCCTTACAAGAAAACAAGGCAACACAAGGAATGTTGCCTCCCCGGCCTGAGTTGCCGTCATTCCCATCACTTAGCCTTGGGATGTCCTCCCGACGTAAAAGCCGCTATACAAATTGAATTTTGCCAATTACAGTAAAAACAAACTCACATAAGTGATCTGTATAAATCATATAATCGTCTAAGTCATATATCTGCCCAAGTCCAGTTCAAGAGTTTATATTCTATGCAAGTTTGTCATAACTCATATTTTGTATAAGTCATATTAAATATAGAGTCCCAACTGATATGGCTTATGTGAGGTTTACTGTACTTTTAATGCCTCTTTTAAATGCCCCTAATCTTAATACAATATAATCGAATATAATTCATCCCTGCATTCCTATCACTTGCACCCCTGTGAAGTCTCTCTCTGAGCTCTTTCTTTTCTTATGTAATAATCCCTGCATTTGATACAGTGCCTTATCATGTCTTCCAGATGTCTCAAAGCACTTCACAGAATATTCTGTAAAGTGAATTGACTGTATATTTTGTGGGCGAAACTCGGCAGCCAATTGTGCACAGCAGCGTCCCACAGACAGTCATGGATTGAAGTGACCAAATCATTCTTATTTTTTTTGAGGGATTATTACCCCCAGAAAAGCGATCAGCCAAACGACTAACAACCAGGTTCCTGCTTACTGCTGGGTAAACTAAGGCATGTGGAGTAAGGAAACTTGCCCAATGTTTTACCCCACCGGGAATTGAACCAAGGTCCTCTCGCTCTCCAAAGGTTCTTGTGCCTGAGTTGAATTGCTGGGGTATTTGTGTGCTGTCGTGTGAATGATGATCATCTTATTGCTGAAGGTCTTATCAATCCTTTGTTCTCTCTATGTTCTCAGGGGATTAATTCCATATCTACTGAGTGATGTTGTTTTCTTGTGGTCCTGCAACCTCCTGTCACACCTGATTAACACCTATGTAGTGGATGATAATGTAAGTTTTGTGTCTCATCTCTTCGGCTTAGTGATAGTGGAGTCCTGTAGCTCAGTGGTAAGAGCACTCACCTTGCAAGTGAGACACCTGGGTTCAATTCCAGGCAGGGCGAAATCTTGGGCAAGTTTCCTTCCTCCATACACCTGATAATAATCCCTCCAAAATACAAAAACAATAATAAATTGGTCACTTCAATCCATGACTGTTTGTGGGACGCTGCTGTGCGCAATTGGCTGCCGTGTTTCACCCACAAATATACAGTCAATTCACTTTACAGTCTATTCAGTGAGAAAGAAGACGTGAAATATCAAGTTCAAGGATTATTATTCAGTGCCTTGGGACGTCCTCCCGATGTGAAAGATGCGATACAAATGTAAGCTTGTTGTTGTTGTTGTCGTGCAGCAGGTCCCTGCCCCCAGGCTTGTACTCCCTATCCCCAAACTCACGAAAACACGAGTGAAGCTCCTCACCTGGTCCATTCTAGTGAAGACACTGACCAGAAGGAGCCACATGTATCTAGAGTGGACCTTTGTGCTTTAGTTGTGTCTGTGCTTCAAGGAAGCCTGGGATCTGGCTATTTCCCTCTGGAAGAGCCAAAAGGCACACTCACCAACAGTAACAATAAATTACATTTACACAGCGCCTTTCATGTTGGGAGGATGTCTCAAGGCGGTGGACAGTCAGGGATTTTGACCCGAGCAGGGGATCGGGATTAGGAGGGGTGGAAAGCCGGGAGGATAGGGGTAGGACACTGACCGAAAACACGGTCGAAGATGTAGGTGTCTTGAGACGTGCCGTAAAACAGGCAAGGGAGTGAGCACATGAATGGGGCAGAGAGGCTGAAGGCGCGACCGTCAATGGTGAGGCGGACTGGGCGGGGACTCGGAGTAGGCAGAGGGGAGGGAGTGGATAGGTTCTCCCTCCACTCGGCAAGTAAGAGTGAGATTCAACTTGCCTGTGTCTACTTCAAATCAGCAATACCTTTCTTGAAACATTGCTGGTGTACAGAGTTGATCTCTTCTTTGAGTACTGTGAGGCCTTTATTTACAGAGATTAGACTGTTTTCATTGGAAGAGTGGTTAAGGATGAAACTATGGAAATCTTCACAGTTGTGTGAGAGCTTGGGAGGATATGTTGGGAACAATTATTACTGATTTTGATTGATGAAGAATAAAATAATCCTTACATTTGATGTAGAGCCTTTCACGTCGCGAGGATGTCTCAAAGCGCTTCAAGATACATTGTAAAGTAAAGGCTGTATATTTTGTGGGCGAAACCCGGCAGCCAATTGTGCACAGCAGTGTCCCTACATAAACTCCCTGCTTGTCGGCCTCCCCAACTCCTCCCTCCACAGGCTGCAGATCATCCAGAACTCTGCAGACCATGTCCTCTCCCGTACCAGGCTTCGTGACCCTATCACCCCCATCCTCGCCCGACTCCACTGGCTTCCCATCAAACAGAGGATACAGTTCAAGATCCTGGTCCTCACTTTCAAAGCCCTCCATGGTCTTGCTCCCCCCCTACCTCTCCGACCTCCTAACCCTCTTTCAATCTTCCCGCTCCTTCCACTCAGCGGGCTCCAGCCTGCTTCACGACCCCATCTCGCGCGTCTCACTATTGGCGGGCGGACCTTCTGCCATTCTGCCCCCACCCTCTGGAACTCCATCCCGCAGTCCCTCCGCCTCGCCCCCTCCCTCGCCACCTTCAAGACTCGTTCTCTTCGACCGTGCCTTTGATCTCCCTCCCTCCCTGCTCTCCAACCTCCCCGATCCCAAGCCTCAGCTCGGGTCCAAAACACTAACTTTCCAGCTCCTTGGGATGTCCTCCCGACATGAAAGGCACTGCATACACAAATGTAATTTTTGTTGTTTGTTGCTGTCCCACAAACCGTCATACTCAAACACGACAGCCAATTGTCATTATCACCCCACAAGCAGCATTTAAAGAGAATTAGTTGAATAAATGAAGAGAAATAATATGAAATGATGAGGGGAGAGAACAAGATACCAGACTCAGAGAGGTTAACTCCAGTGGTGGAGCTCATCACATAGGCGCGATGAGCCGAGTAGCTTCCATCTGTACTACATTGTCTATGATTCTGTTCCTCTCTCTTTTCCTGCAGTTCAGCCATGCAGCTGCTATCAGAAGCTACACTAAATTTGTTATGGGGGTGAGTACAGTCTGGCCTACATTGACTGCTGACCAGAGAGAGAGAATGGAATGCATGTCTCTTTGTGTGTGTGTGGGGGGGGGGGGTCAGTCCATCCACCTTTGGCCTTTCTAACTCTCACACTTTGACTGTCCCACTTTCCATCTCAATGAATATGGCTTTACAATTTTCTCTTGTTCTCGTTCTACACATCTCCCTGCTTTCTACCTCTCTCTCATTCACTTGCTCATTCGCTCTCTTTTTCATTTCATCAGATGCACGTTTAGTATTGTTTTGGTGTGACTGTTCACATCACTGACTTAGCTTGAAATTGATGGAGAAACATGATCACAGATTGCTGTCACTGCACATCAGAAACATCCAGTGTCCAAAGCACAAATATAGTCTAAACAGAACCCAGTGACTCACTCACTGTGGCTTTGTGTCTGATGATAGGGATGAGCCAAGGGGGAAAAGATTTTCTAAGATTGGAAATTCTTACAGTGTTCACTCTGTGAGGCTATTTCCACTGTCTGCATGGAGTAACTACAACAACCGCTATTTGTGTGGAAAAACAAACACAACATGCTGATTGGGAGAGTGTTGGAGATAGTACAGTATCTAAGTCGTATTAGTTGGGACCAGACATTTAATATGACTTATGCAAAGTATGAGTTATGTCAAACTTGCATAGACTAGAAACTCTTGAACGGGACTTGGATAGATGTATAACTTAGACGATTATACGATTTATACTCGATTTATAAAATGTTCTCTCGACTTTTCTCCATCCCTCAGAGGTTTGAATTCAAGATCCTCATCCTCACGTGCAAGGCCATCCATGCCTTGCCCCCACCTACCTCTCTGACCTGCTAACTCCCTACCAACCTGCCCGTTCATCAGGCTCCAGCCTGCTCCATGTCTCCCTCCCGACCCGCCCTACCATCGGTGGCCGGGCTTTCAGCCTCTCTGCCCCCACACTCTGGAACTCCATCCCACGGTCCCTTCGCCTCGCTTCCTCCCTTGCCTCCTTCAAGGCCGGTATCAAGACCCTCCTCTTTGATCGTGCCCTCCCACCTCTGCCTTCCCTCACCCCTACCCCACCCCTCCCCATGCTCGGGTCCTGACCACTGATTGTCCAGCACCTTGAGACATCCTCCCGATGTGAAAGCCTCCCGTCAACATCTACTATCCTGTGGTTCTGACCTCCTCAACCTCCCCAGCCTATCCCTCAAACTCAACTAGTGCGTAACCCAAGCTTCAGGTTCGACCCACAGCTGTCCTTCCTTCCTCACATCCAGTCCCTGACCAGGACCACTTCCTCCACCTCCGCCATATTGCCTGCCTCTTACTGAATGTTGCTCAAACACTCGTCCAAGCGTTCGTCACCTCCCAACTGCACTTCTCAAATCCCCTCTTTGCCGGTCTCCCCAGCTCTACCATGTACAGGATCCAACTGATCCCAAACTCCTCCGCCTGCATACTCACCCACACTAAACTCCATACCCCATCACACCAGCTCTAGCCGGACTCCACTGGCTTCCTATCAAAGAAAGGGGCAATTTCAAGATCCTCACACTCGTTTTCAAACTCCGTTCAAACTCTGGCACCTCCCTACCTCTCCAACCTGCTCATCCCCCAACCCACAACCTACTGCCTTCGCTCGGCTGGCTCCAGCCTCCTGCATATCCCATGTGCCCTCTATTCCACCATTGGTGGCTGCACTTTCAGCCACTATGTCCCAAAACTCTGGAACACACTTCCTCTATCCCTCCACCTTGCCCCTTCCTTCACCATCTTCAGGTCGCGCCTAAAGACCTTCCGATTTGACTGTGCCTATGGTCACCTCCCCCTCCTCCCGGCTCGGCATCATGCTCTACCACAGTCAAGTGCTCTGGGGACTCTAGGCTGCGTGAGGGGCGCGATATAAATGCATGGTTTTGTTGTATACAGATCAGACTTATTCAAGTTTTACTGTAATTGCTTAACAACAAGAAGAACAAATTACATTTGTATAGCACCTTTCACGCCAGTAGGACAACCCAAGGCTAAGTGATGGGAATGACAGCAGCTCAAGCTAAGGAGGCAACAAGCCTTGTCTTGCTTTGTTTTCTAGTGATGAGAAAGAAGGCGTTGAATAGTTCCACATGCCCAATAATCCCTTTATTGTTTTTCTGACTGCAGATTGCTGTGAGCATCGTGACCTACCCCTTCCTATTAGCAGCAGATCTCATGGCCGTCAACAATTGTGGGTGAGTGGAGTGGAGGATGTACACTGCAGAGCCAGTGAGATAAATAAATACTGTAACCCAATGCATAGGCAATGTGTAAAAATGTATGGAAACCAGCCTCTAATTCATTCACTCACATCTCCCTTATTCCACCTCTTTCTCTCTTGCATACACTGCCTCACACTCTCTCTTTCACTCTCACACAGACTCTTTCACCACACTTTGTAATGAGGCTCAGTTTGGGAAAAAACGATGAGGGGAAATTTGTAATGTCAATACCAACCATTTGGTTGTGTTTATTTTCCAGCTTGGCTGCAGGCCTTCCTCCTTATTCACCTGTCTATAAATCCTGGATTCATTGCTGGGAGCAGCTCAGAACAGAGGTACGAGATAGCAGCCACATTTATGGCCTGTGCTGCACTCTGGTAGTGGGAAACATGGTCCTGGCTTGTGTTTGGCAGTGAATGTTGGAATCGAGCCAGCCCTCTGTGACGGTTTCTAGTCCAGTTCCTGAGCCAGGTGTTTCCGCAGGACTCCAAAGCACTAATGGTGACAACACAGCCCAGCCTGGTTTATCAGCAGGACTTGAAGGGCAGACCAGTCCCTGGGGAGGGAGGCATCCCACTCAGCTCCTGTTAATCCTGCAAGCCAAAGCCCTAATGGGTAGGATGGTCCTAGCTGGACAAGCAGCAAGAAAGCTTGTCAGGCAGTCTCCCAGAGCTCTACCGGGTCATTTCTTTTTCCTCCAACATTGTTAAAACTGAAGCCATCCAATGGCTTCCATCAGCGCCTCAATCGCTATCAGCTAACCTCAAGCTGGCCGCTCCCGCTCATCAAGGTAGTGAACATGTCCGCTCTCTCAAACCCTATAGCCGGGCCCATCTACTTCTGTAGCACACCGCTTCCCTCTCTCTCTGTTACTAACCGTAAGTTACGCCTTCATCACCTCGAGATTGGATTTCTCAAACACTGTGCTCACTGGTTTCTTACAAGCTCAGCTCAGTCTGTACAATCTCTTTGACCAGGCTCCACGTAGCCATTAACCCCATCCACGTCCCCAGTGAATCAGCCTGCCAGACAGCGCTCTCAATGGCAAGATATTCAGTTTAACTGGTTAAACTCCCATCAATTATCCCAGCGCACACTCTGGAATCCCCAACCTATGGCTCTTGCAACCTGTACATAATATTCACCGGAATTAGATAAGCAGGGTGCATCCCTCTGGGACAGAGGCGTCAAAGTGTGCATTGCATTCCAGACACACATATATTTCCCTGTGTAGGTGACGTACATTGGTTGAACTCTTAGTCTGGTTTGAAAATTCTTACTCCCCCGCGCTCTCCCCACAGCCCTGATCAACCCCACTCCCTCACTCTCTCCCCACAGCCCTGATCAACCCCACTCCCTCACTCTCTCCCCACAGCCCTGATCAACCCCACTCCCTCACTCTCTCCCTATAGCCCTGATCAACCCCACTCCCCGCGCTCTCCCCATAGCCCTGATCAACCCCACTCCCCCGCTCTCTCCCCATAGCCCTGATCAACCCCACTCCCCCGCTCTCTCCCCATAGCCCCAATCAACCCCACTCCCCCACTCTCCCCCCATAGTCCTGATCAACCCCACTCCCCCGCTCTCTCCCCATAGCCCTGATCAACCCCACTCCCCCGCTCTCTCCCCATAGCCCTGATCAACCCCACTCCCCCGCGCTCTCCCCATAGCCCTGCAAACTTGTCCTCCCCAAATAATGATCTACTTCTCTCTTAAAAGTTATCAAATCAGCTTCCATCAGCCTTTCAGGCTTAGTGTTCCACTCTGTCCCTATAATACAGAGTTGCTGTCCTATATCAAGTGTACTATCTGAAAGCAAATTGTGGTTTACTGAGTAAGTTTAGGAGCATTGATTGGTTTCACATTTCACTCCTGCATTAATATATAACCAGCTGTTGATGTATTCCATCCCCAGGGACAGCTGTTCCGAGGATCCAGCCTATTCTTCCGCAGGATGACTATGGTGAAAGTTGCGGCCAAATGAAATCTGCAAACGCATCATACCTCACTCCAGTGGACAAGAGAAGAGAACCTCCCCCTCCCCGTTTGTTTACAAGTAAATAATTTTCATAGGAACATTGTAGTGAGCTAAACATGAAGCTGCGTTACTCACTGTGTGCTGCTGTGCTCACTGCTGTATAAGGGTCTTTGCCCAACGTTCAGTCTGTGCTGCACGGAGAGGTTCGGCTGACAGTGCACATCTGTAAATCTCATGCTAGTGTAAAACATTGTGTCATTTGTTCACATTCGGTGGGCACTCCTGACGTACACCTGTTTGTGTGTTTCTGTTTGTACACTTCATCGCTGGTTGTGGTAGTTTAACCACTCACTGTGACAGTAGAATCCTGCCCCTGATCTATGGCTTTCAATCCAGCCCAGGCAAAGACAATAGAGGTGCTGAGCTGTCTGGAAGTGGCTGGAATTGTACACCATCATTTTGCCTGTAACCTGCCACCAAACTGAAATGTTAGTTCTCAGGTTTAGAACCGGCACACTATTGCAGTGGAGTACTGTAGGGTTTGGCTGGGGTGGAGTCAGCTCTGGATTCATTGCAGGGAGCTCTGAGCTGCTCTGCAACCTGATGCTGAATTGCTCAATATGACACTGAGACCAAGAGAAAAACTTAATGTAATCCTTCCCCACATTGTTATCTCCCATTACAGGCAAATCCACTGCACTAATGCACTAGTACATCAGTGTGTTTCTCATTGCCAAGCCTGGGCTTCTGCCCAATAATCCAGGAGATTCCAACTGCAGCGCAACTGTCACCAAAGTGCCATCCCGAGCAGTGGGCTGTGGTTCCTGGCTACTGTCCTTTATATTATCTAGTGTTGGTGTCCTATTCACACAGGTGATGTTATATATAATGTGTAAAACTCATTACAGGACTTGTCTGCAGCACAGCACAGACTGAGTAGCCTCTCGCACAGTCTGGCTACAGCTCCTCAGTTTTCAGCCGACCCAAGTGACCTTTGAGCTCCATGAATGTGCAACGTGCGTGAATCCTTTTGACAGAGTCCTGTGCTCACCATCCTGCCAGCCAAGTGTGACGTGGCCCCTATAACAGGAACAGGCAGCTCCTGCTACCAAACTGGCTGTGCTGGGCCCTACCCTACACTGGCACAAACCTTGATTTCTCCTCTGCTTTTATCTTTCCTAAAATATTTTAAGTGTCTTTGCCAGGTTCTAGGCTGCCCTTTTGTTATGTATTCCTGTGGGTGGCATTATGTTAACAGTTACTGCCGCCTATCGCACAGAACACCCCTGGCCTCCAGTGGCCTGGCAGGGAGCTGGCTTTATTCAGTGCTGTAAATTGTACAGTTTTAAACGGCTCCTCACAACCCCCCCAGGTCTGTCCCAGCGGCACTCAGACAGAATCACCTTAATTCAGAGCGTTCCTAGGCACTGGGTTCAGGCTCCCCATCACCGAGTCTCTCCTGAGTTGGCTTTGGGATCTGGCAGCTCGACGAGAAAGAAATCACACGAATTATCAAGTGGTTTCTTTCAAATGCACATTTGCTAGTGATTTGAAGAAAGGTACTGGTTTTCAAACATCCCAATGTCACACGCGACGTGGCCCCTGTAACACATACAGGCAGCTCCTGGGTCCCACTCAATGCACCCCCCCCCCATCCCTCCCCACCACACACATCCTCACACCCACACACCCCCAGTGCTGCAAAGGGAGAAAGCTCCTCAGTTTCTCATCCCTCTTCTTTCCTAAACCTCAATGCTGGCAGCTGTGCTGAGCCTCATCCCATGCAGTAACTTTTAATTATTATTACTTTCACCCACAAAATACACTGTCTCTCCACGTTACTCTATATTTTATGAATCGCTTTGATGACATGATGATGACATACTATATCAAATGCAAAGATTATTATTATTGTGTTATGAAATGCTGGTGAAGTGAGAAATAACCATAATGAAAGGCATGATAGGACCAACGCATCTGTTTAGTGACAAATAAGCTTACGGCCAAATAAGTTAACAGCGTCTGGAGTTTTACACATTATTATCAGACTATTGATTTGCTGACTTTCACAGAAGGCAGAGGCACATCGGAGAGATTCAATGTGTAAACTTGTTAAATATTTCTGTCTAACCGACCAATTAAAGCCCTGCTGCTTTCTTTTAAGTGCCCTGTAGTAAAAGTAAGAAGTGCAGAAACGTCAAGGTTTTTGTGGAAAATAGGTTGGGTGTACTGCTCACTTCCCTCTCTCCCCTTCCTCTCTCCCTCTCTCCCCACCATCTCCCCTCCATCTCTCTCTCTCTCTGTCTCCCTCTCTCCGACACCCTCTTTCCCTCTCCCTCTCCCTCTCTCCCTCATTCATCCTCTCACCAAATTTTACTGATGTTTGAACATTAATGTTTTCTCCCTAGTAATTCATTAATATTTCAGTGGCTGTGTGTGTGTACGGCATGTGTGGATTTCTGCTGTGATCTAAGTGGTGTGTAAAAGTGATTGAGTGATCCAGCTCCATTCTGCTCGACTGCTTGTTCAGTTAGGACCACACTACCTGTTAGGGCTGTGCCTTGAAGAGTTAACAGGAGCTGAGTGGGATGAATCCCTGCCCAGTGACTGGTCAGCCCTTCCAAGTCCTGCTGATGAGCCAGGGTGGGCTGTGCTGTCATTATCAGTACCTGGAATACTGAGGACCCGCCTGGCTCAGGAACCGGACGAGAGACCATCACAGAAGGCTGACTCGATTCTGACATTCCGTTGCCAAACATATCACCTTGAAGCCAGTTCAGCTGCAAGGAGACCCCGGTTGCCTCTGCTCCCACCATTTGGCTCACTCCGCAGGAGCCAGCCACTGTAATAATATGGAGAAGCCAAATTATATCCTTGTGGATATTGTTTCAGGTGTGAGAGCTGCTGAGTCTCCTTGCTGCTGGATATGAAGAGATGATTATTTTCACCATCTCCACAATGCTGGCTTGATTTTGCCACTGACTTCTCCTCCCATTGAGGAAGTGTTAAACCCGCTCAGACCTCAGTGCATGGCTGCCGCTCTTCTTATGCATGTCCTGTATGCATTTGTCCTGGTGAATTGCTTTGTGTTGTATTCAGTGACTCCAGTCCTCATGTAGATTCCAGGTACACCTTTATTCTCAATAAAAAAGTTGTCCAACTAATCTTTTATTTTCTTTGTAAAGCTGCCGGGTGGAGTTAGCTAGAATCTGGGTTTACAATCCAGCTTGTGCTAAGCAACTCAACATAGGAACTGGAGACCATACAGCAAATGAGCCTGTTGTGCTAGTTTATTAAAATACTAGCGGCAATTGTTTTAAGCCCATTTCCCCACCTTTTCTCCATATCCCTTAATAACCTGACTTCCCAAATGTCTCTCCCTTTCAAACACTGCTGTGCGCAATTGGCTGCTGCATTTTGCCCACAAATATAGTCAATTCACTTTACGGTATATTCTGTGAAGCGCTTTGAGATGCCTCGAAGATGTGTTTTGAGTCGTCTCAAAGTTGTGAAAAGCGCTATATCAATGCAAGGATTATTATTATTTATTATCGCAGACACAATGGTGTCTCCTCTGTGCTGTATAATTGCCTTCATAGAATCCGAGAATATTACAGCACAGAAGGAGGCCATTCGGCCCATCATGCCTGTGCTGGATCAGTCCCACTCCCCCGCTTTTTCCCCATATCCTTGCAAGTTTTTCCTTTTCAAGTACCTATCCAATTCCCTTTTGAAAGTTGTTGTTGAATCTGTTTCCACCCTTTCAGGCCGTGCATTCCAGACTCAAGGGAAGTTTGTGTGAAGAAATGGTTTCTGATCTCACATCAACCCGGTTTAGCTCTAATTTTAAATTTATATAAAAATAATAATATCCTTGCCTTATCACTCATTTGAGAGGTCTCAAAGCGCTTCACAGAATATACTGCAAAATGAATTGACTATATTTTGTGGATGAAACGCAGGAAATAATTGCACACAGCAGTGACCCACAAACAGTCTTGCATTGAGTGACCACATTTTTTGGGGGTAGTTACCTAAAATACAAACAAGTAAACTTGACAAGCATTTCTATGATGTGCTTAGACATGTTTTGACATTATAAGAAGGCAAATATATTCACTTTGCTCTCTGCTATTAGTTGGAAGACCGATCAAAAATCGAACTTGATTCCCTTTAGTGTTTGAGTGAATCAATCAATATAAGATAGTTCTGAGGGGTTGGCATGAAATATAAAGGTGCCATAATTCTCCATGACATTGGATCTGACTCACTCTGCACCTAACCACTGACACGAATGCTGGGTCCTCAAATCATCACTTGCGATACAATGTGCAGATATTGCAGTGTAATTTGGGGTTCTGTACAGGTATTTCTGAAGAGATTGCTTGATAAGAAATGTAAACATACAGTATCTCATTTTTTAGAGCCATAAAAATTTACAGCACAGAAGCAGGCCATGTGGCCTGTTGTGTCTGTGCTGACTGTAAATACCTACAAACCATTATCTCTTGATTTCAACTATGCTTTCCCCAACCCCAGCCCCAGTTCACATTCCCACTCAGCGTGGCTGTGAAGCATTTTGAATCAATCTCCTGATGTGAAAGGTATTCGTTAAATATAATTTGTTAGTTATACTTACACTGTATGTACTAGCCCGGTGCTGGGAGAAGCACAGTAGATCAAAGAGGTATCATTCTTTCAATTAAACATTGCTCTGAGATCCAGTTATCGTATCCAATGGATGTTAAAGATCTGATGACGTTATTCAAATAGAGAAGTGAATTAGTCATTCATCTATTGGCTGATTGTCGGACACAGTTCTGCATAAGTTAGCTGCTGCATCTGCCCTATAAACCATTACACTTTAAAGCAATTCCCTATGAAAGACATTGAGATAATTCATTGTTGCTCTGTACATTTCTGATGCAGAAGAAGTCGGGAATTGATTCGAGTGTGAGAGGGAGCTCAGTGCTGGGACTGATTCACGAGAGAGACGGTTCCCGTGCGCGTGTTCATCCCAGAGGTTCTCTCTGTGAACTTGTCACAATTTCCTGTGGAGTAGCTGGTGTTTGTATGCAGGGGAAACAACCACAACAAAATGACATTTGTACAGCACCTTTCACGTCAGGAGGACGGAAAAGGTGAAAGAAAAATTGTTCTTTTTCAAAACATGCGAGCGATGGGCTTTTGCAACATTCCGATTAACTTAGCGGATTGTTTACTGCACTGAGATGGTCCAGACTAATAATGGATGGCATTCAGACACAGCTCTCGAGTGTGGCAGCAGAGCTAAAGGTTTCTGGCACGGTTCCCTGGGAGTGATGGGAGGCTTGAACAGGGAAGGGGGGGGGGGAGGGGCGCTTTGCCACCATCAGTCAGGTTTCTCCTCTGTGTACGAATCACGCCCTGTTCACCATGTGGAAAGTCTGCAGGAATCTCTTCCCTGGGACTGACTGAATCTCCGCTCGCTGTCGCTGGGCCAGCCACAATGCTGCCAGTTATCGCGCTCAGACGCTGCCTTAAAACCAGCTTTTGACTCCGTGCCAAGGTCACTTGAGGCGAAAGGAGCCAAAATACTCAGCAGCTGTTTTCTGCAGCCGGGCAGGATCAAGCACAACCTCCGTTCGTCCGTGTGGCCGGGGTGGGTTTGCAATTTTTTTTAATTGATACCTGGATATTTTAATTTTTAATTAAAAAAATGCTTTTATATATATTTATTTTTTAAAAATCAACGTTTTTTAAAAAAACCTTTGTCAGCAAACTGCAGCCGGAGGAGTGACGTCAAGGCTGCTGGGCTGTCCGGGCAGAGTGCCTGAAAAAGAGTGGAGACAAAAAGCTGGCACCGACCGAGCGGTGTGTGTGCTGTTCGTGCGTGTTCTGCAGGGAGCGTCCTACAGAGTGAGCAGCTCGTTCCAAAAATTAATTGTCTCTTATTTTATACAAAAAAAAGGGGGGGAGAGAGACAGAATCCTCGCTCGTGTTTGGGGGCCTTCCTATCCGGATCAGCTGCCGTTCCAGACGTGATTTGGCAGCAAAACTGCTTCTTTTTCTGAGCGAGAACGACAGACACAATCCCCCCACTTCCACTTCGCAGTAACCGATTGATAAAGCTAACATTTGCTTCAATTTCTCCTGGAGTGTGAGAAGCATCAGGTGCAGCCGTGGGGTTTCCTGAACAGACCCCACCTGCAGCAGTAAGGCCTCAGCCGCTGCTCTCCAAGGGCCTTCTTTGCCTATCGGAATGGGAACCAGGGGCTATCCTGCGTGCGTGTGTGTGCAAACAGCCGGGGCCGAGCAGTGCCGGCCCTGTGAAAGATCGGGAGAGAGAGAGAGAGAGAAGAGAGAGAGAGTTCAAGAGGGAGATGGTGAGCTATGCCCTGGGACGGCTGCCAACTCCAGACAAAAGGCTGAGAGAGAGAGAGAGAGAGAGAGAGAGAAAAAAAGAGCGGAGACACTGGGAGGATTTCTGCTTTAAGTGTCTGGCGAACTGACGACAGAATAAAAGTTACAAACTGTGGAAGGACAGTGCCTCGTGCAGGTGTAGCTTTAAGATCTGTTCAAATAGCTGAAATTGTGCAAACTCCCTTTAACCGTGTTTAACCCCACAGGGCCTCGCTGGGGGGGTTAGACCAGGCCTGAGTGTAAAGGTGCAGCAGATAATGCGCTATTAATTGATTTGCCGACACTCCCTATTTAGTAATTCAGCTCCCAGCTCAATTCTCACTTCCCTCTGCCAGTTTTCTCTGTTGTGGCCAGACAAGGGCATGGACGAGGGGTAGGCAGAGAGAACGGAGGAGCATCGACGAGGAAGAGCCCACCCGCCCAGGGCAGTGAGTGTCTGTGGCTCCGCTCCGTCAGCGAGCTGGTGCCCACCCGCCCACACTGCTCTCTTCTGCCACTAAGTAAGTGATTGTCTTTTCACTGTTCTCTCTTGCGAGTGTTATTGCTGTGGTTTTCCTGCATGGAATGCCAGCCTGTGGGCAGCAACACAAAACAAGCAGATTGTGTGAATAATCACAGAGCTCTGCTGTGAATTTTGAACCATTTCTTTTCTATATTTACATTTGTCTCTGATGGAGTTAAAAAAANGTCATCCTAAATAACAAATAATCCTGGTGTTTGGCGGTACCGCGCCATCATGTCAGCATGTTTCAAAACACTTCACAGGAAATTGATGTCAAGTGTAGTGACTGTGTAATTGTAGGAAAATGTGGCAGGCAGTATAGTGCACAGCAAAGTGATCCACTAAGTCATGAAGTGAATGATCAATTTATCCGGGTAATGGATGGCCAGGACACCGGGATAAACTGTGCTCTTTTCCCAAAGTGTTTGGAGTCTTTTAACTCTGTACAGGCAGAGAAGATCTCAGTCTCATCTGAAGGACAGCAACAAAGAAGCGCTCCCCCATCACTGAACTGGAGTGTCAGCCTGAACTGTGAGTCTGTTTGGGGAATATTGACACGACTGACTGATGTGTTACCCTGCCAGCTGCTGAGGTACCCAGTTTGGCCCCAGTGTGGAACCATTATTCCATTATTACTGGAAACCTGAGGCAAGTTTCCTTACTCCACACTCCTCGGTTTACTAGCAGTAAGTAGGATCCCGGTTGTTAGTCGATTGACGGATCGCTTTCTAGAGGTAACAATCCCTTCAATTTAAAAAAAAATTATTTGGTCAGTCAATCCACGACTGTTGTGGGACACTGCTGTGTGTAATTGGCTGCCGCATTTCTCTCACAAAATATACAGTCAATTCACTTTACAGTATAATCTGTGAAGCGCTTTGAGTTGTCTCAAAGGCGTGATAAGGCGCTGTATTAAATGCAATATTATTATTGCATTGGGGCAAAGGAAATGTTTGCCTGTACGAAACTGTCTCCCTCGGTCCCTCCTGTGTTCCGTTCTCTTGGTCTTCCATGTATTATGCTGGACCTCAGTGTACTCTGTATGTCACTGGGTTTCTGCTCTGTATCCTTGACTCTTGTTCTCCGTGACCAAGCTTGTACAGTTTTCCAGGTCCAGAATGCTGTGGATGAAGCTGGTGTCCCAGCTGTCCTTAGGGCTGAGGTAGTAGATTGTATAGTTGTGAGGTTGTACACCTCCTCTGAGATAACTATGCAATCTACTGTCTTTCCTGAAGAGACAGAAAGAACTGGGGACGGGATCATGGACACAAGGATCAGAACGTGCTTTCCAGGAAGAAGTGTCAGGTCTCCGAGCTCTTTTTCCAACATCCTGATAAACACATCCCAGTCATGAAGCGCTGACTGACACCTGCACTTCTTTTGATCTCATCCTTCCAGAACACACAATTCATCCTCTTCTCATTACAGCATCAAGCTGTTTCCCAAAGGAGTTTGGTATCCTAACCTCAATCAGCGTTCTTGACAGTAATTACTGGTTCTACCAGACTTGTGGTAGTTGAAAAGATTGTGAAGTAGCAGGAAGCTGTTTGGGGAGGTTTCAGGCTCTCGGACTGACTGGAAAGCATTTGAAATAAACGGAGGGACACCATGACGCTGCAATTGACAGCCCATCTTAATGAAAAGACACTTAATGAGTATTTAATCCTTCTTGGAGGGAGTCTGATCTGTGAAGCTTGCTTGCCCTTGCTTGCTGACTCCTCGAGTTCATCATTCCCGATTTCTCAGTAATTTGTTACTATTAAAGAGGCCAGATATTTGCCTCCATTTTACACTGTCTTTTCACTTACGCTTGAAGTGCCTCAAAGCCTCACAATTGAACTTTTAACCATTGTCTTAAAGTTGTGAGATTGTCAAGTGTTCTGGAAAACAATCTTAAACATAACTTCATTTGGAAGCCAGTTTTCTAGTCCCTGGGGGTTGCATGGAAAACTGTCTTTCAAATTAGAAGTGATTTTTAAAATTCCTGCAAATTCTGTGCAATCGTAGATAATGGTCCTGACCCTGACTCTAACCATCTGGTCGTAACTTCCTCATTTAATGATATTATCGTTTTACTTCATTTTTTTCAATATTACAACATAATAGTAATAATAACTTTCATGTCAGGCTAGACCTGTCCTGGAGCTGGTTACAGTCGTCCTCTGGTGGATTGTGAACGCCAGCTTCCTCGACATTCTCATCCTTGTTTCTCGAAGAAGCCAGAGCAAGTATCTCTGTCGAGGTGAGGTAGTAGGTTGTATAGTTTGATGGGAGGGAATTTAATCCCATTCTGGTGATAACTATACAGTCTATTGCTTTCCCCGGCGAGCAGTAAAGCAGCGCTGGATGAATGTAGCAATTCTCTGCAAGTGTGAGACTCACATACACAGTGTCAGAAACACTGGCACAAACTTGTGCAGAAATTCCACCTTAATATAATTGACATCATTAGATAACGTTTTACAGAACTCAGAATTGAAAATTGAGATTGAATTCAAAAATTTGCAAAACTCTGGATGCTTTAAAATCCTAGACATGGTAAATCTAGACCATAGTGGAGTGTTCCAACAGTTGGGAAAAATTCCACTGCTGCAATGTCTGAGGCAGGGCAGCTGTGAATCTGACCTGTAGGAATGGTTGGCTGCACATTTTAATACAAGTGTGTATTCGAGGCTGATCTCAAGACCCCCTTCTTCAACCTGTGCATTCAGCCATCCTCTTACCCTACCCTCCCTGCGCTCCTGATTCCAACCTCCAGCTCAGGTGCAAATCCTTGACTGTCCAAGCGCCTTGGGACATCCTCCTGACTTGAAAGACTCTATACAAATGTAATTTGTTGTTGTCGTTCTGACAGAAACTATATTTTGTAAAATACAACATAAAGATACAAAGCTGTATTTCTTCACACTACGTGCCTTGTACTGATTTCCCGAAATCTCTGTGTGAATTGATTCCTGATTCCTGGCTTTTCCATTCCCTTCATAAGGTGATTGGTCGAGGCTGCTCGCATTCTGGTCAATGGAACTCACCCTGCTTATCTAGTCCTGGAGACTTGAGCGGAGATGGACAACAGCCAAGGCTTGGAGGCCCCAGAGTTTTGCTTTTAGGGTAACTCCATCCCATTGCGAACACTGTCAAACTGTATTTCCAAAACCACCATTGGTTCAAATCAATTACGATATTGCATCGCCTGGCACATCACCTTGGGGATAACTCAGCCCCAAAGAGACCTTGTTTACCTCTCTCACAAAGTGGTCAAGGTAATTTAACAATTTTCTTTTTTTCTTCTAATATTTATTGAGAGGGTAGAATAGAGCTTAACGTCCTTCAACAAATTGCATTTATATAGCGTCCTTCAAGTGAGGTAGAGTTTCAGAGCACTTCAACAGAATGTTGACGAAGCCAAAGCCATCCTGCTTGACTCCTTACCTCGAGTTATGATCTTAAAACTCTCTTTTTTTATACCCTTCATCCTGTTCTTGATCATGTCAACTTTCCTTCACTTCTATAATACTGCTGTCTCTGTTCCAACCTAACCTCAACTAGGCCTTTTTCCCCTAGTAGCTTGATTTCACACCTTCAAATTACCTCCACACCTTCTCCACTCTGCTCTATGATGTGCAGTACCACTCCACGCTCACTTCTCGACTCTGCTAACCCAGAGCTGCTGCAAAACCCAGACAATGGGTCATCAAGCTTTCTACATCCTACACCGCTGTCTGGATCTTAATCCCCAAATAGTTTACGGGCCTGGCCCATTCTGCTTTCAAAAACCTCTCTCTGACCATATTTTTAGTCATCTCCCCACCTCCTCCCCCCACCCCAGTTGTTCATGTTCCCACTTGGGATCTGTAAAGTTCTTTGAGATGTTTTCCTGCATGAAAGGTGCAGATTTGTTAACGCCACTTTCCAGAACTTTCCTCAAATCCCTTAATGTTTTTATTCTCAGGTACTCAACCAGTTAGTCCCCTTTGAAATATGTCTATTCACTTGAGGTTGTGAAGAAACACAGAGAATTTGCGTGACTTAGTAACACATTCAAATTCAAGTTTTTATTGGGCTTTCATAAAAAAAGGCTTCCAGATTCCTCTTCAAATCAGTGAAAAATGTGAAAAATAGCACAAACATTTCAAATAAAACCAAGTTACATTCTTGAGTACATTAGTGAAGGTTAATTAGCAACTCTATCCTTACATCAGAAAATCTTTCTCTTCTTTGTCAGTGGAATAAAGGTGTGTTTTGAGATACCATCTTGATACACTCTTGGGTCCGCATGCCACACTTCTAGTGACTGGCACAAGCTACGATTCACAACTCAAGAGTCGCTGCAAGCGAGTCTGGTTATAATTGGATGCCAATTAGACCCCAGCAACAGTTCTTGCACACAACATTCCTGTAATCATCCTTACATTTACATCTGAAAACCCTTTACACAATGAAGTGGTGTTTTGTTGAAGTGTAGCGAATGCTATGGAAGCAAAAGGTGGGGGGGTATAATTTTTGTCATACACACGCATGCACACAGCTCTGAGGCATCATGGCCATTTGTTGGGCCCCATTAGTCATTGTTTGCCTACAAAAANTGACTGACTTCGCAATAATTTCACACTAAGCATTTTGTTTGATGTGATAAAATACTATAAAAACAAGTTAATTCTTTAATCTTTTTTGGGGGTAAATTTTGATGGAGGAATATTGGTTGTGGTTCTGGAGTCATTAATCCGCAAATTAAATAAAGACTCCACTTTAGAAAGTTTTTGTCACTGAAAAGAACGCCACTAACAATGTGGCTAACACCGAGGCATGGATGTAACCATCTAAATGTCTCATCCATGCTCCTGGCCCGGACCAGAAAGAGGGAGTCCTAGGCTCAGGACATAAGGAAAATAGTATTTGAACACGTTTCCCTTTCCTCAGAATTCCACAATTGATCATCCTCACTGGCTCCCATAACATGCTCCCTATCATGTGGTCTCTGCTGATAAGATTGGTGCAATCTGTTAATGAAACCAATACTTTAAACATTATGGCAACGAAGGTTATACCTTCTGTAACATACCAGGTATCTGCATGAGATACACAATCCTTAACAACATTTCACACAATACTTAAATCAGTATTACTGGTGTACAATGGCACCAGTGTTTAGACAAACACAAACAGGGCAAGTAAACAAAGAGAACATAATAACGCAGAACGGAATCTAAAGTTCAGAATTTACCTGCACACTAAGCATTATGTGGAAACTAAAGTTAGAGTCATCTTGTGGAGCATCACTTCACATACAAGAAAGGCCTGTCATAACACAACTTCACAGTCGTCTTGTGTGGAGCAAGATGCAAGTCTGAACAATGGCATTGCCTTCTCCACTCTCTATTGGTACTTGGGTGATGGATATGGAGGTGGAGCTGCAGAGACATAATACTTTAGTCAAGGATTTTGTTGGAAATCTAAGTACAACAAGCAACTACTTCGTAATTACAAGACTGAAAATGGTATTAATCTATTCTATGCTGGAATAAACCATGATTGAAATAACAAAGAATGAGTAAAAAAATCAAGTAGCAATAGTACAGACACTATGGACCAAACAGATCCAACTTAGTACCACACACAGGGTTTGCAATCCCAGGAAACCTGATCCTGGGATCCCATGTGCTAAAGGTGCTCCCAAAATCCCAGGGTTCTCCAATCTTGGAACAGGCCTCACCCCCATCGCTCTCCCACCCCACCCCCTGCCTTCCCTCTCCCCAACCCCCTGCCTCTCACTCCCCCACCCCTTGCCTTCCCTCTTCCCCTCTGCCTCCCCCTCCCCGGTCTAATTCCTAATCCTGGCAACAGCATATTATGCGTACATTAGTAAACAATACCTACATTCAGGTTGAAACCTTGATGCTCTTGAATCATATGGTGCAGGAGGCATGTGGGCTGGGTGGTAAGCATATGGTGCAGCACTGCTCGCTGGATTGGGAGAATATTGTGACATCGGGTACTGAGGGTATGCCGAATACGTTACATTCTGAGGAGCTCTTGATTGATGTGCCATTTGCTGTATGAAGTATGGTATCTGCACTTCTGTTACAACAAACAGTCACTTTAATTCAATAAAACTATAGCATTATGCTCATCACGCAGGTGCTTTGGTTTGACATTCAGTTATGGTGATTCAATCTGACTGTTAAAAGAGTGACACATCACCAGCCCCACGTTAAAGAGTGATGGTCTCCTATTACACAATAAGCAATCTCTCTCTGGAAGATTGTTTGCTATTCATAGCGAGAAAATCCAAAGATTTCAATCCTCCATGTCAGTCTGTATAGTCCAATTTCTGTCACCAAAGAAAATTCCAGAGTGGCAAACTTACAGTCTGACATTAGTGACATTTTCCCAGACCCATTTTATAATACAAAATTACATTTGTAGAGCACCTTTCACATCAGGCAACGTCCCAAGGCATTGAACAGTCACGGATTCGGAACCCACCTTCAAATCCCGCCTAAAGACTTTCCTTTTTGATCGTGCTTACGGTCACTCCCCCCTCCTTCCCCTGACTTGGGGTCAGACTCCACCCGTCAAGCGCTCCGGGATGCTACTCTGCGTGAAGGGCGCTACATAAATGCAAGTGGAGTCCTGTAGCTCAGTGGTTGAGCACTCGCTTTGCAAGTGAGAGACCTGAGTTCAATTCCAGACAGAGGGCGAAACCTTGGGCAAGTTTCCTTACTCCACACAGAGCCTAATAATAATCCCTCCAAAACCAAAAACAATAATAAATTGGTCATTTTCAATCCATGACTGTTTGTGGGACATTGCTGTGCGCAATTGGCTGCCGCGTTCGCCCACAAATATACAGTCAATTCACTTTACAGTGTGTTCTGTGAAGCGCTTTGGGACGTCCTCCCGACGTGAAAAGCGCTATATCAAATGCAAGGATTATTATTATTATAAGTTGTTGTTGGAAGAGTTGGGGAGGCCGACAAGCAGGGAGTTGGCGTAGTTGAGCCTAGATATGATGAATGTGCGAATGAGGGTTTCGGTGGGTGGCCTGAGGGGTGAGGCAGTGGCGGAGCCGGGCGATATTGCGGAGGTGGGGGAAGGCAGAGCAGGTCGTGACATGGATGTGGGGTAGAAAGGGAAATTGAGGGTCAAACAAGATGCCTAGGTTCCTGACAAGCTCAGTGAGGTGGAGTGTGCATCCACGGCTGGTGATGCTGCCAGTGCCTGAGCTGTGGAGGCACTGATGGGAGCCAATCAGGAGAGCCTCGGTCTTTTTAACGTTCAACTGAAGAAAGTTAGCTCTCATCCAGGACTTGATGTTTGACAGACATTCTGTCAGGAAGCAGTGGTCCTCAAGTTGAGGGTGGAGGTAGAGAGAGATAGAGTTTCCTAGGGATCTGAGACACAACAGTTAAGAGGGGTATAAATCAGGCCACAATAGCAGAAATGCTGACAGTAAGTGTAAAAATGATTGTTCATGGGCATCTATAAGAGCTGTCTGGAAACCTGGTTGAGGAATGTCAGTGGAGTGTGCATGATACGCCAGATCTTATCACAGCCATGATATGGGGTCAGTGTTAGATCTCTAAAGCACTCTACCACAGGTTATTATTACACAAGTACACTTAGCTTCTCTCAGCTCAATTGTACTTACCACTGCGGTGCGTTCTCTGCTGTTGATACCTCTGGTACATGTAGCAGCAAGAGCACAATAAACAGCAAGCCAAAACGCCCACAATGGTTATAAACAGAACGACAGCAGAGACGATTCCAATTACAAAGTTAGAGCTGGATAAACACAAAACCGGAAAAGGATTACATCAGGTATTGAGATTTCAATATTACAAATAAACACAGTAATCCCCTCACATTGTGCCACATAGAACCATAGATATGTAGCAGATGGAAGAGGGCTACCAGTCCCATATTATCTCTGGCTCTTTGAAGAACAATCCATTTCTTCTCATTTACCTACCTTTTGCCCATTCCCCCGGAAAATAATAATTTTTTTTATATATGACTCAATCTTCATTCAGAAGAGTTGTTGTATTGATTGTCTGTCTGACACAAGTCCTCGTTGAGTCCATATTATCCTCCTAGCTGAACTTCAACAAGACTGAAGTTATCTTGCTTGGTTTTCCACAGCAACTGATTCCATCAACTGCCACTCAAGTTTAAACAGGGGATATGCAACCTTGGGGCTCTGCTTGACCCTTGGCCATGTTTCATACCCAAGCGGTCCATCTCCAAACCTGCTTTTGGTACCTTCTTCTACCTCTGGAACATTGCCTGCTCACATGCTTACCTTCCTGCTTTGATTAACTTGAGGATAAGACTTTTCAAATGCTCTCCTTGCTGGATTCCCCAGCTAAACTCTCTATAGGGCTCAAATGATCTAAACCTATAAACAACAGCAACAAATTGCATTTATACAGCACCTTTTTGTGCATAACAAAGGCTCACAAACAGCCACAAAATTAATGACTAACTAAACTGTGGCAGAGTGGTCCAACTGGCAGCCTGCAGGCTGCATCCAGCCCCGGGGATGATTTCATCTGGACTGCAAACCATTTCTAACTTGGTGCCACCTGCTCCCTCCCTCCCTTCATGTTAATCATTGGTAAGAAGTGGTAAGGAGAGTGAATACGTTGAAGTGTGTCAATGCGCTTTACAGTAATTAACGTCAAGTTTTTTGTAAATAAAGACAGCACTCAGTTTTCCATACAACATTGTTTGAAGTGAATGATCAATTTCTCTGGAAGATTGTTTGCTATTCATAAGGAGAAATTCCTTTTTTTTCCCTAAATAGTTTCATTTAACATCCACCCGAAGAACAGACAGACCTTGGTTTAATATCTCATTCAAAGGGCAAGATCTGCAATTTTCTGACTCAACGGTGGGATTGTCAAATGAGCCAAGCTGCATAGAAATGCTGACACTAACATTGGGGCTATTAAAAGCACACTGATCCCAGCACTATACTGGCTCAATGTTTGTAAAATAATTATGTAGAAATGGCCCCCAAGAAATGCCAAAATTGTAAAAAAAATCATGGCCTCTACTCTAACAAACCAATCAGTTATGAGGTCATATGATGTAGGATACAGTCCCTCTTTACAACCCTGAACTGCAAGGCCACATAAACTGACCTGAGTTTTACATGTAAACAGCGCTTCTGTTCTTCTTCAGGAAAAAGAAGAGTCCAGTTTGTGCAGCAAAAACGAAAGGTGCAGTTTCCACAGCAGAAAGAAGAGAAACGACATTCACGTTCCGGAACAAATTGATCATATAAATTTAGGTATCGTAGACAATCTTCGTCCCCAGATACTGTGTGAGGAAGCAGAGGCAGATTAAGAGCACAAGAAAATGGAGGGAAGATAACAGAATACAACATAAGCCTTCAAATAAGCCTGCTTTGTGTACTCTTCCTACCCATCCAACCATCAGTGGGCAGGCTTTCAGCCATTCTGCCCCCCCACTCTGTGGAACTCTATCCTGGAGTCCCTCTAACTCGCTCATTCCCTCACCTTGCTCAACATTTGGCTCAAGATCTACATCTTTGACTGTGGTTTTGGTCGCCACCCCTTTTAGCTTCCACCCCTAGGTTGGGGACCCAGCCAATGGTGTAAGTGCTTTGAAACATCCTGCTGACTTGAAAATTGCTATATAAATTGCACTGTATAATGCAATAATCATGGAGGATTGGACCATCAGGAAATTAAAGCAAAGTAACTGGAGCAAGAACAGCCCAATGTACAGATGAATGTACAAATAATTTAAAAGCAGTGGTCTGATGGCTTTGAAACACATGTGAATGGAGACGCAATAGGTTTGGTGTTCAGCTTACCATCTTACCAGAACAGATTAGAAACCTGGAAGTGGTTAAAAACTAGATTTCGAATAATGATTGGTTTAGCTATTTGAATTGTAAATTTAAATGATCTAAACTACCAAATAATTTAGTTAAGACAAGGAAAAATATGAATGCAGAGGCGCAAAACAAAATAGCAAACTTTGAAGACACAATACCAAGTAAGAAGCAAAAGCACAAAATAAAATGTAAACATAATGCTTTAAGGTATTTTTCAGGATGTGGAAATGAAGTCTATCTCCTCGAGACACAAAGCCAAAAACACAACAGCTGAAGGAGATCAAATAAACTAAAAACCATGCCCACCTACATCGAACAGGCAAAAGGGAAGGAAAAAAAGGATTGCAGATAAAGGAAAACTACAAATTCCAGTAAGGAAAATCCAAAGACATTCTTAAGATATGTATAAATGTATTGCAATAAAAAAGGTAATTGAGAAAATAGTAACAACTCTAATTTTTAAATATTTTAATAGTATTTTATTCACATCAAACACTTCACAATTATTACCATCAATTCTAGTGTTTCTTTGTGTAGTCAAATACAGCAACCATTTGCGCCAGACAGGATCCTACACAGCCACAAAATAACCAACCAATTTATCTGAAGGATTGTTGACCTGGATACTGTTAGCAATTTCCTTCTCTACATGTTATAGGATCCTTAATATTCAATTGTAGAACAGATGGTTTATTTAAAAGGATCAAGCACTCCAGACGCTACCCCATGTGAAAGACCCTGTATTGTCAAGTTGTTGTTATTTGGAGCTTTAGATGGCATGGTAGAGGAGGAACAATGATCATAGCAGTATTGGGCAAATAGAAAGAGATGCATTCAGCAGAGTTAAGTCTTTATGGGCACAAATTGAGTATTAAAAAAAATGGAAGGGAAAATAGACTACAATTGAGACATAAGTGAGGGTAAACATCTTTAATAGAATATAACAGGCAATTATCCATTTGTGCTGTAAAACCACTATACATCAGTCAGACTAACTTCACAATTCAAGGCAGTTATTCTAAATAGAAGATACTGTTAATAACTCTTTGTGCAATGTCACATTTCATCCCTCCGACTCGCTCCTTCTCTAACCTTTCAGAGCATGTCTTAAACATACCTCTTTGATCATCTTTCCCCTCCCCATCCCCAAATCGGGTATCCATCCAGCAGTGTGAAGTGCTTTGTGACGTCCTTCTAAAGTAAAAGGGGCTATGTAAATGTAAATTGCATTGCATTAATTCTGAATAATACTTTTATCAAGGCAAGATATCTCAACAGGATCTGCGCATTACATTTAGGTAATTGGTCTGTTTACAGATTTACAAAGACACTGGTTGTCAGGTTTGGAAGACTTACTACATTGTCAAATATTTCAAGTATTTAATTGAAAGCCTTCAATGTGAAGCTGAAGAGCACAGGTCATAAGGGACAGCAGACAGTTTGTGCTTCACCAATGTAAGGAAATTGGTAAAGAGTGGCTATAATGTACAGTATTTCAATAAGCTTGCGGCAAAGTTCTACATTACACATTTAGCTTTAGCTTTCTGTAGATTTCCAGTGTTTAGGTTTATTTTGGATCTCCAGCATTTGCAGGTTTCTTTCCTATGAACATGTCTTCCTGAGCTATTGAGACAATGGATATGTTAGTCCATGTCAAGAAAGAATACTTCACGATATAAGCAATTGTGCTCCTTGGGAAAGAAGAGGAGACTGTGGAGAGGTAATGTCTGAATAGAGTAGGAGTAGAATTTAATCTGTGTTTGGCTAGATAACAGTACTCAGCAGATGGGCTGATGATTGGACAAATGAAGTTCAAATGCAGAGAAATGCAAGGAACTAGATTTACGAAGTAAGAATATGAAATATACGTACACCATGGATGGATAGAACTTCACAAGGGGGAAGCTAAAACATATCTAGAGATGTCACCAAGTCAAAAAGTGTGAGGCAGCAATGAACACGACAAATAGGATGCTGAGCTATTTTTGCCATATTAGTTGAGCTGAAATCCCCAGAAGCTCTGGTCAGGCTGTACCACGAGTATTGCAGTTTGCTGTGATTTAAGAGGGCTGGTCCAATACATTAGACACGAGCCACATGTGGCGAATTGGGAATGCAGGTGTGGCAAAATTGCATTTTGATTAGTAATTTTTTCCCACAAAATATACCTTCAATTCACTTTACAATATATTCTGTGAAACACTTTGAGACGTCTCGAAGACATGATAAGGTGCTGTATCAAATGCAAGGATTATTATTATAAGAATGAGTAATAAACACCATCATTTGGCATGTGATCTCAATTATTATATATACACAGAGTATGTATGTACACTTTAACCTTTTTGTGCACTTGTTGATAAAACAGTAAGAAGAAAAACAGGGTGTGAGAGCAGGGGTGGAACTGGTGCGGCTCCCGAAAGAAAAATAAAGCGAAGACTGCAAAGTTGCCCACAGAATGGTTAAGTAAGTATCCATGTAAACATACATGTTAAGTACATTAGTAAGTTGTTTTCTACTAAAATTAGTGCATATGGCTAAAAGGTTTTGGCGAGCCACTTGTGTAGCTGGTCAACAATTTCTATTGGACAATACTGCTCTAGAGACATTGCAGAAGAAAGCAATAAGGATGATCCAAAATGTCAGAGGACTGAGTAATGAGTTAGACAAGCCAGGTTAGAGTTAGACAAGTTAGACTGAGTTAGACAAGCCAGGACTCCAATTTTGGAAAGGAAGCATCTCAGAGGAGATCTCATAGAGATGTGCATGGGATTGACAAAGCAAACGCAGAGCAAAACTTTTTTTTTAATGCACCGAAACAGTAGAACAAGAGGGCACAGGGTCAGGGCAGCAAAGGGCAATTTCAGGACAGATACCAGGAAGCATTCTTTGTCCAGATGATAATTTACAACTGGACTTGATTACCAGAAAGGTAATTTGAAGTCAGGGCACTGGAGTTATTTTAAACAACAGCAGAAGCTGTGATGGGAAGTGCGGGAGTTCTGAAAGGATGAGATCAAATGGGCCGAAGGATCCCCTGAAACAATGTTGCCCCTCCGCACCCCTAACTAACACACTAACCAGCTAACCTACCCACTAACCTATCCACTAACCCACCCATTAACTCGCTAACCTGTTGAATAACTTCCTAACCTGCCCACTAACCAGTAACCCACCCGCTATCAGTTAATCCACCCACTAACCCACTCACTAACCTGCTAACCTACCCATTAACCAGCTAACTTACCCTAACCAGCTAACCTACACACTGACCGACCCACTAATGCACCATTAACCCACTAACCTACCCACCAACCCACTAACCTACCCACTAACTTGCTAACTTACCAACTACCCAGCTAACCTACCCACTAACTCACTAGTATATCCACTAAGCAGATAAACTACTCACTAAATCACTAACCTGCTAACCTACCCACTAAACCACTAACCTATCCACTAACCCACTGCCCATTAGCCTACGCAACACACCCCTAACTAGCTAACCTACCTACTAACATGCTAACTTACCCACTAACCTGGTAACCTATCTAATTAGCTAACCTACCCACTAACCTGCTAACCTACCCATTAACCTGCTAACCTATCCATTAACCCACTAACCTACCCACTAACCATCTAACCTACCCACTAACTCACTAATTTACACACTAAACCAACCACTAACCACCTAACATACCCACTAACCAGATAACCCTACCCACTATCCAGCTAACCTACCCACTGACCCACTAATCTACCCACTAAGCTGCTAACCAACCCAATAACCAGCTAACCTACCCACTAACCTACTATCCTACACATTACCACACCCATTAACTAGCTAACCTACCCATCAGCCCACTAATCTACCCACTAACCCACTAAGCTCCCCACTAACCAGCTAATACACCCACTAACCCACCCATAACCAGCTACTAAGCTACTAACGAACCAACTAACAAACCCATTAACCCGCTAACTCACCCACAAACCTACCCACTAACCAGGTAACACACTTACTAACCCACCCACTAATCCACTACCCCTCCCACTAGCCAGCTAATCTACCAACTAACCAGCTAACCTAGCCACTAACCCACCCACTAATCTGCTAACCTACTCACTAACCTGCTAGCCAACACACTAACCTGCTAACCTACCCATTAACCATCTAAGCTACACATTAACTCACTAACCTACCCACTAACCTGATAACGTACCCACTAACCAGATAGCCCTACCTATTAGCCAGCCAACCCACACACTAACCCTCTAAACCGAGCCACTAACCTAACCACTAGCCAGCTAACCTTCCCCCTAATTAGCTAAGCTACCCACTAACCTACTAACCTACCCACTAACCAGCTAACCTATTCATTATCCCACTAAAATACCCACTAACACCAACCTACCCATTAACCCGCTAACCTACCCACTAAAATACTTAACTTATCCATTAACATTACTACTTACCTACCCGCTAACATGCTAACCTACCCACTAACATACCTACTACACCACCCACTAACCCGCTAATCACCTACTAACCTGTTAACTTACCCACTAAACCACTAACCTACACACTAACCCACTAACCTACCCAACAACCCACTAACCAGCTAACCTCCCCACCAACCAGCTAACCTACACACTGAACTGCTAACCTATCCCTTATCATATTAACCTATCCTATCGAGAGGACGTCCCAAAGCGCTTCACAGAACACACTGTAAAGTGAATTGACTGTATATTTGTGGGCGAACGCGGCAGCCAATTGCGCACAGCAATGTCCCACAAACAGTCGTAGATTGAAAATGACCAATTTATTATTGTTTTTGGTTTTGGAGGGATTATTATTAGGCTCTGTGTGGAGTAAGGAAACTTGCCCAAGGTTTCGCCCTCTGCCTGGAATTGAACTCAGGTCTCTCGCTTGCAAAGCGAGTGCTCTAACCACTGAGCTACAGGACTCCACACTGACCTATCCACTAACCAGCTAACCTACCCACTAATCCACCCACTAACAACAACAACAAGATTCCATTTATAGAGCGCCTTTCACGTCGGGAGGACGTCCCAAGGCGCTGTACAGTTGGGTCAGGACCCGAGCATTGGGGGGAATGGTCAGGGGAGGGAGGAGGGAGAGAGTTGGGGGAAATGGTCAGGGTGAGGGGAGGGAAGGGAGGGAGCGAGGAGGGGGAAGAGAGTCGAGAGGGGAGCTGAAGGCTCGGTCAAAGAGAAAGGTTTTGAGACCGGCCTTGAAGGAGGAAAGGGAGGAAGCGGCGAAGGCACTGGGGGATGGAGTTCCAGAGCCTGGGGCTGAGAGGCTGAAGGCCCGACCACCGATGGTAGGGCGGTTGGGGCGGGGGACGTGGAGCAGACCGGAGCCAGAGGAACGGAGGGTACGGGCAGGTAGGTAGGGGGATAGTAGGTTGGAGAGGTAGGAGGGAGCAAGGCCGTGAATGGCCTTGTAGGTGAGGATGAGGATCTTGAAATCAATCCTCTGGGGGATGGGGAGCCAGTGGAGGCGAGCGAGGGTGGGAGTGATGTGGTCCCGAAGCCTGGTGCGGGACAGTACACGAGCTGCAGAGTTCTGAATGACCTGCAGTGTGGAGGGAGGTGGCGGGAAGGCCGGCGAGGAGAGAGTTCCCATAGTCCAGCCTTGAGGTGACAAAGGCGTGGACCAGGGTTTCAGCAGCGTGAGGGGTGAGGTAGTGCCGTAGTCTGGCGATGTTCCGGAGGTGATGGAAGGCGGTGCCAGTTGTGGTGCGGATGTGAGGGAGAAAGGACAGCTCAGGGTCGAACAAAACGCCGAGGTTCCTGACTGGCTTTGAGAGGTGGAGAGTGCAGCCTTGGATGCTGATGGTGTCAGCGCCTGAGGTGCGGAGGCGCTGACGTGAGCCAATCAGGAGGGCCTCGGTTTTTCGCACGTTGAGCTGAAGAAAGTTGTCTCTCGTCCAGGACTCGATGTCGGACAGGCAGCTGTCAGGACATCGGGGGTCGTGGAGTTGAGAGTAGAGGAGGAAAGGTAGAGTTGGGTGTCATCCGCATACATGTGGAAGTTAACTCCATGTCTGCGGATGATGTCACCGAGGGGGAGCATATAGAGGGTGAAGAGGAGGGGACCGAGGACAGAGCCCTGAGGAACCCCACGAGACAGTGCGGGGGGGGAGGGAAAGCCATTTGTGGAAACAAAATGAAGACGGTGGGAGAGGTACGACCTAAACCACTCAAGGACAGGGCCTTGAAGGTTGAGGTGGGAGGACAAGCGGTGGAGGAGGATAGCGTGGTCGACCGTATCGAATGCTGCCGATAGGTCGAGGAGGACGAGGAGGCAGAGGGAGCCCTGGTCACAGATGGTCAAGATGTCATTGGTGACCTTGACCAGGGCAGTTTCTGTGCTATGGGCAGCACGGAAACCCGACTGAAGGGGTTCGAATAATGAATGGGTGGAGAGGAAAGAGCGCAACTGGGAGGCCACAACTCTTTCAAGGACCTTGGACAGGAAGGGGAGGTTGGAGATAGCTGCGACTCATCAAGGGAGGGTTTTTTCAAAGTGGGAGTGATGATGGTAGTTTTTAGGGGAATGGGAATAAAGCCAGAGGAGAGGGACAGGTTGATGATGTCTGTGATAAGTGGGGCAAGGAGGTGGAGCTTGGAGATAAGGAGTGGAGTGGGGATGGGGTCAAGGGAGCAGGTGGTGGGTTTCAGGGACAGGATGAGTTTGGTGACACAGGTTCGAAGGTGTGTAGAGGAGGATGGGTAGGAGTCGGGGTGTGGGAGGGAAGGGGTGGGGGTTGGGTGGAAGTTGGAGGGGGAGTGACCGCGGAGCGGATTCCCTTGATTTTGGATTCAAGGAAATCCAGCATCTCCTCGCAGTGAAGGTTGGAGGAGATGACCTGCGCGGGGTGGCGGGGGGACGGAGGAGTCGGGATGTGGTAGAAAACAGTAGCCTGGGGTTGTTCTTCGCCTCCAGGATTATCCTGGAGTAGAAGGACGACTTGGCCGAGGCTAGAGTGGAGCGGTAGATTTTGAGGAGGTCCAGCCAGATTTGTCGGTGGACCGTTAGCCCAGATTTGAGGCAGGTGTGTTCAGTGGCCCGCACCTGGCTCTTCAGTGAGTGGAGGTGGGTGGTGAACCAGAGGGAGGAGCGAGAGTAGGAGACAGTACGGGAGGTGATGGGGGCAAGAGCGTCGAGCGTGGAGGAGAGGGTGTTGTGGAGGAGGGTGAAAGGAGAAGAGGGGTCAGTGAGGGTTGAAGGCCAGAGGGAGAGGAGTTCAGAGGACTCCAAGGCAGCGGTTAGAGATTGTGGGGGTAACTTCTTCCAGGGGCGGTAGAAGATGGTGGTGGGTCTGGTGGAGGTGGGGAGAGGGGTGGAGGTGGTGAAGGAGATGAAGTGGTGATCGGAGACGGCCTTGTCGGTAATGGTGACATCCAAGACACTGAGGCCCCGGGTGATCACCAAATCGACTGGGTGGCCTTGACTGTGAGTGGCGGAGTTGATGTGGAGGGAGGGGTTGAGCGAGGAGAGCAGGGAGAAGTCCGAGGAGATAGAGCAAGAGGGGGTGAAGTGCAGGTTGAAGTCACCCAGGATGATGAGGCGATCAGAGCAGAGGCAGAGAGATGTAAGTAGGGTAGAAATATCGGAGATGAAGGTGGGAGAGGTTTTAGGGGCCGGTAGAGAAGGAGGATTTTGAGTGAGAGGAAGGAGGGGTGGGAGAGGGTGAGGTGCCCCTAACCTGCTAACCTACCTACTAACTTACAAACCAACCCAATAACCACTAACAAACCCATTAACTCACTCAGTAACCCAGTATGCTACCAACTAACCAGCTAACACATTCACTACCCACCCACTAACCCGCTAACCTACCCACTAGCAGCTAACCTACCCACTAATGCGCTAACCTACCGACTACACTGCTAGTCAGTAATCCGTTTGCATAGACAAGCTTCAATCTAATGAATGCTTGTACGAGGGTTTCGGCGGCCTGTGGTGTGAGACAGTGGCAGAGCCGGGCAACGTTGCAGAGGTCTGGAAGGCAGATCGGGTCATGGCACAGATGTGGGGTAGAAAGAATAGTTGAGGGTCAAACAAGACCCCAAGGTTCCAGACTGGCTTAGCAAGGTGGAGTGAGCAGCCATGGATGGTGATGCTGCCAGCCCCTGAGGTGTGGAAGCGCTGGTGGGAGCCAATCAGGAGAGCCTCGGTCTTGTTGACATTCAACTGAAGTTAGCTCTCATGTAGAACTTGACATCTGACAGACATTCTGTCAGGACAGCAGTGGTCCTGGAGTCAAGGGTGGAGGCAAAGAGATACAGATGGGTGTCATCCATACATGTGGAAGTTGATCCCATATCTGCGGATTACATCACCAAGAGGAGTATATAGATATTGAAGAGGAGGGGACCAAAGACAGATCCCTGAGGAACGCTGCACGAGACGGTGCGGGGGCGAGAGGAGAAACCGTTTGTGGAGATGAAGTGCAGGCGGTGTGAGAGGTACGATCTGAAACTCTGGTCCACACCTTTATCACCTATGGGAACTCTCTCCTCGCCGGCCTTCCCGGTCATTCAGAACTCTGCAGCTCATGTACTGTCCCGCACCAGGCTTCGGGACCACATCACTCCCACCCTCGCTCGCCTCCACTGGCTCCCCATCCCCCAGAGGATCGAATTCAAGATCCTCATCCTCACCTACAAGGTCATTCACGGCCTCGCTCCCTCCTACCTCTCCGACCTACTATCCCCCTACCTACCTGCCCGTACCCTCCGTTCCTCTGGCTCCAGTCTGCTCCACATCCCCCGCTCCAACCGCCCCACCATCGGTGGCCGGGCCTTCAGCCTTTCAGCCCCTAGGCTCTGGAACTCCATCCCCCAGTGCTTCACCTTGCTTCCTCCCTTTCCTCCTTCAGCGCCTTGGGACATCCTTCCGACGTGAAGGCGCTCTATAAATGGAATCTTGTTGTTGTTGTTGTTGTTGTTGTTGTTCAAGGCCAGTTTCAAAACCTTTCTCTTTGACCGAGTCTTCAGCTCCCCTCTCGACTCTCTACCCCTCCTCGCTCCCTCCTTTCCCTCCCCTCACCCTGACCACTTCCCCCCGCTCGGGTCCTGACTCAACTGTCCAGCGCCTTGGGATGTCCTCCCGACGTGAAAGGCGCTCTATAAATGGAATCTTGTTGTTGTTGTATGATCTGAACCAGTCAAGGACAGAGCCGTGAAGTTGAGGTGAGAGGAGAAGTGGAGGAGGAAGAGCACCTACCCACTAACCCGCTAACCTACCCACCACTAACCCGCTATCCTACCACTAACCAGCTAAGCAACCCACTAACCCGATAACCTACCCACTATAATAATAATGATAATCCTTGCATTTGATAAAGCACTTTTCATGTCTTCTAGACTTCTCAAAACGCTTCACAGAATAGACTGCAAAGTGAATCGACCGTATATTTGTGGGCGAAACACGGCAGCCAATTGCGCACAGCAATGTCCCACAAATAGTCGTGGGTTGAAAATGGCCAATTTATTATTGTTTTGTTTTGGAGGGATTATTATTAGGCTCTGTGTGGAGTAAGGAAACTTGCCCAAGGTTTGGCCCTGCTGGAATTGAACCCAGGTGTTTCACTTGCAAGGCGAGCGCTCTAACCACTGAGCTACAGGACTCCACTAACCTACCGATTACCCACTAACCTACCGATTACCCACTAACTTATGCACTAATCTACACACTAACCCGCTAACCAGTTAATCTACCCACTAACCCACTAACCTACCAAGTACCCTGCTAACTGCCCAATAACCCGTTAACCTACCCATGAACCAGCTAACCTACAACAACAAGATTACATTTGTATAGCGCTTTTTATGTCGGGAGGACGTCCCAAGGCACTGGACAGTGATAACAGTTCAGACCCGAGCTGGGGTCGGGGCGGGGAGGGGAGGTGACTGATGGCATTGTCGAAGAGGAGGGTTTTGAGGCGGGACTTGAAGGAGGCTAAGGAGGGGGCGAGGTGGAGTGACTGGGGAATGGAATTCCAGAGGTTGGGGGCAGAGTGGCTGAAGGCTCTCCCACCAATGGGGCGGGTGGGTCAGGGGACGTGGAGCAGCCAGAGCCGGCTGAGTGGAGGGAACGGGCGGATTGGTAGGGGGTTAGCAGGTCGCAGAGGTAGGGTGCGTGAGGCCTGGAGAGCTGTTGGTGAGGACCAGGAACTTTAACTGGATCATCTGAAGGATAGGGAGCCAATGGGCAAGAATGGGGTAGATGGGGTCACGGAGTTTGGTGCGGGAGAGGACATGGGCTGCAGACTGTGGAGGGAGGAGTTGGGAAGGCCGACAAGTCGAGCCTGGAGGTGATGAACAAGAGTTTCTGCGGCCTGAGGGGTGAAAGGAAGACCTTTCTTTTCGACCATGCCTTTGGTTACCTTCCCCGCCCCCTCCCCCTGGCTTGATCCCGGGATCCGAAACTGTAAAGCGCTTTCAGAAGCCGTCCGGCGTGGAGGGCACTATATAAATCCAAGTTGTTGTTGTTGTAGTGCCGGACTCGGACAATGTTACGGAGGTGAAGGAAGGCAGAGCGGGTCATGGCTTGGATGTGGGGAAGAAAAGACAGCTAAGGGTGAATAAGACACCCGGGTTCCTGACTGACTGGTGAGTTGTAGTGTACATCATGGAGGGCGATGCTGCCGGAGCCTGAGGTCCTGAGGCGCTGCCGTGAGCCAATCAGGAGGGCCTCAGTCTTGTTCACATTCAACTGTAGGAAGTTTGCCCTCATCCAGGACTTGATGTCCGACAGACAGTGTCAGGACAGCAGTGGCCCTGGAGTTGAGGGTGGGGGCAGAGAGATAGAGTTGGGTGTCATCGCGTACATGTGGAAGTTGACCCCATGTCTGTGGATGATGTCCCCGAGGGGGAGCATGTAGATATTAAAGAGGAGACAAGGACAGAGCCCTGGGGGACGCCACATGTGACAGTGCGGGGGCTGGAGGAGAAACCGTTAGAGGCAACAAAGTGGAGACGGTGAGAGAGATAGGATTCAATCCAGGCAAGGGCAGGTCAGTGAAGATTAAGTAAGGAGGAGAGGCGGTGTATGAGGATGGAGTGGTTGACAACGTCGAAGGCGGCAGAGAGATCGAGGAGGACAAGGAGGCAGAGGGAGCCCTGATCACAGATGTTCAGAATGTCATTAGTGACTCTAACCAGGGCTGTTTCTGTGCTGTGGGCAGCACGGAAGCCGGATTGGAGGGGTTCAAAGAGGGTTTAGTGTGCAGGTTAGAGGGTTCAAACCTACCCCCTAACTAAACCGACCATTAACTTACCCACTAATCAGCCAATCCACACCCTCCCACTAACCCGCTAATTTACCCACTAATCCAGCCACTGACCAGCTAACCTACCTACTAACCTCCCCACTAGTCAAAGAAAGTCAGCATAGGTTTGTGAAGGGTAGGTTGTGTCTGACTAACCTAGTTGAATTTTTAGAGGTCACTAAAATGGTAGATAAGAGTGACTATGCATGTATGAACTTTTAAAAGGTATTTTTGACGTCTTTGACTAGTGGGTGGGTTAGTGGGTAGGTTAGTGGGTGGGTTAGCGGGTTAGTGGGTAGGTTAGCTGGTTAGTGCGGATAATGTTCCACACAAAATATGATTATCGAAAATGGAAGGGCACGGAGTCGGAGGTAACCTTGTGACGTAGCTTGATAATTGGTTGTGAGGCAGGAAACAGAGAGTAGGGATAAAGGGATGTTCTCTGATTGGCGGGATGTGACAATTGGTGTCCCCCAGGGATCTATACTGGGACCTCAGCTTTTCGCCATATATATAAATGACTTGGATGAAGGAATAGAAAGTTTTATATCCAACTTTGAACTCGACACTAAGCTAGGAGGCTTGGTTAAGTTGTGTAGATGGGAATAGGAAGTTACAAAGGGACTTGGACAAATGAAGTCAGTGGGCAAATCCGTGGCAGATGGATTTTAATGTAGGGAAAGTGGGAGGTCATCCACTATGGAACGAAAAAAGAATATTTTCTTTATGATGTAGTATTCCCATTCATTACTGAAATTGTTAACATCTGTTAACCATGTAGTCGAAAGCACTATATTATTTTACTAGAGAGACTAGGAAGTGTGGAGGAGCAAAGAGATTTTGGTGTCCATATCCACAACTCACTAAAAACTAGTTCCCAAGTGCGAAAGGTAATCAAAAAGGTGAATGGAATGTTGGCCTTTATCTCAGGGGCCTGGAATACGAAGGGGAAGAAATGTTGCTTCAGCGTATAAATAATAATATAATAATCGTTGCATTTGATATAGCACTTTTCACGTCTTCTAGATGTCTCAAAGCGCTTCACAGAATAGTCTGTAAAGTGTATATTTGTGGGCGAAATGCGGCAGCCAATTGCGCACAGCAGCGTCCCACAAACAGTCGTGGTTTTGAAGTGACCAATTTATTGTTGTTTTATTTTCTTGAGGGATTATTTCAGATGTGTGGAGTAAGGAAACTTGCCCAAGGTTTCGCCCTCTACCGGGAATTTAACACAAGTCTCTCACTTGCAAAGCGAGTGCTCTAACCACTGAGCTACAGGACTCCACATATGCCAAAAAAGTCAAATTTTATTTTTAAAAATTTAATTCACATGAAATAAAAAAAGTATAGAGCGTTAGTCAGACCCCACCTGGAGACTGCGTTCAGTGTTGGGCACCACACCTCAGGAAAGATATATTGGCCGTGGAGAGGGTCCAGCGCAGGATCACCAGAATGTTACCAGGGCCAAAAGTGGTTAAGTTATGAGGAAAGGCCTCGTAAACTTGACTGTGTTCCCGTGAGTTTAGAAGGTTGAGGGGTGTAAGGTGATAAAGGGATTTGATCGGGTCGATACAGAGAGGCTATTGCCTCTGGTGGGGAATCCAAAACAGGGGGGAATAGTCTTAAAATTAGAGCCTGACCATTTAAGAGAGAAACCAAGAAGCATTTTTTCACTCAAAGGGAGTAGAAATCTGGAATTCTCTCCCCTAAAAGGTGGTGGATGCTGCATCCATCCACACCTTCAAGGGTGAGGGTCAGGGATTGAGGGATATGGAGAGAAAGCGGTAAGTGATGGGATTACCTGAGGTACCGATCAGGTGTGAGCCCATGACACGGTGGAACATGCTGGAAGCCTCCTGTGTGCTCACCTCACAGGGCTCACACACACGCTGCCCTGCGTGGAGGCCGCTACATAAGTGCAAGTTGTTGTTGTTAACCTACCCGCAACCATGGTGATGACGAGGAAAAGAAGCGTCGCCCGGCTGTCCATGGTGAGCGGGGCCGGGCTCGGGGGCCGGGCTCGGGGGGGGGGAGGGGACGGACGCCGCCGACACGAGGGCGGGAAGCGAGGCCGCGCGGCTCGCGCATGCCCAGCAGCGGGTGTGTCGGACACGCAGAATGTTCTGGAGCCGGAGCCTCCCCCAACGGGACAGCGGGACAGCGGCCCCCGGTCAGCACCGGCCTCTGAGGTGGGTCAGACAGCGGGGGGGGGGCGGGGGGGGGGGGCTGTCACTGCCTGTCAGCGCCTCCCCATCAAAAACATCAAACACCCCCCCCCCCCCCCCCCGCACAATTGGCTGCTGAGGTCCACCCACAAAACATAGTCACTACACTCCTGTATATCCTGTGAAGCGCTTTGAGACGCTTCAAAGATCTGATAAGGTACTATATCAAATGCAGGGATTATTATTAGTTGTAGGAGCGCGTGTCATGTCGGAGCAGGAGGAGGCCATTCAGCCCTTCGAGCCTCTGCCCCGCCATTCAATCATATGGCTGATCCTCTCATCTAACTCCACCTAATAACCTGACCTGCCTTCTCCCCATATCCCCCCGACCCCAGCCAGCCTCCCCCTCCCCCCCCGACCCCAGCCAGCCTCCCCCTCCCCCCCCGACCCCAGCCAGCCTCACCCTCCTCCCCCACCCCCCCCACCCGCCTTATCCCCATATCCCCCCACCCCAGCCAGCCTCCCCCTCCCCCCCCACCTTCTCCCCATATCCCCCACCCCAGCCAGCCTCACCCTCCCCCCCACCCTCCCCCTGCCTTATCCCCATATCCCTTAATCCCTTTTGCAATAAGAAATCTATCTTAAGAATATGTTCAAGAACTAAGCGTCAACAGCCCTTTGGGGTAGTGAGTTCCACATTCACTGCCCTTTGAGTGAAGAAGTTCTTCCTCAACTCAGTGCGAAAGGACTGCCTCTGATTTTCAGGTTGTGACCCCTGGTTTTAGTTTCTCCAACCGGGGAAACAGTCTCCCACTATCTACTCTATCATTGCCCTTTGATGATCTTATAGGTTTCTATAAGATCCCCTCTAATTCTTCTATATTCTAGAGAATATAGGCCCAAATTGTTCAGCCTATTCTCGTAACTCATCCCCTTCATCCCTTGTACTAACATAGTAAATCTACGCTGCACCCCCTCCAAGGCAAGTACGTCCTTCCTTACATGAGGAGACCAAAACTGCACACAGTATTCCACGTGTGGTCTCACCAGGGCCCTATACAGTTGCAGTAAGACTTCCCTACTCTTATACTCTTTTCCTTTCATAATGAATGCTAACATACCGTTCGCCTTCCTAACTGCTGCTGCAGCTGCACTAACTTTCTGTGATTGGTGTACAAGGACACCCAAGTCCCTCTGGACGCTAACACATTCCAATCTCTCCCACTCTCCTGTTTTTGCTCCCTTGGTGGATGCCTTTGCACTCCGCTACATTATACTTCACCTGCCACCTACCTGCCCAATCACCTAACCTATCTATGTCTCGCTGCATTTTTTTAATGTCGTCTTCTGTGTTGACACTTCCTCCACGTTTTGTGTCATCCGCAAATTTAGATATATTAGCTTCGATGTCCTCATCTACATCGTTGATGTAGATGGTAAATAGCTGAGGCCCAAGGGCTGATCCTTGTGGCACTCCACTAGTCACATCCCGCCAATCTGAAAAGGACCCGTTTATCCCTTCTCTTTGTTTCCTACCCATTTACCATTCCCCAATCCACGTTGATATGCTCCCCCGAATTCCATGGGCCCTTATGTCGAATGCCTTCTGGAAGTCCAAATAGACCACATCCACTGATTCACCCTTATCTAGTTTACTCGAAATATCCTCAAAAAACTATGAGATTCGTCAAACATGACTTCCCTTTTGTAAAGCCACGTTGACTCGGCCTAATTATATTGTGCCCTAAATACCGCACTACCACATCCTTAATCAATGATTCTAAAATTTTTCCTATCACTGATGTGAGACTAACTGCCTATAGTTCCCCATCTTTTCCTTTCCACCTTTTTTAAATAGTGGTGTCCTTCATCACCTCCTTCACCTCATTTGTTCTCCGAGCCAACAGGTGGTATCTACATCAAAATCATCTTCCCCTTTTTAGGAATATTGCACCCTTCTGTTTAGCATCGTGAGTACAAGCACAGTTTCTTCTGAATCTCCTTCTGAGCATGGGGCTTTGGGTCCCCTATTGGAGCCACAAAACAGTTGACCCTTAGGGTGACATTGAGTCCGATGAGCAGGTTTGCGGTCTAGAATCTCCACTGTACAGGCATGTGTACATGTTTGGAAAATACATCATCTTTTTTTTAAGAGCATTAGCCAGGTTTTCCTGGTAGGTGCTAAGAAATGTAAACATACTGCCACATGTGCCAAGGTGACAGGCAGGAGTGGCAGTAACCAAGGCCATTTAGCACTGTAAAAGTTCTCATGCACTTGTGAGACTTAAAAAAACTTAAAATCATTTGGGGTCAGCACTGTGCCTGAACCCAAATGGCTTTTTGCCATATATATATATATATTTTCCAATTCATATAGTGAATGCACACGAAAAAATATAAACCACAAACACTAATGAATGATTGTGTTTACAACCAGATAGTGGTGGAATACTGCGGGTCATGGCACAGATGTGAGGGTCGAACAAGAAGCCAAGGCTCTGGACTGGTGAGGTGGAGCGTGCATCCTTGGATGGTGATGCAGTCAGTGCCTGAGGTGTGGAGGCGCTGATGGGAGCCAATCAGTAGTGCTCGGTCTCGTTGACATTCAGTTGTAGAAAGTTAGCTTTCATCCAGGACTTGATTTCCAGCAGACGTTCTGTCAGTGATCCTGGAGTCAAGAGTGGAGGCAGAGAGGTAGAATTGGGTGTCATCCGCATGCATGTGGAAGTTGACCCCATGTCTGCGGATGATGTCACCGAGAGGGAGCATATAGATATTGAAGAGGAGACCAAGACAGAGCCCTGAGGAACGCTGCACAAGACGGTACAGGAGCTAGAGGAGAAGCCATTTGTGGAGATGAAGTGGAGACAGTGTGAGAGGTACAAGGAAGACGAAGGAGCCCTGGTCATAGATGGATAAAATATCATTTGTCACTGACCAAAGCTGTTTCTATTCTGTAGGTGTCACGGAAGCCCGATTGCAGAGGTTTGTGAATGGACTGGCAGGTGAGGAAGGAGCGAAGCTGGGAAGCAATGACTTGTTCTGGGACCTTGGAAAGGGAGGTTGAAGTTGGGGTGGTAATTTGAGAGCAGAGATGGGCAGGGAGGATAGAAGTGATGACAGATGTTTTTAAAGGGGTGGGAACGGTGCCAGTGGACAGAGAGGGGTCTATAAAACTCAAAATACTGCAGATGCTGGATATCTGAGACAAACACAAAAATCTATCCCCCCCTCACTTTGTTTTGTATCAACACCTTTTTAACCCATCATCCTGTCTTCTGTCCCGTTTTCTCCTTTGTCTTCCTTGCCCTTCCTCCCTTCTCTCTGTAGTCCTTAAAAGCCCCTCCTTCCCAACGTGCCCCAGTTCTGACGAAGGGTCGTGGACCCGAAATGTTGACTCACTTTCCTTTCTCCATAGATGCTGCCTGACCTGCTGAATGTTCCCAGCGACTTCTGTTTTTGTTAGGGAGAGGCTTATGATATCTGTAAGACTGGGGGCAAGAAATTGGACCCGGGAGGTGAGAGGTAGGGATGGGATAGAGGGAGTAGTTGGTCTGTTTCATGTGGGTTATAGTGGTGAGAGGAGGGGGAGACAGGTTCAAAGATGAGGACGGAGGGATGGGTAGGGGCTGGGGCATGAAGGGGAGATGGGGAGGGGGTAATAGTCGGAAGGGCAGAGGCAGTTAATCGGATCCCTTCAACTTCGGTTTCAAGGCAGTCCAGTATCTCATAAGAACATAAGAATTAGGAGCAAGAGTAGGCCATTCGGCCCCTCGAGCTGCCCCGCCATTCGGTAAGATCATGGCTGATCTTCAGACCTAACTCTAATTACCTGCTCTATCCCCATATCCCCTAATCCCTCTATTTTTAAAAAAATTATCAGTCTCAGCCTTGAAGATGTTCAAGGACTGACATCTACGCCTTCTGGGGGAGTGGATTCCATAAAGTCACTGCCCTCTGAGTGAAGAAATGTTTCCTCAACTCTGTTCTAAACGACTGACCCTTTATTTTCAGACTGTGACCCCCGGTTATAGATTCTCCCACCGGGGAAACAGACCCTCAGTGTCTACTGAATCAGCCCTTTCAGAGTCTTACATGTTTCAATAAGATCTCCCCTAATTCTTCTGTACTCTATAGAGAATACGGCACTAGTTTATTCAGCCTCTCCTCATAGGTCAGTCCCCTCATCCCAGGAACTAACCGAGTGAATCTACACTGCACCCCCTCGAGGGCAAGTATGTCCTTTTTTAAATAAGGAAACCAAAACTGCACACAATACTCTCGGTGCGGTCTCACCAAAGCCCTATACAGTTGCAGCGAGACTTCCCTACTCTTGTACTCTAAACCTTTTGCAATGAACGCTAACTGCCGTTCGCCTTCTTAGTTGCTGCTGCACCTGCAAACTAACTTTTTGAGACTGGTGTACAAGGACACCCGAATCCCTCTGAACACTAACACTATCTAATCTCTCCCCCTCTAGAAAATAATCTGTTTTTCTATTTTTTCTACCTCGGTGAATAACTTCACACTTCCCCACATTAAATTCCATCTGCCACCTACAGATATTGAAGAGGAGGGGACCAAGGACAGAGCCCTGAGGAACACCACACAAGACAGTGTGGGGACTAGAGGAGAAGCTGTTTCTGGAAATGAAGTGCAGGCGGCGAGAGGTACGATCTGAACCAGTCAAGGACAGCACAGGGAAGGTTGAGGTGAGAGGAGAGGCGGTGGATGAGGATAGAGTGATCGACGGTGTCGAACACAGCAGAGATGTCAAGGAGGACGAGGAGGCAGACGGAGCCCTGATCACTGATGGATAGAATGTAATTTGTCACTTTGACCAGGGCTGCTTCTGTGCTGTGATCAAAGGAGGGGAAGGTTCAGAGGAGTAAGAGTATAGGCCGAGCGAGGACTGGGAGATGAGAGCCACCCCACCACCAGGCAATGAGGTCGTGGGGTATGATGGGAGGTGTAGCCGGGTGGTGTTGCCTCTGACAGGGGGAAGGTGTCGACTGGAGTGATCCAGGTTTCAGTGAGGGCGAGAATATCGATGTTTTCGTCGACAATGAGGTACTTGCCAGATGTGCTCTTCCACCCCCCACCCCTCCCTCCCCAGCAGTATTGCCTGACTGATGTGCTCTCCTCATGCCACACCGCCCCCCCTCAGAGATTCACAGGTACATTGATGGAGACGGGCACAGATACACAGACACAGAGGAAGAGGTACACAGAGAGACACACTCAGCATTGGCTGATGTACTCTCACCATCAACCCTTTGGCTCTGTTGATAGCTCGCAGAGGTCTAAGAACACGAAGGACTCGAAGAATCTTCACCACGGAAATGGCACTGGACCTGGAGCAAGCAGAGGAGCATCAGTGCTGCCCAGCCCCATGCCTCTCGAGGGAGGCATCAGGGTGAGCGTTCATGGAGCATCAGGGATATGGATGCAGGAGGTTGGGGTAGAAGGCAGGGGAGTATAACAACAAGAACAACTTGCATTTATATAGTACCCCTCACACAGAGTATCTTCCCAGAGTGCTTGACAGTGATGCAGCACAATGCCAAGCTGAGGGGAGGGAGTTTCAAATAACAGGAATCAAATCAGAGGGATCTGGAAAGATCACGGAGCTTGCCTGACAAGTGGCAACTGTCTGTTGCGTTTCGCCCACAAAATACACAGTCATTTCACCTTACAGTGTATTCTGTGAAGCGCTTTGAAACATCTCATCGCTGTGATAAGGCGCTATATGAAAAAAAATTGAGAATTATTATAAATGTCAATTAATATGGACAAATGTGGCACTGTCACACACCACAGTGAATCTACGCTGCACCCCCTCTTAAGGCAAGTATGTTCTTTTTTAAATAAGGAAACCAAAACTGCACACAATACTCTCGGTGCGGTCTCACCAAAGCCCTATACAGTTGCAGCGAGACTTCCCTACTCTTGTACTCTAAACCTTTTGCAATGAACGCTAACTGCCGTTCGCCTTCTTAGTTGCTGCTGCACCTGCAAACTAACATTTTGAGACTGGTGTACAAGGACACCCGAATCCCTCTGAACACTAACACTATCTAATCTCTCCCCCTCTAGAAAATAATCTGTTTTTCTACCTCGGTGAATAACTTCACACTTCCCCACATTAAATTCCATGTGGCACCTACTCGCCCACTCCCCTCACCTGTCTATATCCCGTCACAATCTTTTTGCATCATCCTCAGAGCTCACTCTCCCACCGAGTTTAGTGTCATCCGTGAATTTAGATACGTAACATTCAATGTCCTCATCGAGATAATTGATGTAAATTGTAAATAGCTGAGGCCCGAGCACTGATCTTTGTGGCACTCCACTAGTCACCTCCTGCCAATTCGAGAATGACCCGTTTATCCCGACTCTCTGTTTTCTTCCCTTTAGCCACTCTTCAGTCCATGTTAATATGTTCCCATTAATTCTGTGAGCCTTAACCTTGTGCAATAGCACTTTGTCAAATGCCTTCTTAAAATCTAAATATACTACATTTACTGGTTCCCCCCTATCTAACCTGCAGATACATCTTCAAAAAACTCTAAAGGATTAGTGAAGCGTGACTTCCCTTTTGTAAAGCCATGTTGACTCCGCCTAATCTTGTTATGGTCTTCCAGGAATCCCATACCGACATCGTTAATGAAGTACTCAAGAATTTTCCCTCCCACTGATGTCAGACTAACTGGTCTGTAGTTCCCCATCTTTTCTCTCCCACTCTTCTTAAATAGTGGTGTTACGTTTGCAAACTTCCAATGAATGGGAACCGTTCCAGAATCCAGAGAATTTTGGAAGATCAAAGACAAGCCATCCACTATCTCAGTAGCCCCCTCTTTATAAACCCTCGGTTGTAGACCATCAGGTCCAGCAGATTTATCAGTTTTAAGACCTGACAATTTACCTAAAACCATTTCTTTACTAATATTAATTTCCCCAAGTTGCTCGCTAACATTGTCTTCTTGGTTCACCTCTATCTCCTCACAGTTGGAGGAGAGGATGGGGGAGGCCTGAGAGGGTGTGCGGAGGAGCTGGTTGGTGATGGAGAAGAGGAGCCTAGGGTTGTCGTTTGCCTCCAAGATTGCCTTGGAGTAGATGGACAATTTAGTGGAGGCGAGTACGAAACGATAAGTTTGGATAAGATCCAGCCCGATCTGCTGGTGGGATTGCTGAGTTAGATTTGAGCCAGGTGCAGCACTCACCTGTGCCTTGAGGCAGTGGAGGTTAAACAAAATGCATTAGAGGAGCACTTTTTGTTGAAAGAAATTAACTGATTAGCATAGCAACAAAAACATGCAATAGTACAAGCGTAACATGGTGCTTTAACGGCCATAGTTTTGACTTCATCTGGGTTCTGGGTTAATGACAGTCCAGCCCAGAGATATGTGTGGTGAGCAAATTTGAAATCCTTGATTAAAAATTAACCAAAACAGGCCACATGTTTCAGAACAATTGCAGAGCTTGTAATTGGTCTTAATAATAATCCTTGCATTTGATACAGCACCTTTCACATGAGGAGCAATGAGATTCACAGGATTCATTGTAAATGTACTGACTGTATACTGCAGGTAAACAAACACAGCAAACAGCCAAGTGAATCACCAATTTTATTTTGCTGAATAATTGGCCAGGATAGAATCGTAGAATTACACAGCTTAGAAGAAGGCCATTCAGCCCATCATGTCTGTGCCGTCTCTTTGAAAAGAACTTCCAATTCAACCCCACTCTCTTGCGCTCTCCCCATAGCCCTGGAAACTTGTCCTCCCCAAATAATTTTCTACTCTTAAAAGTTGTTATTGAATCAGCTTCCACCGGCCTTTCAGGCAATGCATTCCAGATCCGAACAACTCTCTGTGTGAAAACATTTCTCACCTCCCCTGTTTCTTTTAACAACTATTTTACATTGGTGTCCTCGGGTTACCAACCCTCCCGCCAGTGGGAATAGTTTCTCCTTGTTCACCCTATTGAATCGCTTCATAATATTGAAAACTTCTATTAAGTCTCCTCTTAACCTTCTCTGCTCCAAGGAGAATAATCCTCGCTTCTCTACCTCTCCTGATAACTGAAGTAATCAGTGAATAATTGAAGATACTGGGAGAAATACCCTTCTCTTTTCCAATAGTGTTGTGGGATCTTCAACAGTCACCCAAATAGGTAGACGAGACCCGAGTTTAAAGTCTCAACTGAAGAACGATGCCTGCAACAATGCAGGGTTTTCCGAGCATTGGAGTGTCAGCCTAGACAATGTCTCTTTGGCCTCTGTGGTAAGAGTGCTACTAGGATGGCAAAAAGTTTTGGAACTTTTCACATTGGATACTTTCCAAATTTAGCTGGACTGTATAATCAGGCAAGTTAGTGGAGTGGAAGGGTCAAATTGGAAGTTGGTGGACTGAACAGCCGTTTCTCGTCAATCTCTTTATATCTGGTCTCAATTTAATATTGTATATCATTTTAATAACAGCTCATTATCCCATTTTTAATTTCTTCAAAACCAATAAGCCTTAAGCCAAGCCATTCTAAAAGTGGTTTCCTCTAAACCATGGAGGCACTGGAGAAGACAATAGCTTCCTGAAATACAAGAAAATGGTCGAGGAAACAAATACATCAAAGGCATACGGAATGGACCACCTAATTGAGACGAGATCCTAAGAATATTCTAGTATTGATTTTCCTACACTAATCTGAAATCCTAGCTCTCAGAAGCTTAATACAAATACAGTCCAAGGTTTTTTTTTGGGAAGAAAGCAAGATTCCACATTCAAGACAAATAGTTAATTTTGGACTGATCCCCCTTTTGAGCTGTGAAGGGGCAGGTTGGTTGGATGCAGGTTTTTGTTTTATTGCTTCAAAAATGTGCTTTAACAGAAACACTTTACAGCTGCACTCATGTGCTTTTTATTTTATTTTTGACATGACTATCAAATTATGGGCAGTTTTGAGCCATGGTTATCAAAAACTGGACTAACAGTACATCTAAACTAATTTCACATATTATTATTTCTAAGATGGAATCAAATATAGCACATTTGCATTTTCTTGGCTACCTCAGTCACTAGGCCCCAGCAGGATTTTTCCCAGGACAGTCATTTGAAGAAAAACGTTAAAAATTGGAACAAAATTAATATTTACAATTTTTTATTAAAATTATAATTTTAAGTGATTCTGTTAATAGCTGCCCCTGATATTGGAGTGGGATTATTAATGTAGTTGGTATCTTGTCTATTTCAGACCCAAAGTATGTGAGCTGAAAACAAAACTAGTCGACGAAGGAGACAAGTTAGCTCCCTGAACCTGTGGGCAATCAATGGACTGGGGCTGGAAAGTAAGTGAGAAACTGTATAATAGTGGGGAATTTATATACTTTTAAAGGGTGAAACTGGAATGAATGCATCTTTTAACATTTCTTAACAGCATCAAGCTACACTATTTTCTAATTCTGGCCACCGAAGATTAACTTCCAATACTGGTCAGAAATATAATACATTCAAAATCCCTAACCCCAAGATTTATACACCCATACTTGTTGAATGCTTTAGCCTGAAACCCAAGGATTCAAATATATGATCATTTGTTAGCCGTTGTGTTTTACCACAGTAGAATTGTTATCATAAATGTGCAAGAAATTTGGTTCCAATCAGTGATAGAATAATCAGGCTGCTTTTCTTGACTCCTAATGCCATTCTGGAGCAGTCCTGGTTTAGTAAGATTACAAAAGGAAGTTCTTTCAGTGGTTGGTATTTTGTTTCCTCTCCAAAAGGGAACAGAACGAACACATATCCTGGACTCACTTCCAAAGAGTTGAACAGGATGCAACCAATATCTCTTCAACACTCAGATAGAAATACATCTGGGCATAATCCAATTTAATCCCATCAATAACTGGTTCAGTGGTGTATGCACACCATTACTCTCATTTAAAACAGTTCAGATCAAATACTAGGACAATTTTACAAAACACTTTGAATGTCTGCAAACAAAAGGTTTCACAATGCTTCAATCTGAATTCCATTTTCCTTTTAAGAGCATTAAGAACAACCTAATGTTTCCATCTTGTAGCAAAAATAGACAGTTTAATGAGGGCTAGTGCGATTAAATATACCCTTCAAATCCCGAAGCTATGATGGTAATGCTTTGTGACAGAATCTGCATAACTGGATACAGGTTTCAAGTCCTGAACAGCACAGCTCCAGAAACGCCTCCACGTGCTTCCTTGAATGTAACTATTTATTCTCAGTTAGGTCTCTGCAGTTCAAATGTTTGGAGTCATGATGAAAACAAGGATGTGATGAAATTGGATTACTTTCCTTTGCCATGTGCACCTGACACAGAAGAAGGTGGGAATATAGGACCAGTGTGGGCCAATGAAACAGTAAATAAAGGCAACACAGTTTCAGGTGGTAACATTAAATGCAAATTGAGCGTAGAACTCTCTTCTCATTCTCATTGAGGTGGTCAGAAAATGCTGTGTAGCAGGGTTGCTGTGCAAATTGACGGAGGTAATCTGTTAGATACGCCTGCAAATTAAATGAACCATTAGCCAACAGTACATTAATTGTTTTCCCGATGTCAGACAAAGGCCCAACCGCGAATGAAATTGAGACTGAACCATGAAATGCTGCCTCAGTTCTCTCTGCTCTCACTTTTCTTATTTTGCTTTTCTCTCTTCCCCCTCTCATGCTCTCTTTCTACTCCCCTCTCTTTCCCTTCCTCAGTTTCTTCTCCCCTTCCCTCACCTCTCACTGACACACACTCTCTCTCCCCCACATTCTCAATCTCTCTCTGCTCTCTCCCACTCTCTTGACGTCCACTCTCTCCCCCTTTCTTATGTTAACCAAGGAGGGAGAAGGTCGAATTTTGGAAATTGTCTCAGGCCGGATAAAATAACCCGCCGGACCATCCTAATCTAATCAATTTTATACAGATTCCTAAATCAATTAAACGTGTTTCAGATAAATTTCTGTGTTAGTTTTTTTTTAAAAAGCATGGTGCAGCTCTGCAGACTTCATGTGGGCAAGAACTGAGCCAGCTGCAATTCAAAACTCTTCCAATTCGAAAAGAAATGTACCAAGAAACAGGAAATACATCAGGAAATAATCCAATTTACTCCCAACAGCAAAGGTTATTGGGCCAATTTACAATACATTAAACTCCCTGTTCTCACTCCACATATGGAGTTTACATTTACCTGTAAATCAATTGGGTACAAAGGATCCTTCAGTGCATCAGGGTCATCTTCATCATCCTCATCATAATAGTCATCATCTGATTGTCAAACACAACAAGTTACTAATCCTATCCATATTAACCTCTTTGCAGGCAGCATTGCTGTGACGTATTACCATTCAGAAAGGGACAATTGTCTGTAAAACGTAATGGGTCCAAGAAGCAAAGAGCCACACATACAAGTTTTGCCAGTGTGTGCCCAATACTTTCTGGACTTATGTAAACATGGAAGGGGGGGGGAGGTGGAGAAAAGAGTGCTCACTAAATTACAGAAAAATTGGAAATTTCTATGCCTAGGTGACATGCATATGTGGAACATGGTCTACAGCAAATGACAAACTATGATAATCGCAATTGTACGCCATAAGAATTTGCTAGGCAAAAGAAGACCCAGGTCCATCTAGTACACCTTCCACCATCCTGGCAGTCGCTTTTGACATGTTGTGCCCCAAACTATATACTCTATCCCGAGATATTTTCTAGTAGAAATCTTATCTAATTTGTTCTTGAAACAAATTACATTTTTTCTTCCACCGTCTGTCTCCCTAGGGAATCTGTTCCATAAGTTTACTACTCGCTCATTGAAGTAGTATTTCCACAGATTTGTTCTAAATTTACCCACCTTCAATCATACCGGGTGCTTAACATTAAATCTTCTGCAATACAACAAATTGATAATCATTATAATGGCCAGAAGGTGGGAAACACCAGCCTTCCCGAGCACCAATTTTCAAATTATCATTTTTTCTGTTCTTGAGGCAGCAAAAAAGAGATTATTATGTTTAAAAAGGTAATTTTCTGGGGCTGGATATTTAGAAGACAGCAACATTCTCTCTCCAGAAAATGTTATATTATTGTAAAATTTTATATCAAGAGTTTGGGCATCTTGGGCCCAGCTGTTGCTGACATCTAGTGGCCAATCAATTAATAATAATAATAATGGGGACAGCAATGTCCCACAAACAGCCATGGAGTTTCAATTTTATTTGGGGGGTTGGCCACTGGGAGAAACTCCCTTCTCTTTTCAAATAGTGATATGGGATCTTTAATGACCACCTGAACAGGCAGAAGCGTAGTGGTTAGAGCACTCGCCCCACAGGTGAGAGGAACCAGGTTCGATTCCTGGCTGAGGCCAAACCTTAGGCAAGTTTTCTTACTCCACATGCCTCTGTTTACCTAGCAGTAAGTAGGAACCCAGTTGTTAGTTGATTGGCTGATTGCTTTTCAGGGGTAATAAATCCTCAAAAAAAAAATTTGGTGACAGAATCCATGACTGTTATGGGACGCTGCTGTGCGCAATTGGCTGCTGCGTTTAGCCCACAAAATACACAATCATTACACTTTACAGTATATTCTGTGAAGCGCTTTGAGATGTCTCGAAGCCATGATAAGGCGCTATATCAAATACAAGGATTATTATAAGTGAGTGAAGGAAACTGGCGATAATGTCAGTGTAAAATTATTGAACACTTCAAATTACTCTAACTACAGCTTTGCCAATAATGGAGGTTCTTTGCAGCATTAAGTTTTTTTTTGATCAGCTGTGTGTCTGATATACGCAGATACCCATCACCATGCTTAAGAGTATATCCAAACCAGAGTTCCATGCATCCCACCTGCACATAGAAATTCCCAGTATTGGAATAAAATGCACACATTCTCCCTGAAGGGACACACTTTAAACTTTTAACATAGACAATTATTAAACAGAAATGTGTTTCTATACTGCAATAATTTTGAAGAAAGTCCAATATCTATTTATATCTCAGAGAAGAGCCAGGACTCGAGCCAGAATATGGTGACACACGCTTTCAATGAATCAGCCCGGTATGATTAAAAGACAATGAAGTGAAGTGCAGCGTAAAGACTGTGAAGTGCAGCATAAACACACAATATCTTAAAAATTCCAGTAACAGCATTACTTCAAAAAACTTCTTACCATATCTGGCACCTGCCCCTGGACTGAGCAGATCTGACAATAGTTGTCCAGCTAAACCTTCGTCATCATCCTCGTCCTCCTCTTCCTGGTCTTCCCACATATCGTTAACCTCATCTTGGTACATTGAATAGACAAGAATAGCAGATCAATCACGGTGGTGGATTCACACAGTGCATTCCAGTGACTGAACATTAACATTTATTGAATGGGATTCACAAATTACCAGCAAGGGGGGAACTCCTGGCTCAGGTCGCAACCCTGTTTGGAAGTTCGGGTATCTCAAATGTCTGTTACCAGTTTTGTGCTGATTATTAAGTATGCAAGGGAGATATTAGGTTTTTTTGATCAGGGATGGTTATGATTCTGTTGAAAGAATAGTTTCGTGAAATTACAATTAAGCTGTACCTTTCTATCACTGATTCAAACAGCTTTTATATTAATTTAAGAACTGGCTTTAAAATTAACTTGTTAAGTGAAGACAGAGCAAAACAACCATGTGGGACTTCTTAGATTGGAAATAGTAAAATATGAATTCTTTGTAGAAATAAAGTTTGGTTTTATACAGCACCTTATGTTAAAATGTCTCAAAGTGCTTTGTACAATGATGTTATTTTGAAGGGTTGAACAAACATGGGAATGGCAGCTGAATTGGTTGAAAAACATCCTACAAATCAACAAGGAATAATCTTTATTTGTGAATTTAAATGAGGGAAGTTATATGGCCTGAACACCAAAACTCTAGTCCACTAAACTACATCCCAGAAGCAAATATGATCTTGGTTTTGTATCTCACTGAAGATGGCACCTCCAACTGTCCAGTGACTCCCCAGTATGCATCAAGTGATAGCCTGAATCATGAAGTCAACTTCTGGTGTTCTGCTCAGACCTTCTGACCCAGAAAGGGGGAAGTGGGAGAGAACAGTAGCTAAATGTAAGTAATAGTAGTGACTGAGCTTATGCACACACCAATCTGAGTGATTTTACCAGCTGGCTTCGTTGATGCAGGGACAATGAAATAAAATTAATGCATTTCTATCTTGGACTGGCTCGTTCAATTTGCTTATTAGTCTTAGAAAGAGAAAGATGGCTTCCTAACACAGGAACAATACCTTGATTCCATTCAGTTTCTGTGGCCTGTCGGGTGACATTGGCTTCTATCACAGTGGAGAGTTCAGAAATCACCAATTTGAAGAGTTTCACTAGCAAGGGAATGTTGGTCCACCGCTCTGGATCTGCTCAAGACAGTGATATCAGGATGAGGCCAGTCACGTCAGCCAAAGGGGCATTGGAAAGAATCCTTCTTTCCACAAGACAGTTGTTAGCCCCCAAAAATGTAATAGTATGTAAAAAGAGTTATCCGTTTAGCTGTTCTGTCTCTAGACAAAGAAAGTAATTTTTGATAAAACACAATGGCAGATGTGTGAGATGAAAAAGTTACTCTTCAGCATTGTGCTAATTACAGATAAAAACAGTGTTGTGTGAGTTACACAAACCTGAGTCACTTTATGGATTATTTCCTATAATTGTTCAATTCCCAACAGACATCCTCTGTTTCCACAGATGTAAGCTCTCAAATTCAGCGCCTAAACTATTAAGAGCAATAAAAATCCCTATAGTTTCCCTGTTCTCCATTCAATGATTCCCTGGTCAGAAAATGTTTTCCATTATCTACAAGAAACCTCCGCAGAAAATTTCGCTAGATATTCAAGCACACTCACTAAATCACAAGTTCACACACTTATTCCTATTTTTGTTTGACAACATTGTCAGACCCTCTTGGTATGCCTATAGTTTTTACAGAATAAGGAAACATGATGTGGGGATATTTTAAGGGAACAAATGATTTGAGACAAACTTACTTTTTGCCGTCTTTGAACGTGTACGTATTCCCTCATCAGGGTTGAATACTTCTTCTCCCTTTACCAGTATATCTTGCAGCCTTTTGTCATCTGTATTAATGCCATGTTGCAACAGTTTACACATAGCTATGATACTGTGGATTAAAGAGAACCACAGATTAGTCATCAACAGCAGTCTGGGGCCATCCATCGCAAGATATAAAGAGGTCTTTCATATAGATTCTCTGTTGATAATAGGGTCTCAAAGCATATACACTACATCGATCAACAACCTTTAGTTATGTAGCACCGTTTACTTAGGAGCACTGATCAGTTGGTTAATCAAAAAGCCTTCATCTGATCCTGTAGAGTCCTGTAGCTCAGTGGTTAGAGCACTCACTTAGCAAGTAAGAGGACCTGGGTTTGATTCCCGGCAAACCGAAACATTGGGCAAGTTTCCTTACTCCACATGCTTGTTTACCAAGCAATAAGTAGGAACCCGGTTGTTAACTCGATTAGCAGGTCGCTTTTCCGGGGGTAATAATTCCTTTAAAAAAAATTGGGTCACTCAATCCACTACTGTTTGTGGGACGCTGTTGTGTGCTGCTGCCGCGTTTCACCCACAAAATATACAGTCAATTCACTTTACAGTATATTCTGTGAAGCGCTTTGTGACGTCTCGAAGACGTGATAAGGCGCTGTATCAAATGCAAGGATTATTATTATACTATTATTGATCATTAGCTTGCATATTCCTGATGGCCTCCACCCTCCACCAATTCTGAACCGTATAATATTTGCCGTTACCCCCATCCTTGCCAGGTTTCCAGTACCCCAGCAGATTCTTTAAGATACTTGCCCTAATTTTTAAATCCCTTCATGGTCTCAGCCCTCCCTATCCATGTCATCACCTCCAGTCCTTTTTTTCCTATGGCGTTCACTTTTCCCTCTCTGAGCTGTTCATTCCTCATTGCTTCAGTCCTACTATTGGTGGCTGGGTCTTCACCCTCTCTGCCCTGCACTATTGAAGCCTGCCCCAAAATTCTGTTACCATTCACATTCTCAACTGTGCCTTTGATTAAAACCCTTAAATTCTCCTTCCTCTCTGCCCTACTCAGTGCTTCCCATTTTCGCTAGGGTGCTTTAAGATGTCAATCCTATGAGAAAGGAATGTAGTTAACGTCAAATTGCTATTGTCTGTGTCAGCTCTACCGACCAAACATACTAAGCTGACAGTTAAATATCAGCAATGATTCCATGTTCTGCCATAAAGCAGCATCGTTTGGCATAAGCAGGAGCACCACACCAGTTTTCAGATGATCCATATTCTTAGATGGGATTTAAAAAGAGATGGGGAGGGTGGAGACAAAGGGGTAAAGGGAGGGAGTTTCAGAGGTTAGAGGCATAGTACCAGAAAGCTTGATCTATTGAGGTTCAGTTGGTTTGGGGGACAAGCAGGAGGCAAGAGTTAACCGAGGAGTGGGCAAACAGAAGAGTGGAGTTGGAGAAGATCACAGAGATAGAGAGACACCAGGGCGTGAAGAGATTTGATATAGGACTCTATCACATCTTCGAGATGTCTCAAAGCAATTCACGGAATATACTGTAAAGTGAATTGACTGTATATTTTGCGGGCAAAACACAGTAGCCAATTACACACAGAAGTGTCCCACAAACAACAACAACAAAATTACATTTATAAAGCGCTTTCACGTCGGGAGGACTCCAAAGCGTTGAACAGTCAGCTGTTGGGGCCCGAGCATGGGGGAGGGGTGGTGTAGGGGTGAGGGAAGGCAGAGGTGGGAGGGAGACCGAAGGCACGGTCGAAGAGGAAGGTCTTGAAACCGGCCTTGAAGGAGGCAATGGAGGAAGTGAGGTGAACGGACCGTGGGATGGAGTTCCAGAGTGTGGGGCAGAGAGGCTGAAAGCCCGGCCACCGATGGTAGGGCGGGTCGGGCAAGTTAATAATAATCCTTGCATTTTGATATAGTACTTTTCACGTCGGGAGGACGTCCCAAAGCGCTTCACAGAACACACTGACTGTGAATTGACTGTATATTTGTGGGCGAACGCGGCAGCCAATTGCGCACAGCAATGTCCCACAAACAGTCGTAGATTGAAAATGACCAATTTATTATTGTTTTGTTTTGGAGGGATTATTATTAGGCTCTGTGTGGAGTAAGGAAACTTGCCCGAGGTTTCGCCCTGACCTGCCGGGAATTGAACTCAGGTCTCTCACTTGCAAAGCGAGTGCTCTAACCACTGAGCTACAGGACTCCACGGTTGGTAGGGAGGCAGCAGGTCAGAGAGGTAGGATGGGGCAAGGCCATGATAGCCTTGAAAGTGAGGACGAGGATCTTGAACTCGATCCTCTGGGGGATGGGAGCCAGTGGAGTCGGGCGAGGGTGGGAGTGATGGCGTCACGAGCCTGGTGCGCGAGAGTACACGAGCTGCAGAGTTTGGCTGATCTGCAGCTTGTGAAGGGAAGAGTTGGGAAGGCCGATGAGGAGGGATTTCCCGTAATCAAGCCCTGAGGTGACGAATGCGTGGGTGAGGGTTTCAGCAGCCTGAGGGGTGAGGCAGTGGCGGAGTCTGGCAATGTTGTGGAGGTGGTGATAGGCAGTATCAGTCATGACGTGGATGAGGGGGAAAAAGAACAGTTCAGGGTCATAAAAGACACTCAAGTTCCTGACTGGCTTAGTGAGGTTGAGAGTGCAGCTGTGGAGGCTGATGCTGCCAGCGCCTGAGGTGCAGAGACGCTGGCGTGAGCCAATCAGAAGGGCCTTGGTCTCGCTGACGTTGAGTAGGAGAAAGTTGGACCTCGTCCAGGACTTGATGTCGGACAGGCAGTCAGTCGGGACATCAGTGGTCCTGGAGTTCAGGGTGGAGGCAGAGAGATAGAGTTGGGTGTCATCCGCGTACATGTGAAAATTTATCCCATGTCTGCGGATGATGTCACCAAGGGGGAGCATGTAGAGGGTGAAGAGGAGGGGACCGAGGACAGAGCCCTGAGGAACACCGCACGAGACGGTGCAGGGGCTGGAGGAGAAGCTGTTTACCGCGACGAAGTGGAGGCGGTGTGAAAGGTAGGATCTGAACCAGTCAAGGATAGACCTTGAAGGTTGAGGTGGGAGGAGAGGCGGTGGAGGAGGATTGAGTGGTCCACGGTGTCAAAGGCGGCAGAGAGGTCGAGGAGGAACGAGGAGGCAGACGGAGCCCTGGTCACAGATGTTGTTGTTTGTGACCTTGACCAGATCAGTTTCTGTGCTGTGGGCAATACAGAACCCGATTGGAGGGGTTCATGGAGGGAGTGAGAGGAGAGGAAAGAGCGAAGCTGGGAGGCAACAGCTCTCTCAAGGACCTTGGATAGGAAAGGGAGATTTGAGATGGGCTGGTAGCCTGAGAGCTGTGATGGGTCGAGGGAAGGTTTTTTCAAGGTGGGGGTGATAGTGGCTGTTTTGAGGGGGGAAGGAACAATGTCAGATGATTATGGAGAGGTTAATGATGTCGGCGAGTAGTGGGGCTGGGTGGAGCTGGGATTTAAGGAGAGGGGTGGCGATGGGGTCGAGGGAGCAGGTGGTGGACTTCATGGAGGTTAAGGTTACCGTGTTGAAGACAGGAGGGGGTGACAGGTTCAAAGGTGTGGATGGAGGGATGGATGATTGTCGGATAGGTAATTGTGTGGGGTGAGGGTAGAGAGGGGTTGGAAGTTAGGAGGGCAGTGGCAGTTGAGATAATGCCCTCGATTTTGGACTCGAGGATGTCAAGCATTTTCTATCAGTGGGAGTCAGAGGAAAGTATCTGCAAGGCGTGTTGGGAAGGGCGGAGGAGCCGGTTAGTGGTGGAGAACAGGAGCCTGGGATTGCCCTTCGCCTCCAGGATTAACCTGGAATAGAAGGCTGATTTGGCTGAGGCGAGATCGGAGCGGTAGTTCTTGATGAGGTCCAGCCAGATGTGGCGGTGATTGAGTGAGCCACTTTTTTTGGGGGATTGTTACAACCGGAAAAGCGATCCACCAATTAACTAACAACTGGGTTCCTACTTACTGCTAGCTAAACAGAGGTGTGTGGAGTAAAGAAACTTGCTCAACGTTTCACCCTGCCCAGGAATCAAACCTCTCTTGCGAGGGGAGTGCTACAATCACTGAGTTACAGGACTCCAGGTGAATATAGGTGAGAATGAGTCCCATATCTCCCTACTTCTCCGACCTCCTCACTCCCCAATCCACCACCCGCTGACTCCGCTCAACTCACACTGGCTCCTGCTCATCCCTCAGAACCTCCGCTCCACCATTGGAGGTCGTGCATTCAGCCATTACGTCCCGAAGCTCTGGAACACTCTCTCAATCCCACCGGCTTGCCCCCTCACTCGCTTTAAGTCCCGCCTGAAAACTTTCCTTTTGACCGTGCTTATGGTCATCTCCCACCCCCGGCTTGGAGTCAGACTCCGCCACTGTTAAGTGCTCTGAGATGCTGCCCTGCGTGCAGGGCGCTGTACAAGTGCAAGTTGTTGAAGTTGATCTGGGGTGATGGGAATGTGACAATTGGCTCAAGTGAGAAAAGGAGTGGTGGAGACTTGGATCAGATGGAGCTTATGGATGGTGAACCTAGGGAGATCGGCAAGAACTGCATTTGAAAAGTCTGAAAATCTGTTCACTTTTTGTAATTGATTTCCCTGATGGGATTTTTGTAGAAACACAATTGTTGTGACCTCTTTTGATTTTAAGCAAGTAGCACTGCTTGGCGATATTCACAAGAGCATGAGCGAGGCAGCAGATAGTAATTTTTTTACAGCAACCACAATGCTAATAGCATTTAGCTGGTCAATGTTACAAAGTCCTACAATGGAAAAACTGAGTTAAGGACCACAATATATAAGATCAATTTAAAATCACGGCACCTGACTTTTCCTTCATACTGTCCATAAAAAAGATGCTGCCGACTTGTCCACTCAGTCATCACAAACTCCAATGCAGGTTTCCCAGTGGGGCCAGGCAAGCTGCACAAGAACTCCAGCAGAGGTTCCAGCTGGTTGTGAACTAGATGTGCAAACACCATGATCAGAGACTGCAGAGAGAATAGGAAAAGTAAACAATCTAAGGCAAAGCTGCACAGGAATCTAGATCACAGAAATTTCTTTACTGTACAGTATCCGTGCAGGATCAGTCAAATACCTATTTATGAGCTGAGCCAACAGAAAAGTGTGGCCGCATTTTTGCCGGAGAACCCGCCACAAACACCCCCCACCTCCCCCTTGGCCACAAACACTCAGCCCCCACGGTCACAAACACCCCCCNTCGGCCATAAATCCACTATTGATGTTTCTGGCCTGCAGGCTTTACACCTGACTGTGGGTGGGGCGGCTCCAGTCCCGCAAACGCAAGCGAAAAGGGGCTTCACTCGGAGGCCCCACTGTTATGATTGTCTGTGTGTCTCTGTGTGTTTGTGAGGGTGTGTATGATTGTGTGTCTCTGTATATCGCTCAGCACCTTGGGGCATCCTCCCGACTTGAAAGGCGCTATACAAATGTAATCTTGTTGTATTATGCATTTGTGAGCGTCTCTGTGTCTGTCTCTCCTCTGTGCCCGAGTGTATCTCTATTTGTGAGCGTCTCTATATGAGTGGTGTCTCTCTGCGTCTGTGTATGTGTGTGTCTATGTGTCGCTTGAGTGTGTGTCTCTGTGTCTGTGAGTTTGTGTCTTGTATATGTGTTGGTATCTGTGAGTGTGTGGCTCTCTCGGTTTCTCTGTGCGTGCTGGGCTCCGAGAGCTCCTGTAGACTCGTTGGTGTCCCCTCCACAAAAAGGCCACCCAGTTTTTGTTAAAAGAAGCAATATTTTTTTGCAACAATCTAATATGTGTTATTTCCTCATGTTTAGTTTGTGTCAATAAACTATCAAAAAATGTAGGTTGGGAATAAATTGTACTTCAATAGCACCAATCAACTCCCTGCCATTTTCTGCAAAATTTGCCAACCACCCCCAACAAATTTTAGGCAAATATTTCTGCACTTTTCAATTGGCCCAGCTTGAGAAAATTTGGGAAACAACTTGAAAATAAACATGTTTAACAAATTTAGACAAATTTTTCCTTTTGCCTTTAATTCTATCCTCATCTAAGTGCAACCTCACTCCAAGTCTAAGATTCTCCAAACTGCAATCCTTGTTCAAGATCCAACATTTTGGCCAATCACAGAAAACTACTGCACCAATTTAAGTAGCCAGAGTGACTTCTGAGTGGTGTGTAGGCTGCATTCATTTGTTGGAGATGACATTTTCAGTGAAAAACTGAATTGCAGTGATAAAGAATCCACATTATTTCAATAACAGATTAACAGACTTCTAATTATGTCCTGTGGAATCTGTCATTGCTGCAGTGGTGCCCCTGAAATATTTACACTGGAGCAGCAGTGCTCTTTATAATTGAATCCTCCAATGGAATCCTGAACTGCTGAATTGGTCACAGTAATGCAATGAACTCCTAAAGTCAACTGCACACTAAAAGTTACTGTTATGAACAGAACAGTGAATAGCAATGCACAATTATTTTAATAAAAGATGAAAGAAGTGGAACAAATTACTAGTATAGAAAAAGGAACAAGAAAGGGTGTCAAAATGGAACTAGAAAAGCTCTTGTAAATTAAAATGATTGAGGGTTATTAATCTGAACTGCTCTGCACCAAGCTTTCAGCATGTCCGCCCACATTATACCAAGCTTCTTGGCTCTGTGTCCCCACACATTGCATCAAGTTCTTGTTCCCTGCACCTTCAGTATATCTGGCCACATTACACTAAGCTGTTCCTTTCCCTACACTCTCATGTCCATCCATATTGCACTCTCTTTATACTCTTTGTCTGTTCCCTCTACTTTCACCATGTCGCCCCCATTACACTGCTCCCTTCTACTCGCTGTGGCATTCACCATTCCCACCTACATTTGTCTGAGTCCGTTTCCCTTCGCCCTTTTCATACGTCAATGCTGATGCTCTCCGTGGTCCTGCGGTACCCACCTGCATTACACTGAGTGTCTCTGCCTGTTGCATTTTGCTCAGTATTGCCCGTAGTATCTGGTCAAGGTTGTCTCCTAACTGGGAGCCTGCTTTTGAAATCAACGTGGAAACTAATCTCCCCACAAATGCTGCGGTGAACTCTGACGTGCGTGGATCCAGCAGTTGGCTGACGACCTGCATCACATACCACAGTCCATTGTGACCTTGTTCATCGTGCCATTGTACAATCTGCTCCAAAGCTACTGCAACATAAGCACGTAGACACTCACCACCATTCTGGAAAGGAAAAGAAGAGTTGGGTGAACCGGGGCAAATTGCACATCAGATATGGCAGAGAGCGGAAATTCAACTATAATATAATTAATAACCCTTGCATTTCATAAAGCGCTTTTCACGTCTTCTAGACAACAATAGCCTGCACTTACGTAGCGCCCTCCACGCAGGGTAGCGTCTCAGAGCCAGGGGGAGGGGGGAGTTGGCCGTAAGCACAGTCAAAGAGGAAAATTTTCTGGCAAAACTTGAAAGAGAGGGAGCAAGGCAAGATTGAGGGAGTGTGTTCCAGAGTTTTGGGGTGTATTGGCTGAATGCGCACCTCCGATGGTGGGGTGGAGGGTGTGAGGGATGAGCAGGAGCAGGTCGAGCAGAGGCGCCGGGTGGTGGACTGGGGAGTGAGGAGGTCGGAAAGGTAGGGAGGTGCCAGGGAGTGGAGGGATTTGAATTCGACTGTGAGGATCTTGAAGTCGATCTGGTCAGTGATGGGGAGACAGTGGAGCCTGGGCCAGAACTGGTGAAATGTCGGTTTGGAGTTTGTGGGCAGCGGAGTTTTGAATGAGACGTCTCAAAGCGCTTCAAAGAATATACTGCAAAGTGAATTGACTGTAAAGTGAATTGACTGTATATTTGCGGCAGCCAATTGCGCACAAAGAGTCGTGGATTGAAGTGACCAATTTATTGTTTTTTTCCTTGAGGGATTATTATCAGGCGTGTGGAGTTAGAAAACTTGCCCAAGGTTTCACCCAGCTGGGAATTGGACCCAGGTCTCTCGCCTACGAGGTGAGTGCTCTAACCACTGAGCTACAGGACTCCACCCAAGATTTTCATTGTTAAACAGGTAAAGCACTGAATCAAATTTCAAAAGATCATAGGTTAGAACAGAAATTGAATTCCATTTTCAAACCAGATCATTGCACTCACTTATGCCGCTGGAGTAATATACTCTAATTCTATTTTCTTGCTTCCCCTAACCCTTTTACATCTTTAATCTATGGTATTTGTGGTAACCTCTTTTAAATCTTTTTTTAATCAAGTTCCCCAAATATATAAACCCAGAGACCCATTTGTCCTTATTATGGCGTTTTTCTTAAAATGAACCAAGTGCCCTTGGCTATCAAGGTGAAAGTACTATCACTGGGTCGAAGGACTTTTGGAAATAACTAAATCCAAGCAGACCCTTTTTACACTGTGCAAACCTCCCTTGGTTTTCAAAATACTCATCATCCTACCTGCATGGTTGCATTGTCATCTGTGTGCAGGGTACACTGAGCCAAAACTGGGAATGCTTCACAAATCAGCACATCGGACAGAGGGGACTTTGTATTCCTCACCACAGTTGTCAGTATATCAATAGCAGTCTACAAAAAGGCAGGAAAACTGTATAAAGAACAGTGATACATTGCATGGAGCCCATGTAGACCCACCACTGTAACACTATAACACGTGAATTACTCACCGCACAGAGTCCTGATGGAATTTTATCGGTAGGGGCATGCATGATGCTGATTAGAGTTGGGATTAACCTCATCTGCATGGGACCCTGACAGGCCTCAATCTGCGCAAGCTCCTTGAAGATATCTTGAGCAAGAGTTGCCACCACTGGATCTAGCGAACAAGCCGGATGAAAAGAATCAATTTCAGATTAAACTACCATAAAGAAAGCTTCACTGAAATCAGCTTTATTGAGGAAACAATAAAGCCATTATTAGATACACAAGGCCTGTGCTCAATGTATCCATAGACAGGGATTTTCCTTGCTCTCTCTGTCCCTCTCACCATACAGCATCAATACTCTCGACTAGGGAAGAAACGGGAAAGCAGGGAGTGAGCACAGATCAGCGAGGTACTTGCTGCTGATCATCAATGATTACAACCGGAAATACATTTGGGAATTGGCTGTGATACCAATTTGTTACTTTTGCTCATGTGTGAAGCATGGCACTCAGGAGAATATCAGAGAACTGACAACAGGGTGAAAATATAAAGTATAGAGGTAGATCTTTTTCAGATTAGTGTGATTTAGCAATTTTACTTTCAAATTGAAAACACTGAGATTGTTGCAGTGTTTCCATTAGCCTGTCTGAATAGCACCATAATAATAATAATCCTTGCATTTGATATAGCGCTTTTCACGTGGGGAGGACGTCCCAAAGCGCTTCACAGAACACACTGTAAAGTGAATTGACTGTATATTTGTGGGCGAACGCGGCGGCCAATTGCGCACAGCAATGTCCCACAAACAGTCGTAGATTGAAAATGACCAATTTATTATTGTTTTCGGTTTTGGAGGGATTATTATTAGGCTCTGTGTGGAGTAAGGAAACTTGCCCAAGGTTTCGCCCTCTGCCTGGAATTGAACTCAGGTCTCTCGCTTGCAAAGCGAGTGCTCTAACCACTGAGCTACAGGACTCCACGCTACTGAATCCTATCAAGGGAGATACTCGAGTCTCCTTGACAATCAGTGTGAGCAAAGAACAGATCAGCAGAATGTTTCCAGATTTAAAATTACATTTTAAAGTTTGGAAGCATGAAATTAGTGTTACTTCCTCGCTGCAATCAACTAACCATGGACTCAAATGAAGTGGGGCAGGTTTCAGTAGGAGAGCATCTGGACAACAGTGATCACAACATCATTAGGTTTAGAGTACTTATGGAAAGGGACAAGAAGCAATCAAAGGTGAAGATACTCATTGGAGGAGGCTAATTTCAGTGAGTTAAAAAGGGACCTATCCAAGGAGGACTGGAAAGAAAGATTGGCAGGTAAAACAACTAATGAGCAATGGGAAGCCTTCACAAGGAGGAGATAGTTCGGGGACAGAACAAATACATTCCCACAAAGGGGAAAGGAGGGCATCCAAACCTCCCTGGATGATTAAGGAAATTGGGATTAAAATAAAACAGAAAAAGGAGAGTTATGATAAATGTCAGGTCCAAAATACAGAAAATAATCAAATAGAATATAGAAAGTACAGAGTAGCACTGAAAAAGGAAATAAGAGGGGCAAAGAGATTGTATGAGAAAAGATTAGTGGGTAACATAAAAGGGAGCCCTAAATTATTTTAAAAGCATATAAAGAATAAAAGGTTAGTCAAAGGTAGGGTGGGTCCAATTAGGGACCAAAGAGGAAATCTTCTTGTGGAGGCAGAGGGCACGGCTGACGTACTGAATGAGTACTTTGCATCTGTCTTCACAAAAGGAGAGGATGCAGCCAATGCCACAGTATTGGAGGAGAGAGTAGAGAAATTGGATAAGAATAAACTGAGAGGAGGTATTAAAAAGATTTGACGGTGCACAAGGTAGATAAGTCACTATTGGCTTGGGACATCCTCCCGACGTGAAAGGCGGTATTCAAATGTAATCTTGTTGTTGTTATACAGAGGGAAATAAGGGAGGAAACAATGGAGGCTCTGGCCACAATCTTTCAATTCTCCTTGGACACCGGGGCGGTCCCTAGGGACTGCAGGGTTGCAAATATTACTCCTTGTATAAAAAGGGCGCAGAAGGATAACCTGGGAACTACAGACCAGTCAACCTAACGTCAGCAGTGGGGAATCTTCTAGAGACTATAATCTGGGCCAAAATAAATTTTCACTTAGAAAAATATGGGTTAATAAAGGACTAACAACACGGATTTGTGTTTAACAAACCTGATAGAGTTTTTTGATGAAGTAACGAGGAGGGTGGATGAAGGTAGTGCAGTTGATATAATTTATATGGATTTACAAAAGGCGTTCGATAAAGTGCCACAAAACAGACTTGTAAACAAAATAGAAGCCCACGGTATTAAAGGAACAGTGGCAGCGGATACAGAACTTTCTGGGAGACAGGGAGCAGAAAGCACTGGTGAACGGTTGTTTTTCTGACTGGAGGGAAGTGCAGTGGTGTACCCCAGGGATCAGTATTGGGGCCACTGCTGTTTGTGATCCATATAAATGACCTGGACTTGGGTATAGGGAGTACAATCTCCGATTTGCAGATGATACTAAACTAGGAAAAATGGTAAACAGTGAGGAGGATAGTAACAGACTGCAAGAGGACATAGACAGACTGGTCAGATGGGCAGACACGTGGCAGATGACGTTTAATGTGGAGAAATGTGAAGTGATTTGTTTTGTAAGGAAGAATGAGGAGAGGCAATATAAGCTGATGGTACAATCTTAAAGGGGGTGAAGGAACAGAGAGACCTGGGGGTTCATATAGTAAATCTTTGAAGGGGCCGGACAGGCAGATACAGCTGTTAAAGAGCATCCGGGATATTAGGCTTTATAAATATGGGCATAGAGTACACAAGTCATGAAGTTACGATGAACCTTTATATAAAACACTGGTTATGCCTCAGCGAGAGACTGTGTGCAGTTCTGGGGATTTGATAGGGTGAACAAGGAGAAACTATTCCCACTGGCGGGTGAGTCGGTAACCCGAGGACATCGATTTAAAATAGTTGTTAAAAGAAACAGAGGGGAGGTAAAGAGAAATCTTTTCACACAGCGAGTTGTTGGGAAAGGCTGGTGGAAGCCGATTCGATTTTTAAGAGAGTAGATAATTATTTGGGGAAGACAAGTTTGCAGGGCTATGGGGAGAGCACGGGGAGTGGGGTTGATCAGGGCTATGGAGAGAGTGGTGGAGTGGGGTTGATCAGGGCTATGGGAAGAGCGCGGGGGAGTGGGATTGATTTGGAAGCTCTTTTAAAAGAGCGGCAGACACAATGGGCCGAATGGCCTCCTTCTGTGCTGTATAATTCTATGATTCTATCTGTGATTCTATGTAGTGATCAAATTCCTGCCCTTCAGAGCTACATTACATTGGTTGTAATGCAATGAGATGCAATTTGTAACTCTTTAGTTCCCAGCCACATATAGCCACATACCGTTGCTGTATTTGAGGAAGATTGCGATGGTAAGGGGGCAGACTTTACTTTCAACACTGGTGGTGAAGGCAGGGTCTACAGTGCAGACCACGCAAAGTGTCTCCATGACCAGAGTGAGCACCTCAGAACTGAATTGAGTGGCGAGATGTATCAACCCTTCCAGGATGCTGGGAAGGAAAGGTTGTAAAATGTGTGTGCAGTCTGAGATCTTCAACTGGTCGCAGTACCTGAGGGGAATGGACAGGATGCATTATCCCAGATAACAAGCTGAGAAATCTAACGCACATTCTTTTAAAAGGCTCACAGCAATTAATAATAATAATAATAATCCTTGCATTTGATATAGCGCTTTTCACGTCGGGAGGACGTCCCAAAGCGCTTCACAGAATAGACTGTAAAGTGAATTGACTGTATATTTGTGGGCGAACGCGGCAGCCAATTGCGCACAGCAATGTCCCACAAACAGTCGTGGATTGAAAATGACCAATTTATTACTGTTTTTGGTTTTGGAGGGATTATTATTAGGCTCTGTGTGGAGTAAGGAAACTTGCCCAAGGTTTCACCCTCTGCCTGGAATTGAACTCAGGTCTCTCACTTGCAAAGCGAGTGCTCTAACCACTGAGCTACAGGACTCCACATTAAGGCTACAATGCCTCAGAAGATTCATTTTCCCCAATTATAGATCCTACCACCATGTACCCATTCATAGCTCCCAACCTCTCACACAGGTCAGCCTCCCCACATACTGCTCCCAACCTCTCACACAGGTCAGCCTCCCCACATACTGCTCCCAACCTCTCACACATGTCAGCCTCCCCACATACAGCTCCCATCTCTCACAGGGTTCCCACACCCAGCCACTTACCCCCAGATTGCCCGGACAGCAGATATTCGAACAGATGGTGGTTGAGTTTCATGTAGGCCACTAACTGTAGCTTGTAGAAACTGTTGGATCAACTCTGGTGTCATAACAGTAGTAAAGCGACTGGCAGCCCAGAGAGCACGGCCCAGGAGGAATGGAGAGACTGGGGAAGAAAAGCCTATTTTACACAATCAAATTTATTCTAAATAATCTGAGGCAAAGATTATAATAATAAATAATAAGCCTTGCATTTGATATAGCACTTTATCATGTCTTCGAGACGTCTCAAAGCGTTTCACAGAATATGCTGTAGTGAATCGAATTGACGGTATATTTTGTGGGCGAAATTACTCATCACAATGTTCTCAATATTGAGAATCGACCCAAGCAAGTTCACCAGCCTTATTTTTAAATGAATGTTCTTCACCTTAGTTTTCTTCAAAATATTGATTTACAATGCAGGTCAAGATTCTCAAGATTCAGAAAAGAGTAAGCAAGTGAGATCAGTGAGGTGAGGGATATTGGCACTGGGAAAGTTACCTCATATCATCCACCTATAATTAGTACAAAGTCAACTTGATATTAATCTGTAGAGCAAACGTCCTTTCTGAAGGTTTGGGCCGGGGTGAGGGGAAAGAGACTAAAAATGAAAGTACATTTACTTCTGCATTTGTCCAGTTTCTACATTACCGTGATCTCATCCACAGAAGACTAGGTCTGATGCAGTACAGTAGAAAACTACATATCTGGACATTAACTATCTATGTGCGGACAGATAATCAGCCAATGCAAGGCAAATTTTGAGTGAGCAATTTTTTACAGGTACAATATAGGATTAGAGATATGGAGGGAGTGGGGCTGGGGTTGGGCAGTGGGGCTGGTGGTGGGGAGAGTGGGGCTGAGGTGGGGTATTTCCCAATATGTAATTGGAAGCAGAAGTATTATACAGCTCTCCAAAATTTGAGGTAGTGAGTTTCCTATAATTCTGTATTTTAATCTCTCCAGTACAATAATTAAATCTGAACTGTAGATTCAACCTCTAATTGATCATGAAAGTGCTGTCCAATGCAGTTTGACAAATGCCCGGATCATTTCTTTTTTGGACAGTGAATAGAGCCAGCCACAAAGTGGCTAATTTTTTTCCCCAAAACCAAACTAATGACTGGAGAGCAGTCAGTTCTGGATTGAATCCGTTCTCTCAGGTGTAGGATGCACAGACTCCAGTTACTGCTACATTTTACCTGACAGGTTGAGGTCGGCAAGAACGACGCTGGTCAGGAAGCCATGCACATCAAACTGGATCCGACCATCTTTCACATTCTCGGTGATTGCACTCTTGACAGAGCCCAGCGCCAGCATACACGCTTCATGAACCTTCCACCTGCAGTCCAAACCAAAAAGTTCACTTCCCTCACATCACACTCATGATCAGCAAATGCCCTCCAACTTCAATCCACAACCACCACCAGACAGACAGCATCAGAACCACAACTCAAACCTTTATTACACATGGGGTCTTACCCTGCCCCCACTGCCAACTTTGGATGTACTAAGGTGACAATGTGGGACAGACATTGTGATAAAGTGCTTGCTTTCATTTCTGTGCTGAGCTCCTACATCTAAGCCATATCATTGGGAAGCAGGATCAATCACAAGTCAAGCCATCACTTGGCTAGTGTTAGATACTTCCCACAGACCTGCTGAGGAGCCACTACTGGAAATCTGGAGAAGGTCAGTTGTCAGTTGTTCACACTTCAGCCCCAGTGGGAGCGAGTCTGGGGAACACCCACATAATGTACTCAAATCACATGAACCAAGGCAGACAACTAATGCACCATCCCAGCAAAGGCCATAGCCTGAACTCCAATCAGCCCCAGTCAGCAGTCATTAAGTTACGGACAAACTGGTGACATTTTTCACTTACCAATGAGCATTGCCATTGTTCTTGGCCTGTTCTGCTTCCTGCAGGTGCTTTGTGGCAGCTGCGGCTAAGGCAGCGGCACTGTCAGTGTGGAAATCACTCCCAACAGCCTGCAAATGGGGAAGATGGCATTAGCTCATGTGAATGAAACTCTCCTCCATGCAGGTCAGCTCAAATGTAGAGGGACTGGGCCCACAATACTGGGCTACACAATGATAGTATCCCTCTCTCCAACCCTCCTCCTTACCCCTCTATCCTACTTCCTCCTTCCCTCCCTCTATCCTACTTTCTCCTTCCCCCCTCTCCCCCACCCTCCCCCTCTATCCTACTTTATCCTTCCCCTTCTCCCCCACTCTCCTCCTTCCCCCTCTCCCCCACCCTCCTCCTTCCCTCTATCCTACTTCCTCCTTCCCCCTCTCCCTCCCTCCGTAATGGAATTTGTGGTCCTTTTCAATCTGCTGGGGCAGCAGTCCCTGTACCTTTTCCAAACAGCCAGTGTTCATGTTGAAGTGTTAGCGGTGGGTGTTGGTGGGCTATTTGGCTCCAATCTCATCCACAACTGCACATCTAGCAGCAGGCGTACCCGGGAGGAGGGGAAGATTGCATAGATCAGAAGTAGGAATCCTAGCTGTCTTTCCTCTCTAACCAGGACACCGAGGTCAATTTTATACAGCCCGAGACCATTTCCACCATTCCAACTTCCACTCCCTCCTGAACGTCCTCCCAGGGCAGCAGCAGGAGCCGGCGGATGGTAGGACACAGTGCGCAGACCTGTTACTGCAGTCTGTCAGGAAGGCAAGTGTCTCTCTTACCAACCGCATCCTTAGCAACCGCTGGCTCCTGCCACTGCAGATAGTGAGGGGGAGAGGGTAGAGAGAGAGTGGGGGAGAGAGGAGTGGGGAGAGAGAATAATTGAGAGAGGGGGGTGGAGAGAGTGTGTGAGAGGAGAAAATGCCCAAGAGAGGGGGGGACAGAATTTCCTCCCCCCTCCCCCTCTCCTGAGCTCTCCCTCTTTCTCTCTCTCCCTCCACCGCCTCTCTCTCCCCACATTCTCTCCCTCTCTCCCCTCGTCTCTCTCTCCTCCTCCTCCTCTCTCTCTCCATCCTCTATCTCCTTCTTGCTCCTATCTCCAATTTCTCTCTCTCCCCCAATCTCTCTCCCAAGCGCGGGTCACTATCTCCAGTGGCAGAAGCTGGCGGTTGGTCGCTAAGGACATATTTGGCAAGAAACGCGCTTGCCTTCCTGACTGCAGTAAAGACTGTGCGCTGCTCCAGCCACCAGCTGGCCCACAAGGAATGCGGCCGGCGGACCTTCCTCAAATAGGAAATGTGGCCACATGTTGGACCATCTGCTCGAGGCCATTTGAGTAAAACAATCAACAGTTATTTGAAAAACAGAGAGTTCCAATCTTACCAACATCCCACTGGAGAGAGCAGTATAATGTCAATCATTGCAAACTGCCTGTAGACAACTAAAGCTTTGCCTTAAACTAAACCCTAGATATTGATCTAATGAAGTACCAGATCCATCCAGCTAGCTTTCTTTCACATGCTCACTGACCAGTTTTAATTTTACTTTAATTTCCAGCTTTGCAGTTTTTCTTCTTAACATGAATACCAAAGTGAAGGGCTCGCACAATTCAACAAAGACAAACTAGTTTTAAATACAGTCACTAGTTTGTAGTAAAATCCTGTGAAGCATTTTGGGACATTAGACAATATGATAAGGCAATAATAATTTGCACTTATATAGCGCCATGCACAGGGTAGCATGTCAGAGCACTTAACAGTGGCAGAGCCTGACTCCAAGCCGGGGGACAGGTGGCTGTAAGCACAGTGGAAAAGGAAGGTTTTCAGGCAGGACTTGAAAAAGGGGAGAGAGGGGACAAGGCGGAGGGATTCAGTGAGTGTTCCAGAGCTTCGGGACGTAGTGGATGAAAGCGCGACCTCCGATGGTGGAGAGGAGGGTGCGAGGGACAAGCAGGAGCCGTGCCAGCCGAGCAGAGGCGCCGCGTGGTAGATTGGGGAGTGGGGAGGTCGGAGAGATAGGGAGTAAATGGATTTGTGAGGATCTTGAACTTAACCTGTTCGGTGATGGGGAGCCAGTGGACTATATCAAATGTAATTATTATTAAAAAGCAGCCTGAATATTCAGCGAATAACTGTAATAAACAGATATGCAACCAATCTCGATTGCAAAGGAAGAGAATTTCAGAAAGTCAGATTAAATGGAATCCTATGGCTACAAAGCTTCCTCCTGATCTATAACCTATTCACACTGTCTAGCTGCAATGAAGAGGCCTTACCATGAGGAGATCCTGCGCCGAGATCCGTACAGAATAGGAGAAGGTGTCATCATCCTCATCCTCCACAAACTGGTGTGGGTTTGCTGTCCACAGCTTAATCTGCAACAAGAGAATATCACTTTACTGCAGCACAGAGACCAGATTACTCCATGGAGATGTACCCAGAAAGCAGGATCCCTGGATTTGCAACAAGTATCAGAACATGTTTAGACTGGATTCCCTTGTGAAATAACCAGGAAAAGCTAGACAGCAAATAGGTCAGCATCAGTTTAGCAAAGCGAGCATTGCTGTCCTTTTAAAAGAGGTTTAGGAACTCAACAAACTTGCTCAACCGCAGCACAATGTGCAGCAATGTTTATGGAACATATCCTGCAAAGCCTGGACTGGCAACTGAGACCACCCTCCGGCGTGGAGGGCACTATATATAATCCAAGTTGTTGTTGGCAACTAAGTCAACTGAGTTGGTAAGAGACCCACTTGCCTTCCTGACAGACTGCAGTAATGACGCTGTACAGGGAGAAGGACTAAATAGTCAGCCTGCACAAGCACAATGGGATAATTGGTCGCTTCTGCTGTAAATTTCTATTCTTCTGTGCAGAGATCGTCCCAATTTTACTCTTGCTGCCCTTACTCTGCAGCTCATATTCTGTCCCTGTATTCTATATGGCAGAAAGCTTATCACATCCATTATTCCATTAACACCAGGATCCTCTGACTCCCAGAACCTTGCAGTTCAACTTGAAAATTCTCATCCTTAACTTCAAATCCCATTATTGTCTCACTTTATCTGTATAAAGTCCTCAACCCTATTCTGCTGCCTATATACTCCGCTTTTCCAAATCTGGTCTATTGCTCGTTGCTCACTATCTCTCACCATTGGTGGCCAAGTCTTCTGCCAATAAACCTTAGAAACTCTTCCAAAATCTCTGCATTCCTGTCTCTTCCACTTTTCAAAATTCACCTAAAGACTTATTTTGAACCTTTGCCTTTGATCAAGTTTTAATTCTCCTTTCTTTCTGCTTGATTCTCCCCATCATATTTTAGATGAAATATTCCCTGTATGTGAAAGGAAGTTGTTAGCCTTGCGGTTGGAATCTCACCTGCTCTTCAGTGATCTGCATATATAGGATGATATAGTATATTAGCTCGGGCAGCGCTTTCTTCACAGTGTTCTTGAACTTCCTGTTCTCCAGCAGTGTGTGCACAAACTCAAAAATATTGAACACCAGGTTCTCAAAGCCCAGCACCTCACCTCAGAGGAAGAACAGATGTAAGTTACTCAATCTATTGCACGATTTTACAGAAACAGTAACATCATCAATCATCAGGAAAACCGATTTAGAATCAACTCTCTGGTTAAAGTAAATGCTTTCACCAACCAATAGTAGGAGAATTTTACAAAGGTTACTCTGGCTTTACTGACAATCCATTTCCCAACACTAGGCACTCCCATAAGATCACTTACCATCTGAGTCCACAGGGTCATCCACTTCTTCTGTGTAGTTCACCTCTGTCCTCACGTAGGTGGATGGCATTAAGGGAAATGAACAGGGCAGCAATCTCAATATCAGTTCCTTTTACTTACTATAGCACTGAGTAGAGGTGAGGAAAATGCCAATTATACTACAATCCAAATGCTGCATGATAAACTTTTATAATAATGCATCTAGAATTTAAAAACAATACATTTTACTCCAGTTATATAATTTTAAGCAGTCACACCTTGTTTGCAGTATTGTGTTCAGTTTTGAGTATTCTACCTTAGAAAGCATACACCAGCCTTGATAGGCATCCGGCATTCAATGTAATTCACCACATTAAGACCTGGGATGCAGAGATTTAGCTTTGACGAGAGGTTATGTTATATTCCTTAAAACAATGAGCTAAACTGCAACAAAAACAGAAGTCGCTGGGAACACTCAACAGGTCAGGCAGCATCTATGGAGAAAGGAAAGCGAGTCAACGTTCCGGGTCTGACAAAGGATCGTGGACCCGAAATGTTGACTTTCCTGTCTCCATAGATGCTGCCTGTCCTACTGAGTGTTCCCGGCGACTTCTGTTTTTGTTTGATCTAAAGCCCTCTATGGCCTCGCCCCACCCTACCTCTGCGACCTCCTAACCCCCTACCAATTCAACCTTTTCCTCCGCTCAGCCGGCTCTGGCTGCTCCACGTCCCACAACCCACCCGCCCCACCATTGGCAGGAGAGCCTTCAGCCACTCCGGCCCCAACCTCTGGAATTCCATCCCTCAATCACTCCGCCTCGTCCCCTCCTTATCCTCCTTCAAGTCCCGCCTCAAAATCCCTCCTCTTCGACCATGCCATCGGTCACCCCCCTTCCCCTCCCGCGACCCCAGCTCGGGTCTGAAATGCTATCACTTGTCCAGCGCCTTGGGACGTCCTCCCGACCTGAAAGGCGCAATGCATATGTAATCTTGTTGTTGATCTGATTCAGATGTTTAAGGTAATTAAGGGAATTGAAAAGCTAGACAGTAGATAACTCTGATTGCAGAGGGATCTAAACAAAGGAAACATAATCTTACAGAGATAAGCCAGTCAGAAATTAGATCTGGGATCAAATCTTCACAAAGAGCGTTGTGAAAATGTGGAAAGCTTTGCCACAGAAAGCCATAGAGACAAAAAGAATTCGGATGTTTAAAACAGAAAGATATTAGGGAAGTAAAGTTATTAAGAAGTATGGAGAGAGAGGGGAAATAGGATTAAAAATCTACTATGATTTGACAGTCAAGCCTCGATGGGTTGATTGATCCATCCTTCCTGCTTCTGGTCTAGAGTAACAATTTATCATAAAAGGGTCAGTAGTAGGGAAACTTCTAGAGACTATAATCCGGGACAAAATAAATTTTCACTTGAAAAAATATGGGTTAATAAAGTACAACCAACATGGATTTGGGAAATTGATTAAAGGCAAATCATGTCTAACAAACCTTTTTTGATAGTTTTTTGATAAAGTAACGAGGAGGTTAACAAAGTTAATGAAGGTAGTGCAATTGATGTAGTTTATATGGATTTACAAAAGGCATTTTTAATAATAAATAATAATAAATAAATAATAATAATAAAGTGGCGCATAAGAGACTTGTAAGCAAAATAGAAGCCCACTGTAATAAAAGGATAGTGATAGCAGATACAGAACTAGCTGGGAGACAGAAACCAGAGGGCTGATGAACGGTTGTTTTTCTGACTGGAGGCAGTGGTGTCCCCCAGGGGACGGTATTGGGGCCACTGCTATTTGTGATCTATATAAATGACCTGGACTTAGGTATATGGAGCACAATTTCCAAGTTTGCAGATGATACTAAACTAGGAAAAGTAGTAAACAGTGAGGAGGATAGTAACCGACTGCAAGAGGACATAGACAGACTGGTCAGATGGGCAGACACGTGGCAGATGACGTTTAATGTGGAGAAATGCAAAGTGATGCATTTTGTGAGGAAGAATGAGGAGAGGCAATATAAGCTGATGGTACAATCTTAAAGGGGTGAAGGAACAGAGAGACCTGGGGGTCATATAGTAAATCTTTGAAGGTGGCCGGACAGGGAGATACAGCTGTTAAAGAGCATCCGGGATACTAGGCTTTATAAATAGGGGCATAGAATACACAATAATAATAATAATAATCCTTGCATTTCATATAGCGCTTTTCACGTCGGGAGGACGTCCCAAAGCGCTTCACAGAACACACTGTAAAGTGAATTAACTGTACATTTGTGGGCGAACGCGGCAGCCAATTGCGCACAGCAATGTCCCACAAACAGTCGTAGATTGAAAATGACCAATTTAATTATTGTTTTTGGTTTTTGGAGGGATTATTATTAGGCTCTGTGTGGAGTAAGGAAACTTGCCCAAGGTTTCGCCCTCTGCCTGGAATTGAACTCAGGTCTCTCACTTGCAAAGCGAGTGCTCTAACCACTGAGCTACAGGACTCCACGAGTCAGGAAGTTATGATGAACCTTTATATAAAACATTGGTTAGGCCTCAGCGAGAGACTGTGTGCAGTTCTGGGCCCCGCACTTTAGGAAGGATGTCAAGGCATTGGAGAGAGAGCAAACGAGATTGACCAGGATGGTACCAGGAATGAGGGGCTTCAGTTATCAGGAGAGGTAGAGAAGTGAGGATTATTCTCCTTGGAGCAGAGAAGGTTAAGAGGAGACTTAATAGAAGCTTTCAAAATGATGAGGGGATTTGATAGGGTGAAGAAGGAGAAACTATTCCCACTGGCGGGTGGGTCAGTAACCCGAGGACACCGATTTAAAATAGTTGTTAAAAGAAACAGAGGGGAGGTGAGGAGAAATGTTTTCACACAGCGAGTTGTTGGGATCTGGAATGCATTGCCTGAAAGGCCGGTGGAAGCCGATTCGATAACTTATTTTAAGAGAGAAGTAAATCATTATTTGGAGAGGACAAGTTTGCAGGGCTATGGGGAGAGAGCGGGGGAGTTGGATTGAGTTGGAAGCTTTTTTCAAAGAGCCGGCACAGACACAATGGGCTTAATGGCCTCCTTTTGTGCTGTATAATTCTATGATGAAGAAAATTCATAAACAAGAGTAATTACAAGAGTAATTTCTTTCCTCACTATTCCCCCAAACCAATTAAACATTGTAAGCTTTAGATAAAGGCTTATCTGCACAAATTTGGGCTGTGTGAAGGATATATGGTTGCACTCTCAGTGAGGGTATTCCATACTATTGGCAGAATCTGCTGCATCGATGAAACCATGTGCTTGGGAAAATTCTTCACCAGCGCCGTCACTGCCTACAAGACAGAGAATCAGGAATTAAGCTCTTCTCTGAGGGAACTAAAGGAGATTGAATACTGGGCTGCAAATATAAATCAGTATACAATGATTTAATTCAGCCAAAGGACCAAGTTTGCAGAAGTGCAAATAATAATAATCCTTGCATTTGATATAGGTGCCTTATCACATCTTCGAAAAGTCTCAAAGCGCTTCACAGAATATATCGTGAAGTGAATTGAGTGTGTATTTTGTGGGCTAAACGTAGCAGGCACAGCAGTGCCCCACAAACAGTCGTGGATTGAGTGATCAATTTATTATTATTTTTTAAGGGACTATTACCCCCGGAAAACGTTTTGCCAAGCGACTAACAACCTACTTACTGCTAGGTAAACAGGCGTTTGGAGAAGGAAACTTGCCCAAGGTTTTGCTCTGCCTGGGAATCGAACCCAGGTCTTCTTGCTTGCGAGGCGAGTGCTCTAACCACTGAGCTACAGGACTCCACAAAGGATCATAGTTGCATTTGACTGAATAAACCAAATGAATAATCTCGCTATGAAGTTCCAATTAGATAGCATTGATTTTAAGCAGAAACTTGAGTAAAAATAGGGTTCAAATTAGACAAGGAGCTGATAGTTCCATTTAGCCATCATATGGCATTGCTCAGGCACCTGCTGGGTTAATGCTGGACATAACAATGCATACTCCTTACAAGAGTTGGAGATATTTTACTTCCACTGAATTTGGACATTTAAACTATTGCTAACATCTTACAATTCTGATTTAAAGCTGAGCTAGTAAATGCTCTGATAATGAATTTGCATCAAATTATTTCTGGAATAGGCATAATTATAAAGTAGTTTTCTTTTGGCAGTGTCGCCCCTAACAATGCAATTGATAGCCCAAATTTGGGTACAACATAGTTGCAATATAGAGCCTATTCACTGCAAGTGCCAGTGTGCGAGAGGCCCATTATAAACTTATGAGGTTTCACTGTATTGTTACTGTGTCAGATCAGCTTTTGATGCTTCTTGTTCAGACACTATTAAACATGGTGGGAAAGAGGTCATTGACCTAAAGTTCACACTAGCTGCACTACAAGGCAGAGTACAAATCTAAGACGTTAGTCAGACAGACAGACATTGACGAGCCTCAGGAGTTCAACTCAATACTGAGACCAAATTATAGCTAAATCTGAATTGAAGACCATTCCATATCTGGACTTTAAAAACAGTAGTAGCTAATAAGTGAGTCTCATCCACAATGTGCAGCTGCTTCCTTCCTACAAGTACTCACCTTCAACACCTCCATCTTCAGCCCACTGTCAGAGGTCGGGCCATCTGGCAATTGCAGAGCCTGCACAAAGGCTTCTGTGAACTGCTGTACCACAGGAAAGATCAGTGCCCTGGCTGCTCCCTGGCAATGTACAGAGGAATCCATTACAGGTGTAGCATGAAGTATATTTTACAAACCATACCCACAGTCATCTATTCAACCACGTTTAGTCCTGAGCTGAGCAAATTCTCTTATAAGTGATACACAAATGAGGAATAACAGCAACATACTTGCCGGAATGAATCCTAACTCCTACAAAGGTGCATTCCCATAAGTTTCATAAAACATATTCATAACTTCATTCTCAAAAAACAATTTGAATACTAGTTTATTTTGAAATCCCTGCATTAACTGTGCAAAGTGGGATGGGGGCGAGACACCCTTGGTGCCCTCCTGTGGGAAATTGTCAGCCTCGGCTCAGCATCTCTACGGCTAATCTCAGTGACACGCAATGTAGAGAACAGCATGGGGCCACATCCAACTGATTTATGCTGCCAAAGTAGTACCATTTTTCTGGTCCCCTTCCCCTCTCCTAGCCAAGACCATTTTGCAGTCTGTGCCCCAGTCTCTGCCAATGCTTCAACAGTCTTCAATAACCTCTTGATGAGGGTTTCTTACTCTAATGGGTACCTGATAATTCAGCTGAGATTGAGAATGCAGCCACATACAGCATTATGCATTGTGGTCAATACTCTATTTATACTGTTCTTTAATATGTTCAAATATCACTTAGCCCAAGTTTTCCTTTTGATTCCAACCTCCATTTACCTTTTCAATTTCTTCAATGGCACAGATCAGATTGGCACATGTGGTGAAGATCTCCACGGCACGTGCCCTGGTTCGAATGCTATACACCTGCAGAAGCAAACCAGGGAATTACATAAAATGACATGGCATAAAACAGGCCCCCCCCACCCCCACAGCGTAACATGATAGACATGAATATTGATAGTACTGTATCTCACTCACATCAGCCATTGTAAAGATCTTATACATTTCTGGCAATATTACAGGAGCTACCAGTGGCATTTGGGTATCCGTTACCTCACGGGTGAATTCTGCAAGAGAAAAAGATGCAGATGAGTAACTGTATGAATTCTACACAACGGAGATAGGACAGAGTGCAGCAGAACAGCCATTGGAGTACATTTTTACAACTGAAATCATTGCTTTAAGCCATTCAAATAATTATTGATATTTTACAATGATTTGAGATTTTCTGAAATGACTCCCACCTGTGAGTACACGCATAGCTCCATGTACTGCATTGACATCACCACTGATCAGCATCTCCATCAGCAGCCGGAAAAGCTCTGGCCAGGCCTCAGGCCAGTCCCAGTGAGCTATTGCTGATACAGCATAGGCTACACTTGACCGCACCTTACTTATGGATTCTCGAAGACCATTTGGTAGAAGTTCTCTGATGGCTGCTTTTGCCTGTAAAAGAAGTGATAATGAGGGGATGATATCTCCAGTCCTCGCCTGGAGTGCAGGTCAGTATTTGGACTTCCTACACTCATTGAGTCTGTGATGTATTTTCTGTAGGTATCTTAGTGCTTCTAGAAGCCATGAACCCATCCCTCCTCTCCAGCTACCGCCCCATCTCTAACCTCCCATTCCTCTCCAAGGTCCTGGAACGAGTCGTCGCGTCCCAGGTCCGCTCCTTTCTCTCCCGCCATTCCCTCTTTAAACCCCTCCAAACCGGCTTCCGCGCTGCCCACAGCATGGAAACAGCCCTGGGGGTCACAGTCACTAATGACATTCTGAATATCTGTGATCAGGGTTCCCTCTGCCTCCTTGTCCTCCTCGATCTCTCTGCCGCCTTCGACACTGTCGACCACTCCATCCTCATACACCGCCTCTCCTCCTTACTTAATCTTCACTGACCTGCCCTTGCCTGGATTGAATCCTATCTCTCTCACCGTCTCCACTTTGTTGCCATTAACGGTTTCTCCTCCAGCCCCCGCACTGTCACGTGTGGCGTCCCCCAGGGCTCTGTCCATGTCTCCTCTTTAATATCTACATGCTCCCCCTCGGGGACATCATCTACAGACATGGGGTCAACTTCCACATGGTACGCGATGACACCCAACTCTATCTTTCTACCTCCACTCTCAACTCCAGGGCCACTGCTGTCCTGACACTGTCTGTCGGACATCAAGTCCTGGATGAGGGCAAACTTCCTACAGTTGAATGTGAATAGGACTGAGGCCCTCTTGATTGGCTCACGGCAGCGCCTCAGCACCTCAGGCTCCGGCAGCATCACCCTCCATGGTGTACACTACAACTCACCAGTCAGTCAGGAACCCGGGTGTCTTGTTCGACCCTTAACTGTCTTTTCTCCCCCACATCCAAGCCATGACCCGCTCTGCCGCCCCTCACCTGCGTAACATTGTCCGACTCCGCCACTACCTCACCCCTCAGGCCACTGAAACTCTTGTTCATGCCTTCATCACCTCCAGGCTCGACTATGCAAACGCCCTGCGTGTCGGCCTTCCCAACTCCTCCCTCCACAGACTGCAGATAATCCAGAACTCTGCAGCCCGTGTCCTCTCCCACACTAAACTCCGTGACCCATGTCCCCCATTCTCGCCCGACTCCATTGGCTCCCTATCCTTCAGAGGATCCAGTTCAAGATCCTGGTCCTCACATACAAAGCCCTCCATGGCCTCCCTACCTCTGCCACTTCCTAACCCCGTCAACCTGCCCATTCCCTCCGCTCAGCCGGCTCCGGCTGCTCCACGTCCCCCAACCCACCCGCCCCACCATTGCGTGAGAGCCTTCAGCCATTCTGCCCCCAAACTCTGGAATTCCATCCCCCAGTCACTCCGCCTCGCCCCCTCCTTAGCCTTCTTCAAGACCCGCCTCAAAACCCTCCTCTTCAACCATGCCATCGGCCACCCCCCTTCCCCTCTCCCCCCCGACCCCAGTTCAGGTATGAAATGCTGGGACGTCCTCCCAACGTGAAAGGCGCTATACAAATATAATCTTATTGTTGTTGTATAGAAGAATGTAACATGAGATAGTAGAGCTGAAAGCCACCTTCTCACAAAATCAGCGTAGAAAACCCATCCTTTCTTCAATAAGCAGGTCATCTTTACGAGGCCTTTAAGATTCTGAAGGTACTGGATAATGTGCAACATGATAAGCTGTTTTATTTTATACTGAATAGTAGATCCAGAGGACATGGCCTGCAATTGAAGATTAAATTCAAAATCTGCAGAAACACTACTTCAGTGAATGGGTAGTAAACATATGGAACAGGCTCCCTAGGGAGACGATGGAAGCAGAAAGTGTTGTTTGTTTCAAGAACAAATTAACAGATTTATGTGAGCAAATAATATCTCGGGATACAGTATATAGTTTGGGACACGTGTCAAGCGACTTGCCAGGATGGTGGAAGGTGAACTAGATGGACCTTGATTTTCTTTCCCCTAGCAAATTCTTATGTTCTTATCTCCACCAAATGAGACAAGAATGTTCCAAGCTGCTGGCTTGGCTTCAATGTTTATAGGTGTGGAGCACAAGTGAAAAAGAGAATCCAACCTGCTCAGTATCACCTTTTAACTTCAGGGCTGGATCTGAATCCCACTCGGACAAAGATATAAGGGCTCCTCTGTCCACAACAACAAGATTACATTTGTATAGCGCCTTTCACGTCAGGAGGACTTCATGTAGGTGTTTAATGTGAAAAGTTTTGGAAATTTTGTGGGTGTGGAACCCAGAAATAAAATGTGCTCCAAATTCAGGATCAATTGGCAATCTCATTCAATGATAATAATCCTTGCATTTGAGACAGCGCCTTATCACGTCTTTGAGACATCTAAAAGCGCTTCAATAGCATGAAAACGAAAAGGTTACAGTGGAGGGGCACTTTTAAGGTTCAGGGTGAAGAGCTCTCTGATTGTGGGAAAGCTGGGTATTCCTGGCCCTGACACAGTTGCCCATAATAGCAAAGTGCTGCAACCTGCTGGGTTTGCTTGAATTTATGTAAGTTTCAAGCATAAGTGAATTTAACTTAATTCACTTGCTAACTTCACTTAAAAATAGCATCACTTTAATGAGTACAAACTAATTACAATTGATTACAATCAGTACATTCAATGCAGTTAGTTACATGCTTTTAGGGCACTCTTACCCTTTCAGTGGTCTCAGGTGGGCGGAATTTCTCAGACTGGTTACACCAATGAGTTTCCACATACTGTTTGAGAATGACAGATGCTAACTGTGGAGAAAAACAAAGAGGTGGCTGCTAACTGCATTGATAAACACCTGAACAGGCAGATGGGACCTCAGTTTAACATCTCATCCATAAGGGCACCTCCAACACTGCAATCCCACCCCACCCCTGCACTGCACTGCACTGCCAGCCGAGACAATGTGAGTTCAAAGGCCTCATGTGGATCTTGAACCCACAACCTTCTGACTCATAGGTGACAGTGCTACCAACTGAGCCAGGCTGACAAAAACTTGAGCTCTGATGTGACCATTTCTTTGGATCATTCCTGCCCCCCATCCCTCAGATCAGCACTCCATTTCTGAAGGGTGGAAAATTAACAACTTACAAAGAAAAACAAAATATTTTTCCAAAACGTTTGCCAACAATCAATATACTTCTATCTGGTGAATGTAACCAACTGTCAGTGAGGCTCTTCACAAACGAGTGAGCATTTTTTAAAAATCAATATGGAAGGCACTTGAAGGGACAGATGTGTCCTTGTACATAAAGGCCAAATAAATACCCAGACTGGATGGATTTTAAATCTTTACTGAAACAACCAGATACATATGAGTGCCACAACATATAAATCAAATCTCATATTCCCTCTCGCCCATTAAGAATTATGATCAAATTTACAAGGAAATAAGAGAATTTCAAAAATTGAAATGGAAGAAATGAGGAAAACAATGGAAAAAATGGCATAAAATCCAGTGATCATAGAAAGGTCAATAATCCAGTTTCTAATCCCATTCTCTTTGTCCAAACCTTTCAGTTTTCCTCCTTTTTTTTATCCAATCCCTTTTAAATTGTGTCACAGACTCAAATGTATATTCTAAACTCCCGTTTATTCCTTCTCTAATAATCCTGAATCTTCTCTTGTTACTGACTGCATCAACCAATAGAAATATGATTATTTCCCCATTTACCCAATCCAAACCACAGAGAATTTTGTAAACAGCAATATTTTCAGATACTTTCAGGGCATCAGGACAAGAGGTGCAGTGATGTGAAGGAAGATGTTAATTGCTCGTTATCTTTATTTCTAAAGATGAAAAGTAATTAAGAGTTAGCTTGGGTTACCAGGAAGAGTGGTTAAGGCTACCATAGCAGGATTCATTGAAGACAATGCTCTATTCCGCAAAGGGGTTAGTAATCTATAAGGATAAGATCAAAAAGGCCCAACCCAAACCTGTGACCTTGTGAAGTTTCATCACATAGCTAACTTGACTTCCCTGAATAATTCGAGTTAAATCTCTAGTGTACTCTCTCCTTGATGAATACACAGTTTGTCTCCTGGATTAGATTGGAAACTTCCACAGCACAAAGCAAACTCACCTGTCGGATGGCCAGAATGCCTTGCGGATCAACCGTAAGCTCTGCCAAGTGAACGCCAAATTCTGAAAGAGAAAGTATTACTTTAAAAATAAAATGACTTTCATCAAAACGGGCTGATACTTCAGTAATGTCATTATGAGGGGAGGGAAATGGGACAGTGGGACACCTACAGTGTGAGAGGTAGAACAGTTCTAAATTAATTTCTTCAGTTTAATATGTGGTTTTATATCCTCACACAATCCAGTTTCTGAAACATGCAACACAGAATATAGGCAAAATGTGGGCGATGAGTTGGAGGAGTCATCACAATAGCTGATGTTTCTATGTTTCATTTTGTTTCTATCTTTGTCCATCCTATTAACAATAGGATCCTCGGCTATTTTAATAAGATTCATCCCAATCACATCCCTGACTCAACACGCATGTTTCAGGTCTGAGTGCTCTTTATCATGACTCTAGTATCCTGGTATTAGGCCTGGATTCATAGACAATGTTACTGCTGACACCACAATCTCTGTTGTCTGAAAGGATGCATTTAGCAGAGCTTAGCTTGCGTTTCCTGTATACTTGGGCATGTATACTGTCTTTCCAAGTGGATGCACAGACAAATCAAGCAAATCATAGAATTATACAGTACAGAAGGAGGCAATTCGGCCCATCGTGTCTGCGCCGGCTCTTTGAAAGACCTATCCAAATTAATCCCACTCCCCCGCTCGCTCCCCATAGCCCTGCAGATTTGTCCTCCCCAAATATCTAATACCACTCCAATGCCTTGACATCCTTCCTAAGTGCGGGGCCCAGAACTGCACACAGTCTCTCGCTGAGGCCTAACCAGTGTTTTATATAAAGGTTCATCATAACTTCCTGACTTGTGTATTCTATGCCCCTGTTTATAAAGCCTAGTATCCCGGATGCTCTTTAACAGCTGTATCTGCCTGTCCGGCCACCTTCAAAGATTTACTATATGACCCCCAGGTCTCTCTGTTCCTTCACCCCCTTTAAGATTGTACCATCAGCTTATATTGCCTCTCCTCATTCTTCCTCACAAAATGCATCACTTTGCATTTCTCCACATTAAACGTCATCTGCCACGTGTCTGCCCATCTGACCAGTCTGTCTATGTCCTCTTGCAGTCTGTTACTATCCTCCTCACTGTTTACTACTTTTCCTAGTTTAGTATCATCTGCAAACTTGGAAATTGTATTCCCTATACCCAAGTCCAGGTCATTTATATAGATCAAAAACAGCAGTGGTCCTAATACTGATCCCTGGGGACATAACTGCAGTCAGAAAAATAACCATTGCGTGGCACTTTATCAAACACCTTTTGAAAATCAATATAAACTACATCAACTGCACTACCTTCATCCACCCTCCTCGTTACTTCATCAAAAAACTCTATCAGGTTTGTTAGACATTATTTGCTTTTAACTAACCTGCGTTGTCTGTCCTTTAACCCGTATTTTTCTAAGTGGAAATTTACTTTGTCCCGGATTATAGTCTCTAGAAAAATGATTTTAGCTTTCTATGGTTTGCAACTTGTCCTCTCAGGTGGGTGGTCATTCCATGGGCTGCAACACCCCTTCATGACCTCAACAACTTTCAATTATACAGCACTTTCATATAGGGAGAACATCTCAAAGCACTTTACAAAGAGAGAGAAAAACAACCTGGGAGATTTGGGCTGCATTGGGTATGAGGTAATAGAGGCACGCAAGCAACACTGTGGAGATAGAGGAAAGCAAACTTCATCCTTGCCAGTCTCTGCCAACTCCATATGGCTCAACTTCAAGGTCCCTACTCTCACAAATCCATCCACCCGGCACCTCGTTACCTCTCTGATCTCCTAACTTAATCTTCCACTCAGTTAACTCAGGCATTCTGCAGAGCACCATTAGTGACTGAGCCTTCTGTTCCCTCCGCCCAATCTCCCTCTACACTCTCTCTCTTGCTTCCTCTCTTTCCAAAAAGTCCCCCCTCAAACTCTACTTCTTTCAATGCACGTATACCCACATCTTGGCATCTACCCCGTCCCCGCAAAGCACTCCAATGCCACTGTTTAAATGCAAGTTGTTGTTGAGAGATGGGATGGAGAGTTGAGAATTGAATAAATACCGAGGTACCACACAGGCTCCACAATTTGGGCAAGCGTAGTCGACGTGGTCAGTGCTTGAGTAATAACATGCTGATGGAAGTTAAGCAGAATAGCTTTAGATTTATTGCAATAAATAATAATCCTTGCATTTAATATGGTGCTTTTCACATCTTCTAGATGTCTCACGCGTTTCACAGAATAAACTGTCAAGTGAATTGACTGTATGTTTTGTGGGTGAAACACAGTGGCCAATCGCACACAGCACTGTCCCACAAACAGCCATGGGTTGAGTGATCAAATTATTGTTGCTTTTTTTGAACGATTATTATCCCTGGAAAAGCGATCCACCAATCGACTAACAACCTGGTTCCTACTTACTGCTCGGTAAACAGAGGCGCGTGGATGAAGGAAACTTGCTCAACATTTCACCTTGCCCGGAATCGAACCCAGGTCTCTCACTTGCGAGATGAGTGCTCTAATTAATGAGCTACAAGACTCCACTGGTCCCTGTGTTGGATTGTGTTGGAGAAAGTCATGCAGGACTTGATGTCTGACAGGGAGTCTCCCTAATAATAACAGCAATATTCAAGAATGGTAAAGCTGAGCTGAGTGTAATCAGTACAATTGGAAGTGGACCCTATGCTAGCAGATGGTATTAAGAGGAAGCATATAGATGATGAAAAGAAGAGAAGCTCAGATACATCTCTGGGGAACACAGAACATAACCTGACAAGGGATAATAGAAGTTATAAGGATTGTTAAAAGCTGTTAAATGAGATGAAGTGAAGCTGCTGGGCAGGCAGCAGGGACATCACAAATGTGCAGAGCCACAGTGGCGTTTCAGGGAGAAGAGGTGGTGAAGCAGCCAACAATAACAGAGGCAGTAATAATAATAATAATAATAATAATCCTTGCATTTGATATAGCGCTTTTCACGTCGGGAGGACGTCCCAAAGCGCTTCACAGAACACACTGTAAAGTGAATTGACTGTATATTTGTGGGCGAACGCGGCAGCCAATTGCGCACAGCAATGTCCCACAAACAGTCGTGGATTGAAAATGACCAATTTATTATTGTTTTTGGTTTTGGAGGGATTATTATTAGGCTCTGTGAGGAGTAAGGAAACTTGCCCAAGGTTTCGCCCTGCCTGGAATTGAACTCAGGTCTCTAGCTTGCAAAGCGAGTGCTCAACCACTGAGCTACAGGACTCCAGTAAAGATATGAAGGTTAAGGAGGCACAAGGTACCCTCGTCTTGGAAAGAGGATGATTATGACTCTGATCCAGGCAAGATTAGATTGGAGGAACTTGTACAGGAAGTGGTGGGAGAGGAAGGAGTGAAGCTGGGAGATGACAACAGCAATTTGGAAAGGAAATTTCAACCACCAGCAGCCTGGCTACTGGATCCATCAAAGCTTGATCCATTCCAATTGACTGGCATAATCGACTCTCAGAAAGATTACTTGGGTAATTGTCAGGAGCGTGAATCCTGGCCAATTCTCCTTCCTTGCCACAGGAAGCTGAATCCAACTCTCCGCTCCCAGTGAGAGACCAGCTAGCACAATACAGACAAGACCAGATGGACCCTAGTATTACGCCTGTTAGTACAGCTATCAGCATACACATTCCAAATACTGGTATCAATGGACTACATGGAAAAAACACACAAGCCAGTATACGTCAATGTACAATAGTATTCTTATCTCTGTGTGCTTCCAACGATCAATCTGCTGACTTATAATCACCAACAGTTCACCCAAGTGCCATGGAGCTTAAAGTCTTAACCGGATTTTTAAAAGGAAAAAGATTTTGAGTTGTAAGTTTTGCAGTGAGAAAAATATTCCTCAGCACTACAAGTTTACAGAGAATGTAGAGCTAATACTGGCTCAGTGCAATTACTCATTGAATTGTCAGGAATGATCTGAAGCAATTATAGTGGAGCATCAGTGGCGAGGTTTAAATAATGGTGAATCTGAACATGGGGTTTGTGTTAAAGCAAAACTGCTTTGTGATTGAGATACTGTAACTAACATCCATCATAATTCATTAACATTCCTTTCAGGGCAAGATTCCAAACTCAAATACTACTGGAAACTATATTCAAACATAGATGCAAATACAGTCAACTGATTCACGTGGAGTTGATGCAGTCACATGACTAAAGTCACCTTCCTATGTTCTGCTGTGCGCAATTGGCCGCCACGTTTCACCCACAAAATATACAATTAATTCACTTCGCAGTATATTCTGTGAAGCACTTTGAGACATCTCGAAGATGTGATAAGGCATTATATCAAATGCAAGGATTATATTATCTTCTGAAGGCAGTCACATAGTCTATTTGTCTAGACACTAGTATTTTCCTTCATTCATGTGACCATTCCTTCTGTGCGATGCTGAAAAGTGGACATCATTAGGTTATTTGATGGGATTGCAATTGCAGCAAAGCCCTCCTTTGAAACAGGAATCACTTAAAAGTCAGGCAAAAATGCTAGCCAAATTTTAACTCGTCTGTATGACCAGTTTGAGCACTGAGCACAAAATCCAACCACAACTTGCATTTATATAGTCCCTTTATGCAGAGTAGCATCTTGGGAGCACTTAACAATGACGTGCATAGTGACCATAGGGTATGATTGAAGAGGACAGTCTTCAGGTTTGATATGAAGAGGGACAACGAGGAAGGATTGAGGGAGGGAGTTCCAGAGGGTCAGGGCAGTGGGTAAAAGCACAGACTCCGATGGTGGAGAGGAGGGGGTCAAGGAGGCCTGAACGGGTTGAGCGAAGGAGACGGGTAGAGGAGTAGGTCAGAGAGGTAGGGAGATGCCAAGGCATGAAGTGATTTTTAGGCGAGTGTGACTATCTTGAAACCCACCAACTGAGCTACATGTGGTCTCAAAGTAAAGTATCTTTCATACCTTTCCATTGAATTCCCCGCCAAATATCTGTCTTGAATGTTCCTCCATTCCCTAGGTGGCCAGTAGCACATATTATTATTATTATTCACTTCTCTGTGCAAATTAATTAAATCTGAACTGTCCATTGCTATTCTGAGCTCGAGTCCATGTCTTTGTTCGAGATCTTACCTGGCATGGTTCCCAAATAATTTCAGAGGGTCCCATGCATTCTATCAGTTCATTCGACCACTGGCTGTCATAAGCATTTCTAAGCTCATCCTTTTTTTGTGTGTACATGATAGCATTGATAAACATATTCTAATGAGTGGCACTACTTTTTCTTTTGAAAGCTCATCTGAATAGATTGTAAAAATGTTAAATCCGCATCACACAAGAAACTACTTGGCACCCAAACTGCCTCCAGCTTCTTGGGAAGCAAACAGCAAAGGAATATAATAATCCTTGCATTTGATATAGCGCTTTTCACGTCGGGAGGACATCCCAAAGCGCTTCACAGAACACACTGTAAAGTGAGTTGACTGTATATTTGTGGGCGAACGCGGCAGCCAATTGCGCACAGCAATGTCCCACAAACAGTCGTAGATTGAAAATGACCCATTTATTATTGTTTTTGGTTTTGGAGGGATTATTATTAGGCTCTGTGTGGAGTAAGGAAACTTGCCCGAGGTTTCACCCTCTGCCTGGAATTGAACTCAGGTCTCTCACTTGCAAAGCGAGTGCTCTAACCACTGAGCTACAGGACTCCACGATATAGCACACAATTTTTCGATATAGCTTTCGCTGTAACTTTCAATATAGCACACAATTTGATGCTCTGTTTGCTTGGAGAAGTTTGCAATGCTATCTATATACATAATATATTCTGAGGTGAAGAATGATAAAAATTACAATATATTTAACAGCTCAATAAAAGCTCACCGATCGGATAGCGATTCTATTCCTAATTTCCTCCTCTATCCCAATATCCCCTTTTTGGGTTCAGCAGCATGTGAAGTTACAGTTTATTGAGCACGATGGGCATTACTTGGTGCTTAGCCACCAGTCACTGTTTATTTAGCACATGGTTATCAGAGCTTTTTCAGAATATGCCCTATGTGAAGCAGCAACATGGTTCCAAATCCATTCCACAAGAGCCACGGATCAGTTTCTGTCGATAACAAACTCCCGGCCACATGTATTGGGTGAAGCCAGTGCTTTAGATGGTAGTCCATTTGAGACACCGTGAAGACGTGATAAGATGCTATATCAAATGCAAGGATTATTGTTATTATTCCAGTGACAGAGCCCAGAAACACACCACAGAAGCATCTTAATGGCTGCGGCACTGCTCCATGGGGCAGGACAGGGGGGGGGGGGGCCCAGGCGGGGGGGGGGGGGCAGGCGGGGGGGGGGGCAGGCGGGGGGAGGGCCCAGGCGGGGGGGAGGGCCCAGGCGGGGGGGGGGGCAGGCGGGGGGAGGGCCCAGGCGGGGGGGGGGCCCAGGCGGGGGGGGGGGGGCAGGCGGGGGGGGGGGCCAGGCGGGGGGGGGGGCCAGGCGGGGGGGGGGGGGGGCAGGCGGGGGGGGGGCCCAGGCGGGGGGGCCAGGCGGGGGGGGGGGGGCAGGCGGGGGGGGGGCCCAGGCGGGGGGGGGGGGGCAGGCGGGGGGGAGGGCCCAGGCGGGGGGGGGGGGGCAGGCGGGGGGGGGCCCAGGCGGGGGGGGGGCCCAGGCGGGGGGGCCCAGGCGGGGGGGGGGCCAGGCGGGGGGGGGGCGGGGCTCCCGCCCACCCCTTCCTTGCCCCTGGGCGGCAACCCCCCATGTAGTGTAGTGAGTGGCGGGAGAGCACTGCTGGTAGTGAAGGAGCCGGTGTGATCGCGGGGTAATGTCCGCCGCCTCTCTCCCTCTCTCTCCCCTCTCACCTTCCGTCACCTCCAGCACTTTGATCTGTTCCTCGCCGGCGGCGCGCACCTCCTGCACTGGGGACAGGATGGAGCTGAGCGCCTCAAACAGCGCTTCCTTCAGTCCCTGCTGCACAGGCCCGGCCCCGGCCCCGGCACTGCCCCCGGGCAGCCCGACTCCCGCTCCCGCCGCCGCCGCCATCTTCCCGCTAATGTGATGCCCAACTGCCGCCCGAGCCGGCGAGTGCGCATGCGCGGCACATGTCGACGCGAGTTCATTGCGCCACCGTAATCTACGCATGCGCCGCGGCTCTCAGGCTCCTCCCACTGAGGCCGCATTGGGCGCCGCCCTCACGCCCAATTGGGCGGTTTGTGCTCTGTGCGTGAAAAAAGGCTTTGGGCGGAGACCGAATTCTCAACTCAAATCCCCAAAACCTTTTCTGTTTTTTCATTTGAAAGCCTTTCCGTAGTTTCAGAAACGCCATCGAAATCGGCCACTGCTTCCCGGCGACAGGAGGCAATGCATAATATTGGGCTACTTTCGGGGCTGGTATTTGGTTGACTGTGGGTCACCGACAGATAACACATCAACACAGAAGACAACAACAACAACAACAACAACAAGATTCCATTTATAGAGCGCCTTTCACGTCAGGAGGACGTCCCAAGGCGCTGCACAGTTGGGTCATGACCCGAGCAGGGGGGAAATGGTCAGGGTGAGGGGAGGGAAGGGAGGGAGCGAGGAGGGGGAAATGGTCAGGGTGAGGGGAGGGAAGGGAGGGAGCGAGGAGGAGGAAGAGAGTCGAGAGGGGAGCTGAAGGCACGGTCAAAGAGAAAGGTTTTGAGACCGGCCTTGAAGGAGGAAAGGGAGGAAGCGGCGAAGGCACTGGGGGATGGAGTTCCAGAGCCTCGGGGCTGAGAGGCTGAAGGCCCGACCACCGATGGTAGGGCGGTTGGGGCGGGGGACGTGGAGCAGACCGGAGCCAGAGGAACGGAGGGTACGGGCAGGTAGGTAGGGGGATAGTAGGTTGGAGAGGTAGGAGGGAGCAAGGCCGTGAATGGCCTTGTAGGTGAGGATGAGGATCTTGAAATCAATCCTCTGGGGGATGGGGAGCCAGTGGAGGCGAGCGAGGGTGGGAGTGATGTGGTCCCGAAGCCTGGTGCGGGACAGTACACGAGCTGCAGAGTTCTGAATGACCTGCAGTGTGGAGGGAGGTGGCGGGAAGGCCGGCGAGGAGAGAGTTCCCATAGTCCAGCCTTGAGGTGACAAAGGCGTGAACCAGGGTTTCAGCAGCGTGAGGGGTGAGGTAGTGCCGTAATCTGGCGATGTTCCGGAGGTGATGGAAGGCGGTGCCAGTTGTGGTGCGGATGTGAGGGAGAAAGGACAGCTCAGGGTCGAACAAAACGCCGAGGTTCCTGACTGGCTTTGCGAGGTGGAGAGTGCAGCCTTGGATGCTGATGGTGTCAGCGCCTGAGGTGCGGAGGCGCTGACGTGAGCCAATCAGGAGGGCCTCGGTTTTTCGCACGTTGAGCTGAAGAAAGTTGTCTCTCGTCCAGGACTCGATGTCGGACAGGCAGCTGTCAGGACATCGGGGGTCGTGGAGTTGAGAGTAGAGGAGGAAAGGTAGAGTTGGGTGTCATCCGCATACATGTGGAAGTTAACCCCATGTTTGCGGATGATGTCACCAAGGGGGAGCATATAGAGGGTGAAGAGGAGGGGACCGAGGACAGAGCCCTGAGGGACACCACATGAGACAGTACGGGGGGTGGAGGAGAAGCCATTCGTTGAGACGAAGTGAAGACGGTGGGAAAGGTAAGAGCTAAACCATTCAAGGACAGTGCCTTGAAGCGGCGGCAATGCTTTCAGCCATTGGCATCAATGGGTCTCAGCAGAAATTTGATATACACGTGAAGGAGAAAGGAATAGGGCTGAACAGAGGGGGTTACAAACAGCAGCAGTGCTTGTGCTGAATGTCCTGTTTTTCTGCTGTTATCATTGTAAGTACAGCAGAGCCCGTGAGCGCCCAGAACTGTGTGAACGGAAGTTTGCATCTTCCAGAATTAATCACCTTCAGAAAATGGTTTATTTAAAACGTACTAATAATTGTAGAACAAACAGAAGGACAGTCCGAGTGCTTAACTGGTGCAATTGGCAACTGAATACCCCCTCCTTCAGTTAGCTTTGAAGGCAAGCACAAGATTGGTCCTGAAATTTAAAATACTATTGTACAAATTAGTTGTAATGTGCCTTAATTTATAACGTAGGCTTGTGGCATTTTCTTACCTGAAAACCAAGATCCTGCAATTCAACATACACAAGTGGGTCAGAAAGCAACTTGACCATCCAGAAGTCAGCCATTTAATCGTTGCCTCTTTATAATGTTGTTCTTATAATGTTTATAATGTTGCATTCTAAGGTTTCCCTGTACCTAATGCAATAAATGTCTCATACTGACACTTGAAAAGTTTCTGGAAAAGAGAATGGAATATTTGGAGGGGAGAAGGAAATTGTAAGCTACACCTGCATCCCCACTGCTGCCCTTCCAGTCTCCCTGCTTTTATTCCTCTGTTTCAATGAGGGTGTGGCCGCATGACTTGCTCCCAGTAGGTACAGAATATTGCCTCGGAATAACTCGGCAATATTGTATGGAGTCCTGTAGCTCAGTGGTTAGAGCACTCACCTCACAAGCAAGAGACCTGGGTTTGATTCCTGGGCAGGGCAAAACCTTGGTCAAGTTTCCTTACTCCACACGCCTCGGTTTATCTAGCAGTAAGTAGGAACCCAATTGTTAGTCGATTGGTGGATCGCTTTTCTGGGGTAATAATTCCTTCAAAAAAATGGTCACTTAATCCACAATTGTTTGTGGGACGCTGCTGTGCACAATTGGCTGCCTTGTTTCACCCATAAAATATACAGTCGATTCACTTTACAGCATATTCTGTGAAGTGCTTTGAGATGTTGTGAAGACATGATAAGGCACTATATCAAAAGTAGTCTAATTTTCTTTCCCACAAGAAGCTATTACAGCCTCTACTTTGCATTTTTTGGCACTGCTTTTAATAAGTTGTACAAGAGAATTAATTGAATTAAAAATTACGAGTGGTGCTGTACAAATAGCAGGCTTATCAGCTCTTTCATAACCAAAGGTTTATTTCACATAGGAAACTGCAACATTTGATACAAGCTACCAAAAAAAAGCCAAAGTACAGCGTGGGCAGTAAGTTTACAGACCTTGTTTCATTGTCTAGCTCTAAGTCTGTGATGCTAGGAGCCTAAACACCTGCATTCTGTACAATAACCAAGGCTCTAATAGCAACACTCTTGGAAAAACATTTCCAGCCATTTAACTCACAAATTTGTTATTACTGGGATAAATAAAACTAAAACTACAAAACACAAGTCAATATCTTAAGATTAAGATGCCGGTACTAACCAGAGGGTCCCATAAAAAAGTCTATGGTTTTTGGTGATTGCATTTCTTTTACACCCAATGCTATTGGGTATATATGGAGGCAAATCTCAAACTGAGGTATGGAAAATAAGCTTCGTTCAAAGTGAACCAGTGCAGAGTCTTCATAATGGGAAGAAAACCCTGCTGTAGTCAGCATCCCTCACTTACACAACCACAGACAAAAAGTTCATACAAGAATGAGAAAATACAAAGGTGGAAAAAATTTGATAGTTCTTGTAGATAGATGATCCCATGAGTAGAGAAGTAGCACCATTTGTGGGTTGGATGGACACCAAATCCATCTCTTCCAGTGGAACCCGTGCGATGTTTAGCACTGAGCTCCAGGCTAGTCGTTACCATTCTGCTGCATGATCTGACCATTTACAGTACAGCTGACACAAATATAGTCGTCCTTTTCTGCAGTTTCTGAAGAAACACCTACACAGATCTGGTGGAACCACTGGTTGCAGCTGCCATCACACTGGACCCAGTCCACCTGCACCAAAGAGTAAAAGATAGTTTGCAGGACTAGCAAAAACAACAATATTACATTTGTATAGCGCCTTTCACGTCGGGAGGACGTCCCAAGGCGCTGGGGTAGAATGGATAGCTGAATAGCACTATTCATTGCTTGCTTTTACAATAAACATGATTAGATTAAACATAATATCTACATGCAAGGCTTGGATGTTTGGAGCATTACCTTTTAACAAGTAAACAAAGTGTTGCTCAGACATTGGAGATACTCTGGAAGGCATGCTACTTTGATCAAAACAAACATCTGTTTGAAAAATGAATGACTCAAACTTAGCCACTGGACATGAGGTCCAATAAAAGACTCATTACCAATAGATGGTTTCAGAAAAAACAAATATAAATTTGGACATTAATATTTGATAACGGACCTATAGGCTTCATTAGAGTAGATAAGTGGGCAAGAGTTTGTGGGTAGGAGCAGCAGTACGACTAATTCTGTATCAAGTCTATAAGGGTCATATCTCTCCTTGGATATGGTTCCTTGAGTGACCCACACAAGACAGAGAATACAAATGATTGAACTGCTTGATAATAATGGTCGTAGCACAACATTTAGTCTGATTTAGGAAGAGTGCAAATATCTTACTAAAGTTGGCATACCAACTTTAGATGGGCAAATATGATGAGTTGATCTTTGTAACAACCTGGGAGGATTTTCACAACCATTAGACAACTTATGCAGGACCAGCAGGGGCTGTACACATTGTAAAACTTCTCTGAAACAGGAAAGTGAAAAATGGAAGATTAAATGGTTAACATAATTGAGGGAACCAAGAGAACTTCAAAGTGGATGCAAAAGCAGCCTCCAATCTTTCAACTTACATTAGCAAAGGAGTAAGTGAGGGAGGCAGTTAAACCCAAAGATGCATAAAGGGGAAAAACAGTGTGTTTAGGATAATATTAAATGACTACTCCTTACAGGTTTATCATCCAACAACCAAAATGTGTGAATTCTACAACATTCGAATGGGTTGAAAATAAGCAAACATGGCTCCCACATTCAAGGACGACACCATCTATAGGTAACTACAGAACCATTAGCTTAACCTGAATAATTGGAAAATTAATAGAATCTATCAGAAACAAAATGGAAGCAAAACAATCCTACACAATAGCCAATATGGCTTCAGAATGTATTAGACTTTGCATGACCAACCGCAGACTCAGCGGAGGTGACATACAAAATGAAAGTGAGAAGCAATAACAGCATACCTGTTCTTCCTTCAACAAGAGGCTCCTTTACAAGCTGTCAGTGTTAAGTCATGGATGTGGGTTATCAACTGACTAAATGGAAATGGAGGGTAATCATAAGGGGAATTTGGTCAAAATAGAGTGAGGTATTAAGTAGGGTGCTTTAGGGGAGGAAGATTTACCCATGAGACAACAAAAACAGGATGCTGAGCTATATTGCTAGATCAGTGCAGTTCAGAAGTCATGCTCAAGCTGTAAAATTATGATTTCCAAAATGTAAGGAAGTACACAGGAGAACAATGAGGCTCATTCCCAACAGTATTGAGTTATGAGGAATAACTAGATAAACTTCGACTCCTCAGCATCGAAAATACTTCAGGGGGTTCTACAGAGTACACAAGATATGCAATGGGATAGAGAAAGTAAACTGAATACTTCTTAAGATTTGCCAAGGTAGCAGAACAACATTCAGGATTGTGAAGGTCAAGTTTAGGATAGATATCGAGAAACATTGCTTTATGATGCAGAGGGTAATAAAAGCTGGAACAGGTTTCCAGAAAGGGTAATTGAGGCCAATACACTGGACTCATTCAAGAAGCAACTTGATGCTGTAAATAGAAGATATTAGGTTAATAATCTGGAAGGCTGAGATCAAAGAACTCAAACCTCTCCTCAGTCTGAATCCTATACTAGAACCCCACCACCATTGCCAGTTCACACCAAACAGAGCTTAACCACTGGGCTGCAAATGGTTGAAAAGATTTTGTAAAAAAATCACTTTTTAGTATCACTGGCCTGATGGTTCAAAGGTTAAAGCAGCGTCTGGTGTGATACTGAGCCACCCAGACCAGGCTTTGCTGAGTTAGCTATTATCTACCAGGGATGGGGCTCAGAGCCAGGAAGAAGATCAGTAGCCAAAGGTTCCACTCCTAATCACTCGAGCGCCATGCCAATTAAGGACAGAATCAGATTTGGTTGAATAGCTTGCTTACACTCACCGTCACATGAAGAATGGCCACTAGGGTGAAGTATCAGAGGGCTTCTGGGTCCCTATGTAACCATACCCCAGCATGAATCAGCGCCTTCAGGAGAGGAGGGAGAAAGTTGGAGGGGAAAAACGAACACATAGTAACCACATGTGGTACAACTCAAATTATAGTTTTTAAAATGATTAAGCTGAAGTAAAAGCAAGCAGCGTAACAATTTTAAAAGAAACTGAAGGTCACAGATACCACAGATTGAAATGTGTCCAATGTCAAATGGACAAATTGAGATCCAGGTCTCTGGTGCATTAATAGTTGATCAAAAGGTTTGAATTTTTGAAACTTTTCAGGAATCTGGATATTTACCTACTGGATTTTCCACCAGATGGCTGCTTAATCTTTATATAGACCTCAAGTCTATATAAAGATATCTAAGATCTCATTATCTTGTCGCCAGCTGGTATATTTTCACTTAGCTATTTAACTTTCCAGTCTTGGGTGCTCTCCGGGGTGTCAATATAAAGTGTCCAGAGCCGAGTTGAGAACTTTTGCAGAGATGGGTGTGTCTCTTAGGAACCAAGGCATCAAATGAAGGCTTAGGAGAAGGATAATGCTATACACGTCTCCACATGAGAAAAAGCTTTGCCTCTAGAGAATCTCAAGTTAGTCAACAAGTACATTTTTAGCAGATTTGTGAGGCAGTATGTAATTGGCTTCTCATATTTGTGGTCACTTCTGCACAGGAATTGCCCCATCCAGGAAATAAAACATCTAATGGAAAACTTAATTGTCGGCTCCTGCAGCAAGCTTCTGGATCAATCTCTGGATAACCCTAACAAAAGATTATTTATTTTTTTGGTCAGCCTGGTATCTGACACACATGGAAACCCATCACCATTAAGAGTATCCAAACCAAACAGAGTTCCATGCATTTCACAAATATATTAAAATTCCCTAATACGTTTATTGAAATGGAATAAGGACTCTCTCCCTGGAGGGCCACATCTTACTTACCTAATTCCAGAGAGTGTTATGCGCAGGTCGGCAAGAACCAAGGCTTTGGGTCCTCAGAGTGTGTGTTGAGGTAACTGCTGGAGTTTAACCAGCTAACATCCCATAGCTTGCCATCGAAAGTACTATCTGGCAAACTTTCCTACTGCTTGTCCAACTAGGACCATTCTACCCTAAGGGCTTGGGCACACAGGGTCAAAAGGAGACGAGTGGAAAGATTTTTTGCTCCAAGTGACTTGCCTGCCCTTCTAAGACCTGCTAATAAACCAGCTGGGCTGTCATCAGCAGTGCCCTGGAGATCCACCTAACTTAGGAATCGGAACACTGACCATCACCACAGAGAGTGGACTCAATTCTAACATTCTATTGCCAAACATTTCACCGGAGAGCCAGTTCAGCTCCAAGGAGACCCTGCTTACCTCCTCCCCCTGGAGGATATTCACTGGTTGGTCATTTCAAATCAGCCAAGCATAGGTTTGAGCCATCATTAGGTGGATAGCAGGTACCATAAACTCCTCGCAAGTTTCCTGGTGGGCAACACAGCTCAGCATGAAATGCAGGAAAGAAATGTCACTAAATATCTAGCCCACAGCTCAGACACACATTCCTTCCCATTGAGCGATGCTTTCACAAGTTAGAGGTGCAGAGCTTGAGCAGCAACCTCTTACCTCTCTGCAAACCAATCGAAGTGGATACCAAGCCCTAGATATAAGAATGTGTTCGTGTGTTCACGAATTCGGACTCCAGGTAACACCTCTCAGCATCTTTTGCCCCAAGCCTCAGAGTTTCCTCATCAGCTATCTGCTGGGAGACATCTGCTTTCAGTATTGTGCGGTGAACCTTCATAGGACAGCTTATGACCTGCCAGCAACCTTGATGACTGAGATCCAAATCCAATGCCACTTATCAGGCTTACTCAGCACCTGCTGATTAATCCAGGTCTTCATGTGAGGGGTTTTGGCAAACAGACTGTGAAGCGAACTTAGCCTCTAGCATGCTCAGCAATGGGTCAGCATAAGCTGAAACCCTCCCACCCTGCAGTCGCTTCCCACGTTTACCACAAATCCACTTACTCCTTGATCCTGGACTTTCCAAATGGGTTGGAGCAAGCCTCTCTGCTGCATTCCCAGTAGCTCAGAATCATAAAGGAGAACTGTTCGCGCACTAGTCTTACAAGCCAGAAGCTTAATCTGCATCAGGTCTAGTTGTCGATTCTTATCAGTACTTGGGAGTTGTAGTGGACACCAACTGTTGCTTGGAGACTGTCCTGAAGGACCATGTAGAGAAGAGGCAAAGGATACTTTGTGGTGCTCATCTCTCTTCAAGGACTGGCTGTCAAATATTATCTGTTGTCTCTAGATCAAAATCTACTTATGCAGTTGAACTCACATCCTATTCAATATATTCCATACCCCATAGGGATATTGAATTAGAACAAAAATATAACTCCCAGCAATGTTTATCACATTGAACTCCGTAACAAGCATCTCCCAGTATGCAATTTATTACTATTTTCTTATCCGACTACAGCCAACTTGAAGATTTTGCACTTAAGACACAACAGATCCAGTTACATGCTTGGTCAGCTTTGACTCAGCTTTGTTGTTAAGATATATGGCTGAGCTCGCAGAACATTCGGTGCCTTTTTCCCAAAATGAATATGTTCAATTCAGTGATAAAATAGTGAGGCAACAGCAGAACTTGTAACCATTCACTGTTCTATGTGGTTCTCAAAACATTCAAGATGCTGATGGTCACCGAGATTTCAGCACCTTGGGACGTCCTCCTGACGTGAAAGGCGCTATATAAATGAAATGTTGTTTTTGTTGTGATAGAAACTTGCCTCCTCTTAGTTCAAAAAGTGAAAATCAAGCCATATTGTTTTCCCCATGGCCCTCAAAGCCTCTCTACAATGTGGAAAAGCATAACTTCTGCACATCCATGGTCTCTCATATGGACTGCAACTGTGCCAAGAATCTACAGGAGTGGATTTGGAGGGGGAAAAAGAGGCAATGTGAAGTGAAGAGCAGTATGAAACCTTTCTTGGCAGTTTCTTCAGTCAGCCATCTGAAGAGATGAGGTCCTAATTATCTGCAAAAATGTCAGCTGGATTTCAACAATACACAAATCTGTTTGTGTCGTGGCACAGCGGCAATCTCGAAGATAACTTTCTTTCTGGGCCCGTGCATCTATTCTATCAAATAAAGGCAAATTAGTGTAAAGACATTTAAAGGTGGTCGGATGCCTAGCTGTAGTGGGGCAGGCCTCCTCAGACGCCAAGTTGCAGATTTACTCAAGCATGTTTTACAAACTCCCTAAAAGGATATTCAACTCGCCTCCAACTAAAACACAAAATCTGAGTTACTGAGTATAGCGAACCTCAAAATTTCATCCAGGAATATCTAATAAACAGGATTCTTTATGCTCTAGACTGCACTTCCATAATCGGGCTCAGACCATTATAAGATCTTCGCAGTTTATATTCAATGAGTTTAGCCCTGATGGAATTGGAAATCTAAGCCAAAGAATACATGCCAGGCAAAGTCAAATGTTTGGCACTGACTAACAGTGAAGGACTGCAGTTTATATGGGGAGACTCCACTTCAACCATAATATTCAATACTTAAACTACTTGTGAGCCTTTGGAGTGAAGATCTTGCATCAAAATTCAAGTCAGTGGCTGGTGGCTGTATCCAGACTAGAGAACTGTATTTACTTGAATTGATATTCTGTAATATTTTCAGGCAATTGTACAGTTTAATCTTGGCACTTTTAAGCATGATCACCCAGGCACTGGTCAATGCTATATTTTGTGCTTTTAATTCCCATCAGATTAGCACAACACAATAGATCTTTCAAAGATTTCTCTATAAAGCTGGTCATATCATTGGCTTCCAGTATTGCAGGGATACTGAAGATTCATATGGTTTTCAGGCCAAGTTTGGAAGCCATGTTGGTATCCCTTTCCAATGAAAACTTCACTTTGGTTTCTTAGTTAAATAAGACAAACAAGGATCAGAAAGTACAAGCGCCAATAGTGTCCTATACAGTTACTCACCTCGGGGACTACTTTTCCATTGCTACTGTAGTATACAACTAAAGAAAATGTGTGTCTTGGTGTTTCAATCCCATTCTTTTCCCTCTCTGATGTTAAGGCAGAATTTATAGAGCACAATTTTCCAATACTGGGAAACTGACAAATAAAGATTTCTGAATTAGCTACAATCAGTGTTTCTCCTAAGAATGATTGGAAGGTGATTCTAACTAAAAACTAAGGACTGATATATAAAGACCATATTTCAATGGATACAACGAACAAGATTTGGAGCTTAGACGAAGAACAATCATGCCATTTGCCAATATCAGTTTATCCCCCCCCAAACACATTCATTTATAAAATAGTGATCAACAGATTGTGTCACAATGATAAGACGAGTACATTCAGAAAACATAGCAAGTGAAGAAGCATTGGAGGCACAAAGTGTGGCTGGGCATTATTGCAATAAGACAGCAAACTAAATCAGAGAAAAAGGCACCAAGCTATTCGGGGTGAGGGGGGAAGGAATTGGCAAGTGTTTTAACTAAGTAAATACTAAACAAGAACATCATAACTGCTAAGAAATTATGGCACTCATTTTCTAAATGCATCAGAAAACGCTTGAAAATTGCCTATTGTACTGAACTACTAAGTTATGTTTAAATCTTAACAGTTTCCTTCCAAAAATAAAAATGTCATAGCACAGTGTTGTATATATTCTTTGGCAGTGTGAAAGAGGCACAATCATGCTTTAATCTGAGCTCAGTAGGCAATTCTGCACGAGCAGACAGTGTGGAACAACTCCATCTAATACTGGTTTCTCAGCAGTACATTCACATTGGATAGATGCATTTCTTTCTTCCCCCAGTTCTAATGCTCGAAATGGTCAAACAGACAGAAGGGGAAAAGGAGTTTGATGAGACAATTTACTATAATAATATACTTGCAATTTAAATTTTCATCACTTCCAAACTGATCCCATCCAGAAATTCTGTGGAATGCAGAATCCACTTTAACCTTGGCGATCAGCTTGTCAATTTGATGCAAATTTTTGGTCTGCACTAACCTGGGATATGCATTACAATTCACCAAGTTGAAAAGTTTAAGGAGCATTTCTGCACTGCGCTGCTCATGTTAAACTGAGAAAATAAGCACAGAAATGACAAACTGACCTCATCACCCTCTGGTTGTTGGCAGTTCTCTGCAGGGCAGATTGCATCATCATCCTCAGAGTCCTCAGGCTCAGAGTAGGGGGGCTCCATTATCACAGATAATGCTTCATTAGGCCTTAGAAATTCAAAATATTTCTCAGTTTCTATTCTTCCTAAATTCGGATTTTTTGATTTTTGCAGGTTTAACCTGAAATTCTTCTTTGTGGGTTTGCTTAGTTTTTTGAGTTTTTCTTTTTTGTCACCCATGAAAGCTTCTTTGTCAAGTCGTCTCTTTTTCTCAGAGATCACATCCTTTTTGACAGACTTTAGACAGCAGCCTTCAGTCTGAAACAGAATACATTTCAATGTAGTGAATTTGCACAAACAAGAACTACCTTCATCAAAAAGTTTGCAGTTTTATTCTTTATGGTTGAGACATTATTAATGAATTGTCACTTTTTAACCAATGCAGTCGTTCACAAATATTTTAACTTGACATTCCCACATAAATTCAATACGTTTAGCCAACTAAGTCTCATGAATACCCAGTTCTGATATTTATAAGTCCCAAAGCAGGCCCATTATCCAACTGAAGACACAGAAAACCTTCAGTAGGAAGCTACAGTACTACAGGTTTCTTCTTTCTATTGCTGACAATGTCAGAAGAGCAAATCCTAGATGTGAGTCCTTTAGCTTAGAGCACTTGCCTCGCAAGCGAGAGGACCTGGGCTCGATTCTGGAGCAGGTCAAAATATTGGACAAGTTTCCTTACTCCACATGCCTCTGTTTACCTTGCAAGTAAATAGGAACCTGGTTGTCAGTCGATTGGCTTTTCCGGGGGTAATAATTCCTTTGAAATCAATGTACAAAATAATTTGGTCTCTCAAACCATGACTGTTTGTGGGACGCTGCCGTGTGCAATTAGCTGCCACTTTTCACCCACAAAATATACAGTCAATCCACTTTAAAGTATATTCTGTGAAGCGTTTTAAAGCGCTATATCAAATGCAAGGATTATGATTGTTATCATCATCGTATATGTGAATGTGAATATTTATTTAAATATCTAGAAACTTGGAGTTGAGCTATAGATCAGCCATAGAATGGCAGAACAGGCTTGAGGGGCTGAATGGCCTACTCCTGTTCCTATAGCATATATTTAGCTTTTTTTCTGCAGACACCCAGCTGACAAAAAAAAATTATCACTAATTTCCGTGGAGTGGGATCTCCCAAGGTGCTAACCAACTGGAATCTTTGACAAACGCCTCATAAGTATAACTGCAATATGGGCCAATTCAATCAAGGATTCAAAATGGATGAAGAGGAATTGTAACTATATGATTATTCCGTTAGCCCAGTACAGTTCCTCAACCGAACTGCGCCTCCTTTTGGCAATTAATCATGGAGAAATATCACTCGTAAATGTGAAAAAGTGGTATGTTCAGACAAGCACATTTTTCCAACTAGAAAATGTTAGCTCGCAATAAGCGGCCCACAACATTTAAGCATTTCAGCTGAAACAGATATATGGTACTATAGCAATAATCCTACAGTGCCTTGGCTTTCCATCTGCAGAATATTGGATATTTGTTCCCCTCCATGAATACAGTTAGAGTCTGATACACAAATGAACCGGTTATCTCCCAGAAAGGGAAACTTCTATATTGGCACCATTTAGGATGGAGTGATTATTTTGTCCAATGACAAACATGTATAGAATGGTTTGTTCAATCTCGATTCTTTTATTAATTCCTGATCCCATCATTGAAGTATCTCAAAATCTTTTACAGGATTTATTGTGAAGTGTAGTGACCTTGTATTCGTAGGCAAATGCCGCAAGAATAAAGTATACTTGAAATGAACAGCCATGAGGGTGCATGAATGCTAGATTTGACAATTTGTAGCCCACACCATTAATTATATGATGCAGTTTTATACCTCTGCAATGCATGAGCTCCAGGTTTCCGTGCGACACTGCACCGCTACTGGGTCACATTGCAGTAATTCTGACTGCCCCTGAACATCTTCTACCACAGGGCACTGAGCTGCTTGTAAGATCCGATAGATGTGCTGCATCTCAGGCAATGAGAGTTGTAGTAAGAGAGCCTCCATCATCAATTCATCAAGTTGTGATCTCACACCATCAGACAAACAAAGTCCTGCAATGTTAAAACATTCAAACTATGAGGCTAAATATTCAATTTACTGTCCTTTCCCAGTCACAAAATGAGAGCTTGCGATCTACAGAGTTTTCATAGACAATATAGATTACAATCTCAATAAGCTACACATTTCTTGGTAATATTTTTTACAACTACAGCAACAGCCTAACACAGTAAATGATTTGCAGGGTTTATAAGTGATTTCAATATGTGACAATGTTTTATGAAGTTTTAAAAATAAACTGCCAAATGTATAAAACTGAAGTATGAAATAAGTTTCAAGGTTATTCTAATAATTAGAAGTAAGCAATCTTGTAAAATTGAAACACTAAGAGCAAAGCATACAAGCAAATCCAGAATGTGAACACCATTTCTGTGGCAAAATGAAAAACAGAATTGCTCATTGAACAATACTAATCCTTGCATTCGATATCACACATTGTCAAAAATGTCTCAAGGCACTTCACAGGATTTTACTGAAGAGTGTGGTGACTATTTTTGTTGTGAATGAATATTTCTCTTTATGCAATTAATAAAATGCAGTGTTAGAGATTTTCAGTTAGATAGAAATTGCTAAAATATTGCTTTTGCCAGATTAATATAGAAAGTAATCTGTTCATAAGTACAAACCTTGCACTGGAATGCAGATCTGCCATGAAGGAATGGCTTGTGCTATTTCCTCCTCCTTTATAAACAGGTTTCGGTTATAAACTGCAGTGAAAGATTCACTCTCAGTGCCTGAATCTGCCTAAATGGAGAAGAGGAGCACAAAGGCATAGGAATTCATTTTGGACTGGGTTGAGAGAGAAATAATGCTCCATAAAATGAAACAGCTACTTCGTAAAAATACTATTAAACGTTTCAGGCTAAAGAAAGACAAGAGCAGTTTGGATAGGTAAAGAATAAAATAGAGAAATAAATATTGGATTTTTATTGGCAATGAAAATCATTCTTGGTCAGTAATTTTGTCTTCACTCAATCGCCACAAACCACTGATAACTAGCTTCTCTCCCCACCCCCCAAAACAGGAGAGTACGTTATCCTAAGAATTTTGAAACACTTGAGCTAACAATGGCTTTGTAAGAGAACATGAAAAAGAAGATATTGAGTTGGAGGTTAGGTTGAATCCAAAGTGCACAAAGTTGGCAATATTTGGTTTGCATCTTGCCCCCCTGTCCTGGCCAGTCATCCTTCAACAATAACAACAAAATTGCATTTGTATAGTGCCTTTCACATCAGGAGGACGTCCCAATGTACTGGACCATCAGTCTTTCAGATTTGAGCTGGGGTTGAGATCGGAGATTGTGGAGGAGGGGGAGGAGGGTGATCGAAGGCACGGTTGAAGAGGAGGGTCTTGAGACAGGTCTTGAAGGAGGAAAGGGAGGGATGGAGTTCCAGAGGGTGGAGGCAGAGTGGCTGAAGGCTTGTCTGCCAATGGTCGGGTGGGTGAGCCGGGGGACTTGAGCCCGCTGTTGGTAGGAGAGAGCAAGACCATGGAGGGATTTGAAAGTGAGGACCAGAATCTTGAACTGTATCCTCAGTGTGATGGAAAACCAGTGGAGTATGGGGGTGATGTGAGAATGGGGGTGATCGGGTCAAATTAATTGATCATTCACTTCAACATCTTTTGGTGGATCCTTGCTTTGAGCAGTTGGCTGCTGCATTTGCCGATAAAAAACAGTCAGAACACTCAACAGTAATTACCTGAAAAGTGTTTTGATGTGCTAAGGTATTATATGAAATATATATATATGTCAGATGCAAAAAAATCTTTTTGAAAGAGGGAAAATCAACATCTGGAAAGGATTACCGTGAAAGACACTGGAGTTAACTTGATTAGAAAAACGCAGACTTGATATTCTTAAAGGATCCAATCAAATGGTCAAAGAACCTTCCTAATGGCAAGCAATAGGTGAAGCATGAATTTTGAGTTTGCCATTGACCAAAATGATCATTTTGTTTACTTAGAGAGCAGGCTTTCCTTCAACTACCATAAACCTTTTACCTTTTCTATCATGTCTAGTTAAGGGCTGGAAAGGGCTCTACTTCAAACATTCTGAAAGTACTAAAGTAGGACAGTATCAGATTTTCTTATAACTGGAATCAAGAATCTTTACATCTTTACTGGGAAAAAGATGTTATAATAAGCAAAACACATCAGAGAATCAATTAACGCTCAGGAAACGTTTGCTCAACTAGTACAGTTTTTAGCCTGCTCTTACCTGCAAGCTACTTTCTGCAACACGTTTCTCCAATTCAGTGGCAGCTATTTGTTCTGTAATTCCTTGCCAAGACTGATTTGCTAAATGCGAGTTTATTAGAGTGAAACAGAGTTCATCTGTACTAAGAATCTGCTTTGCTCGATGTTGCCAGTTCATAGCTCGTTCAACAAGGTAGTGTAGTGCTTCTCCCTCTGGCAGTCTGACAGGAATTCTTTCCAGAGATGAAAGCAATAGGAGGATCGTCTCCAAGGATGGCCTTTCTGATCGCAAACAGAGTGGACACAGCCAGGGCATTTCCCCATCTTGAACATTTGCTGCTGGGATACAACTGCTGTGGAACCAGTCTTTACATAGCTCACACTGCTGCATGGAACCAGTTGCAGGCTTCTGACAAATGCACACCTTCACTTCTGCACACTCTGCATCAGAAAGAACCTTCATACGGTTTGTTGTTTGGAGGGAACGAATGGATTCCATTTCTTTCAGCCTGGCTTCATTAAAAGCTGCCAACTACAAAAAAAGGAAAAAAGTCAAAGCTTGTAATGCATAACAATGGCTCCCCATTGTTAGAAAGTAGCTTCTCAACAGAGTTCACTTTGGTTCACTTACACTGTCCAGCTTCGGAACTTTTCTTTTGGCATTCTGCAGCATCTCTTTCAACTTCTTGGGCTTCCTCTTCAATCCTGGTACACCAAAGTCTGATCTGGGACACAACACCTAAAACAAAAGTAGACAGCTTTGGTATGCACTTCTCAGGGAAGAGCATTAGAAATCCAATAATAATCCATTTAAAATTAAACAAGAATGACACACTTCAACATTCAAATACCAAGGTAAATCCCTACAAGTCTGCAAAAGTCCCTTTCAACGTGGTAACAATTTACTACAGATTTGGGTTCAAGGTTGTGCTGTACTGCATTCTTATAAGGAATGCCAACTATAGATTTGAAAAATGTGGATTTATTCCTTTTTAAAACGGAACAATTTTCCATTAGGCTGAAAGTGGTAAGCAATTGCTGATAATGTCACTTTACAGTTTTCAAAACAATGTTTTTTTAAAATTAATTCTCTTCTTTCTTCCAGTTCTCTCTACATCAAAAACACCAGAAGCAGAATTCTGCAATTGCATGTAGTTTTAACAGTGATGTATAAGGATAATCTCATCCTTCTGACAAAGAGTGTAAGACAAGACCAGTATGATTCATTGTGTTTGTTCAAAATAGAACAAGGGTGATTTCTTTAAAATCTAAAATTTCAGCTTGGGAACCTTGCCAATGAAATAAACCTTTGATGGCACAGGAGACTGAAATGTGCTCCGTTGAGGTGTTTCATTTGCTTGCACCATAAGTTCAAGCCAGTATTCAGGCTTCTCCAATGGCTTAGTTGGTAAGTTCACAACCAACAATGATAGTGAGGCATACTGGTGAGAAAGACTCTAGTTCAATCCCTTGTCTATAATAATAATAATCCTTGCATTTGATATAGCACTTTTCACGTCGGGAGGACGTCCCAAAGCGCTTCACAGAACACACTGTAAAGTGAATTGACTGTATATTTGTGGGCGAACGCGGCAGCCAATTGCGCACAGCAATGTCCCACAAACAGTCGTAGATTGAAATGACCAATTTATTATTGTTTTTGGTTTTGGAGGGATTATTATTAGGCTCTGTGTGGAGTAAGGAAACTTGCCCGAGGTTTCACCCTCTGCCTGGAATTGAACTCAGGTCTCTCGCTTGCAAAGCGAGTGCTCTAACCACTGAGCTACAGGACTCCACTTATTATAATAATATAAAGGAATAGTAGTACAATGTGCTTTTGGGAGAAATGACCAGCATTTAAATTGTTAATGGGAAATAGATTCTTTCTGATATTCCTGATCTCTCACCTCAAAAAGCGAGCACTTAGGATTCTTTTTTTGGAAGGTTTCACCTACAGATTCTTTCCAACTCTCAACATCTGCCAGCAGGGATTCAAGTAGAGATAGTGGGTCCAGTTGCACTGGGATTGCACGGCCTCGTGACACCAGTTCTACCAATGTTTCCAATAGGGGCTGCTGGGCAGAGCTCTAAAAACAAACACAAACCACTGGTCAACAACCAACAAATGCTTAGAAAGTAGATATTTTATGTACTTAGGCAACTCTTAGGAAGCCATGTCGTATAGATAATATAGTTAACCTGTTACTGGATTCCACACATTTAAGATACTTAATACTCAGGGGCTTCAGTCAGTTTTTATTGATTTTCAACAAACACTCATTTTTAGTGCAAGTCAACTGACAAAGACCATCTTCTTAAAACAATCAGCCATTTTGGGGTTCCAAAATAGTTGGCTACACTGGTTACATTGCAATTCTAGGTTTATAAAAGATGTTGTGTATATTTTAACCAGTGAAGTGCTTGTTGACAATTTTCTCTCATCTTTCCTGAAATTGCTAAGTCAACAACAACTTGCATTTATATTGCATGCTTTCTCTATAAATGGAATCTTCTTGTTGTGGTTGTTGTTCAGGCAGGGAAGCATTCCGGAGTTAAAAGTAACTCAGGGTTACTTTTAATAGCTTCCTGTCCCAAGTGGCTATTCTATAGAAACAACAGAGCAAATAATAGCAGGCTTTGATTGTGAGAGGAATCTGACAGCCATACAGATGCACCATCCAAATGTCACTGGTTAGCCAAGAGAGAAGTAGCAACTATATCCAAGTTTCTCCTTCCTATTAAGGATACTGAGATAGATCAGCTATTCAAAACTGACAGAACCGAATCTGCAACTTTCTCATCCAAATTATTGAACAGCAGGCTTTGCCTTTACCCAGTAAAGCATCCTAAGGGACCCCTGCTAGATTTTTAAACTATCTCTACCCACACCCAAACATCTTAAGATGTAAATTTCAAAATAATCAAACTAATTAGAATTGCCCCCTGCTCTTTTCGCAATATTTATACAATACTTTTTCTCAAACTGATTCACTTCGAATTTGTGGAATACAACAATAATCTTTCTCTAAGTGTTCATTAAAATTAGTTTTGATCTCAAGCATACTGGAAATGGATCATGTATTGGACAGAACATTACGTTTATACGTCCTTGCAGATTGTAGATTAATGTTTAGATGCTGGAATAGAATGTACTGAACTAGGGAATAAAAACTAAGATAAGGCAGGTTGGTGCAAATGTATATCTAGTTGCAATAATCAACCATTTACATATTTCAAATAATACATCACATGGAGTAAAAATACCATCAACAATTGATCACATTTATTTAAACCAAAATTGCAGCAGTCTGAAACTGATTACCTCAATTATTCAAAAGTTATTTATCTTACAAAATGTATTACCATGTTAGTGTTCTCTTTATTTGAAGCAACTTTACTTTTGTATTTTGTTGACTACATCTTATCCTCCACCCTCCATTACACATCTAAGAACTTTATATTTTAAGGCAGAATGTTTAATACAAACGATCAAAACCTATTTTGCTTTCTTTATACTGAATATCTACTGTATAGATAACCTGAACACTCTCCACTTCCTGAAGCCAGTCTCTGGCCTTCTGTACAGTCTCCTTCAGAGCGAGGTCATGAGGGAGATAAGTAGGAATATCCCCCTTGTCTTCCAAGGCAGCAGATAGAGTTATCAAAGAATGTCGAGGCCTGCAGGAATCAAGAGAAAGTTACAAGGGAAACAGGCAAATTCAGACTCATTGTTGGGAGTAGCAAACAAACAATATCCATCCTTTTACAAGCTATTCACCTACCTAATAATTGTCAAACACCTACGCTTCAAAAGTACTATTTTATTCTCATCCATACTACCCACAAAAGGTTTCAACTGAAGTTTTGCTTCCATTAAGTAATTTTGAACAATGTGAATACTACACAAATCTAATGTTACATTTAATAAAGCTCAGTAAGCATGATCACATATAAACAATCCCACCAGAAGCCCTTTACCTGAGCAGGAGTTTTATCTGCTATTGCTGCACTTTGTTCTACGCACGAGTAGATGTCCAATACAGTTAACTGCAATAGTGGTCTTCATCTCAGCTTTGTTAGTGTTCACTTCTAGTGTTCACTTCTCCACTTCTCCGTAGATACAAATCCCACACGTCCTTAGCAGCCACTCATAATTGGCAGTTTAATCTTATATTGTCCTACTGCTTTGGGATTTATTCTAGCTGATGCAGTACTCAGACCTCAATCCTTCTGAATCTGATGCAGACACTGCTACTGTATCCATATGCACACTTATTAAAGTCTTGCCATAAACTAATAACTATGACAAAGTATTATTTATCTGCTCAATGAAAGAATTTGAAACGTTTATGAATGGATTGATAATTCTTTTTGGAAGGTCAGCTACAGAATTAGAAGTTAGAATAGTTTCTTCCAATGACTTGGTGGAAACCCAACAAACACAGCCTTGGTAAAGCTCTCAACAATGGAATGGAGTTTGTTTTTTTAAAAAAGAATTTCTTTAACTATCACAAAATAATGAAAACATCTAAAGCAGGTATGAATCATAGGAGCACATAGATAATTAATCCAATACATTGATGCCAAGTGGGTGCATCAAGCAAGAGCACAGGTATGAACCCTGGGAGGATGTCCTTGTATAGAAAATAGTTTTTCTTCCATGACAATTTAAATTATGATGTAAATGCAGATCAAGAGCGTCTTCAGACAGCACTCACACAGAACAGATCAGATCCTGTTCTTCTACAAGATCATTGTATTGGAAGCAGGCTTGAACTGTGGTGATGTCTTATGGTGTGGTGATGTATGTATTTATTTTAAGATTACTGGTGGTAACTGACTATTTTATACAGTTATTTCAAGATTAATCCTGGATGACATTATAGCAGTGTTTATAGTTTGAACCAAGAAATGTCACTGGCCAATGTGCCAGATGGGAATAAGCATAATCCTACCAGCACTTGCAGTAAAACCTTCACTAAAGTAATACCAATCCACTTAAAAATTAAGTTTTAATAATAAACTTTGAAAACACACGCAAAGTTTATTTTGGAAACAAAGATGGTCAGACAGCCATATCATAAGAACCTAATAAAATACATCTAGCTAATCATTTACTTTTCTGGATAGATACAAAATTGAATCTCAATCTAACCACTAATTAGCTTTTATTGCAGACAGTAAGCACTAGTACTAATCTAATGGGTAATCCCCACACAGTGCCATTCTCCCTCACCTGGCCTTTAGCAGGCTGTGGGCTTTTTCCTCCCAGTGTTCAGATATGGTGAGGAGTTCCTGGAGACAAGCCATGGCCCTCTCCACAGCTGGGTGAGGCGTTAATCCTACCCCAGAGTCAATTAGCCGCCTCATATCATCCAGTTTGAGAGTGTGCGGTGAAGATTGAGCAAGGTGAACCTTGTCTAGCCACCGTGCTTGTTCTAATCGCTCTCGAAGACACTGCAGTTTAGGTAATTCTACGTTAAAACCAACACTGAGATCCATCAACTGCTGCAGTTCAACAGTATCAATCATTTCATCAGAGAGTGCCTTCTCAGAGCGCTGCTGATAATCTTCCACACGGTGTAGAAGGTCCTGTACAGAGATTGGGATGGAAGATTTATTCTATTCTATCTGAAAAGGTTTCCATTGTATTTCAAGTACATATTCATTTTAATATCCAAGATAACAGAATCAAAAAATTATACAGCACAGAACCAGGCCATTCAGCCCATTGTGCTGTGTCAGCACTTTCAAAAGAGCTATCAAAATCAATCCCACTCCCCCGCTCTCTCCCCATAGTCCTCCCCAAATAATCATCTACTTCTCTAAAAACTTAAAAGTTGTTATCGAATTGGCTTCCACCGGCCTTTCAGGCAATGCATTCCAGATCCCAACATCTCGCTGTGTGAAAATATTTCTCACCTCCCTTCTGTTTCTTTTAACAACTATTTTAAGTCGGTGTCCTCAGGTTACCGACCCTCCCGCCAGTGAAATTGTTCACCCTGTCGAATCCCCTCATAATTTTGAAAACTTCTGTTAAGTCTCCTCTTAACCTTCTCTGCTCCAAGGAGAATAATCCTCGCTTCTCTGCCTCTCCTGATAACTGAAGTCCCTCATTCCTGGTACCAATCTCCTTTGCTCCCTCTCCAATGCCTTGACATTCTTCCTAAAGTGTGGGGCCCAGAACTGAACACAGTCTCGCGCTGAGGCCTAACCAGTGTTTTATATAAAGGTTCATCATAACTTCCTGACTTGTGTATTCTATGCCCCTATTTATAAAGCCTAGTATCCCGGATGCTCTTTAACAGCTGTATCTGCCTGTCCGGCCACCTTCAAAGATTTACTATATGACCCCCAGGTCTCTCTGTTCCTTCACCCCCTTTAAGATTGTACCATCAGCTTATATTGCCTCTCCTCATTCTTCCTCACAAAATGCATCACTTTGCATTTCTCCACATTAAACGTCATCTGCCACGTGTCTGCCCATCTGACCAGTCTGTCTATGTCCTCTTGCAGTCGGTTACTATCCTCCTCACTGTTTACTACTTTTCCTAGTTTAGTATCATCTGCAAACTTGGAAATTGTGCTCCATATACCTAAGTCCAGGTCATTTATATAGATCACAAACAGCAGTGGCCCCAATACTGATCCCTGGGGGACACCACTGCACACTTCCCTCCAGTAAGAAAAACAACTGTTCACCACCACTCTCCGCTCTCTGTCTCCCAGACAGTTCTGTATCCGCTGCCACTGTTCCTTTAATACTGTGGGCTTCTATTTTACTTACAAATCTCTTAATGTGGCACTTCATCTCTTAGAAAATCCATACAAACTGCCTTGATCCACCCTCTCCGTTACTTCATCAAAAAGCTATCGGGTTTATTAAGACACAATTTGCCTTTAACAAATCCTGTTGACTGTCCTTTATTAACCGATATCTTTCTATGTGAAAATTTATTTTGTCCCAGATTATATTCTCTAGAAGATTCTTCACTGCTGACATTAGGCTGACTGGCCTGTAGTTCCCAGGTTTATCCTGCTGCTCTTTTTCGTACAGGGGAGTAACTGCAACCCTCCAGTCCTTTGGCACCACCCCGGTGTCCAAGGTGGATATTTCCACCCTTACTTCTCTCAGTAACCTAGGATGCATCCTATCTAGACCGGGTGACTTATCCACCTTGAGCACCGTCAAATCTTTTTAATACCTCCTCTCAGTTTATTCTTATCCAATTTCTCTACTCTCTCCTCCAATACTGTGGCATTGGCTGCATCCTGTCCTTTTGTGAAGACAGATGCAAAGTACTCATTCAGTACGTCAGCCGTGCCCTCTGCCTCCACAAGAAGATTTCCTCTTTGGTCCCTAATTGGACCCACCCTACCTTTGACTAACCTTTTATTCTTTATACGCTTATAAAATAACTTAGGGCTCCCTTTTATGTTACCCACTAATCTTTTCTCACACAATCTCTTTGACCCTCATTTCCTTTTTCAGTTCTTCTCTGTACTTTCTATAATCTATTTGATTATCTTCTGTAATTTGGACCAGACATTTACCATAACCCTCCCTTTTCTGTTTTATTTTAATCCCAATTTCCTTAATCATCCAGGGAGGTTTGGATGCCCTCCTTTCCCCTTTGTGGGAATGTATTTGTTCTGTCCCCGAACTATCTCCTCCTTGTGAAGGCTTCCCATTGCTCATTAGCTGTTTTACCTGCCAATCTTTCTTTCCAGTCCACCTAACGAGGTCCTTTTTTAACTCATTGAAATTAGCCCTATTACAGTTGAGTATCTTCACCTTTGATTGCTTCTTGTCCCTTTCCATAAGTACTCTAAACCTAATGATGTTGTGATCACTATTGTCCGGATGTTCTCCTACTGAAAGCTGCTCCACTTCATTCCCCAGAACTAGATCTAACACTGCTCCCTTCCCCATTGGGCTGTAAGCATACTGATCCAGAAAGTTATCCTGCACACATTTCAGAAATCTTTCCCTCTCCTTGCCCTTTACACTGTTATTTTCCCAGTCTATGTGAGGATAATCGAAGTCCCCCATTATTACTATTCTATTGGTTCTGAAATCTGCTGCAGATTTACTCATCTATCTCTTTCCCACTATTTGGTGGTCTATAGTATACAGATTATGATGTAATGCTCATCATACAAACTACATAAGCAGATGATTCCAGTTATTCCTCAAAATGATCTGCAATTCCCAAAACATATTTTGTTTTGATCAGCCAAGTATACTGACAGACAAAAACCCATTATGCTCAAGAGTCTCAAAACCAAATTATTGAATTCCACATATTTATGTTTTACATTCATGATGTATGTAATCTTTCTAGATAGGACTCCCTTTTGATTAGAGCTTTGGCTTGCAATGTGAAGATTCCCAAACTCAAGTGAATGGTTTGCACTTCCAAGTGCCATTGATGAGCGAGGATGGCTGATAGATGAACACCACCATCCTGAACACCACCACTGCTCATGCATCAAACATGACTGCCCTAGTGGATTGACTCAATTTCAATCTTCCATTGCCAGGTGTGCTACCGTGGCACCAATTCAGCCCCAAAGAGACCCTTGCTTGGATTAGTCACCAAATCAGTGATTTGGGTAGTTTAATTGACTGCTAACCAAATGCAATATTGGAGTCTTGTAGCTCAGTGGTTAGAGCACTCGTCTCACAAGCGAGAGACCTAGGTTTGATTCCTGGCAGGGTGAAACCTTGGGCAAGTTTCCTTACTCCACAGCCTGATAATAATCCCTCAAGAAAACAATAATAAATTGGTCACTTCAATCCACGACTGTTTGTGGGACACTGCTGTGCGCAATTGGCTGCCACATTTCGCCCACAAATATACAGTCAATTCACTTTACAGTCTATCCTGTGAAGTGCTTTGAGATCTAGGAAGATATGAAAAACGCTATATCAAATGCAAGCATTATTATTAATATAAATGGTCATCAGAAACCTGACAAGTATTATTAACAAATAATTCCATACACGTTAAGATACAGATGCACTGAAAGTACCTTCAGTAAAGGAGCTTGGTCAATTAGGCAGGGAAGAGCATAGAGCTGTTTCACAAATGCCTGAAGCTCTGCCACAGTTAGCCAGTATTGGGACTTCCCACCACGATACCTGTAATCCAGTAAACATCACAAATGTAACTATCTAAAGAAGTTATATTACAAGAAAGCAAAATCCATTTTCTGGAAAGTATATCAACATTCAGATTTTTTATGAGACTCATCAGTCAATGAGGATACAGTATGGGGCTTGTTAACACTGTTCTTGGCAGGCTAACAGAAAATATTCCCAAGTTATCCCCCCACTCCAGCCCCCTCCATATGGTGGACAAAGAAAATGGAATTTACATTGTGCAGTGAACGTTTTCATGAACCAAGATTAAAAACAAAATTGATATAAAAAAGCAGAAGAGTACCTAGAATAGGAACTTATCACCATGGCAAAACTCCCAAGGGCTGAAGTGGAAATCCCAATTATAAATATTCCATGGAGAAATTATGGTCCATGGAATCCAAACTAAGGGTGCCATGAAAAACCAAAATCAATGCAAGATAAAATTATATGGAGTATTGTTTCAGTGTTAAAACATGTAGATGCTAAAAGTACTCTAGTACAGAAAGCAAGCCACAGGAGAGCAACTTACAGGTCCAGATGAATACATCTGGTGAATTTCTTCCATTTGGTTCATAGACAGGTTTCTTTATCTTAGCAGGTTTACAGCTTGATCTCTCGTGTTTCATTTTAACAACCAGACTACGAATTGGAAGCTGATCACATTGGGTGGTAAATTCCTGGACCTGGCTTCACAGTTAGTATCCCTCATGTATCAAAGAACCATACAGCACAGAGAGGCCATTCGGCCCATCACGTCTGTGCCGGCTCCTAAAATAGCAATCCAGCCCAATCCCACTGGTCCGCTTTCTCTCCATTGCCCTGCAATCCTGTCCTCCCCAAATACCCATCTACTTCTCCCTTAAAAGTTGTTATTGAATCGGCTCCCACTGCCCTTTCAGGTAATGCATTCCAGATCCCAACAACTCGCTTGTGAAAACATGTTTCCTCACCTCCTCTCTGGTTCTTTTACCAACTATCTTAAATCAGTGTCCTCGGGTTACAGTGGGAACAGTTTTTCCCGGTTCAACCTATCAAATCATCTCATGATCTTGAAAACCTCTATTAAATCCCCTCTTAATCTTCTCTGCTCTCGGGAGAATAATCCTAGTTTCACTAACCTCTCCTCATAACTAAGGTCCTTCATTCCTGGTACCATACTGGTAAACCTCCTTTGCACTCTCTCCAATGCGCCAACATCTTTCCTAAAGTGCGGTGCCCAGAACTGAACGCAGTCTCCAACTGAGGCCTAACAGCACTTTATAAATATTCAACATAACCTCCTGGGGCCTTTGCATTCTATGCCCCTATTTATAAAGCTTAGTATCCCGTATGCTTTTTAAACGGCTTTAGCTACCTGTCCTGCCACCTTCAGAGATTGGCTGATGTGGACCCCCAGGTCTCTCTGTTCATTTGCCCCCTTTAAGACTGTACCATCAGCTAATATTGCCTCTCCTCATTCTTCCTCCCAAAATGCAACACTTCGCATTTCTTCACATTAAACCTCATCTGCCACGTTTCTGCCCATTTTGCATTCTATCTAAGTCCTCTTGGAGGCTGGTGCTGTCCTCCTCACCATTAACTACTTTTCTTGGCTTAGTATGGTCTGCAAATTTGGAAATTGTGCTCCCTATATCCAGGTCCAGATCATTAATATAAATCAGAAAGAGCAGTGGTCCCAATACCGACCCCTGAGGGACACCACTACGCACCTCCCTCCCGTCAGAAAAGCAACCGTTTACTACCACTCTGCTTTCTGTCTCCCAGCCAGTTCTGGATCCATGTTGCCACAGTCCCTTTAATACCGTGGGCTTCTCTTTTGTTTATAAGTCTCTTATGTGGCACTTTGTCAAATGCCTTTTGAAAATCTAAATAAACTACATCTACTGCACTACCTTCATCCACCCTCTCAGTCACTTCAACAAAACATTCTATCAGGTTTGTCAGACACGATTTGCCTTTAACAAATCCGTGTTGACTGTCCTTTATTAAACCATATTTTTCTAAGTGAGAATTTATATTGTCCCGGATTATAGTCTCCAGGTAGTGGCAGTGCAACCCCCACCCTTGAATTAGCAGAGATTCTTTGCACTAGAGCTACACTTGTAATGCTCATAACTCAAAACAATCTGCGCCTGAAGTCAATCTCCCAAAACTATGGGTTATATGATATATGTAGAATGGCATCCACTACCAATGACAGTTGAGGAACTAATGGCTGCAGGAAGATCTTCTGTAAGCATACTTTGATCTCGAAATCTCTTAAAATAAAACGCCGACACGTAATCTCTCATTATGCATCTAACATAACCAGCAGACAAAGAACACAAATAGTACTCAACAACAACTTACTCATCAGAACAACAAGAAAATTTCATTTATAGAGTGCCTTTCACGTCGGGAGGACGTCCCAAGGCGCTGGACAGTTGGGTCGGGACCCAAGCAGGGGGGAAATGGTCAGGGTGAGGGGAGGGTAGGAAGGGAGCGAGGAGGGGTAGAGAGTCGAGAGGGGAGGTGAAGGCACGGTCAAAGAGAAAGGTATTGAGACCGGCCTTGAAGGAGGAAAGGGAGGAAGCGGCGAAGGCACTGGGGGATGGAGTTCCAGAGCTGAAGGCCCGGCCACCGATGGTAGGGCAGTTGGGGCGGGGGATGTGGAGCAGACCGGAGCCAAAGGAACGGAGGGTACCGGCAGGTAGGTAGGGGGATAGTAAGTCACAAAGGTAGGAGGGAGCAAGGCTGTGAGGATGAGGATGAGGGAAAGGCGTCCCAGGACACTGGACAGTCAGGAGCTTTTTGGACCCAAGCTGGGAGTTGGGGTCAGGAAGTTGGGGAGGGCGGGGGTGTGGCCGAAGGCAAGGATGAAGAGGAAGGTCTTTAGATGAACGACTTGAAGGAGGCAAGAGGGGGTGATGCGGAGGGATTGCAGGATAGGGTTCCAGAGTGTGGAGCCAGAGATGCTGAATGACTAACCCCTATAGGTGGGGCGGGAAGTTCGGGGGAACCTGAAGCAGGCTGGGTCCACCGAGCGGAGGGAACAAATAGGCTGATATGCGTTTAGTAGATCGGAGAGGTAGCAGGGAGTAAGACCGTGCAGCTTGTGGAGGGAAGAGTTGGGAAGTCCGGTAAGCAGGCAATTGGCATAGTCAAGCCGGGACATGATGAAAGCGTGGATCAGGATCTTAGCATCTTGCGGTGAGAGGCAGCGGCGAAGGCGGGGAATGTTGCAGAGATGGGGAAAGGCGGAATGGGTCACGGCAGGAATGTCGGATTTGAAGGATAGCTGAGGTCAAAGAGAACACCTAGGTTTCGTATCGCTCCCTGTTGAAGATGTTGCTTTGGTTCTTGGGAGAACTTCAATCTGATCTGGATCTAAAACTAAAGATTTATGGTTCCCTACAATGATTTCAGATGAGTGAAGGGATTCTCCCGGCTTCCTGTCCAACAATCCTGCAGGTAAAGGTGGTCATTCACTTCCTGTTTGTGGGACACTGCTATGCACAGGTTGGCTGCTGTGTTCACCCACAAAACTTAGTCACAGTACCTGTGAAGCTCTATGGGATGTCCTCCTGATATTGAAAGGCACTACACCAAATGGAATGCACCTCCCCTTAACAAGCACACATATTCAGCAAAAATGTTTAACATATTATTCAAACCATGTCAACAACTGCACCAACAAGCTTGTAATGGGAGAATTGTGGTTGGTGATTGTCTCAGACATGGAACTCACCGGGTTTGTCGTTTATCATTCAGCAGCCGCTGGGCAACACTGGCACATTTCTCGGCTTCTACAATCACTCCCTGCAGCTGTTTGAAAAGATCATTTTCTGGAAAGGTTTTGTTCTCAGCTTCCTCTATCAAAGACTTAAATTCCATTACACCTGCCAGATAAACCATTAGCATATGATTATTTCTCAATAGACTTACAGTTGTAAACAACCAGTTCTTTTAAAACAAATATTTTCTTTAATATCATGACAGTGTTTCCATTGATTTCAAGCCTCAAAAAATAGAAGATTTTTTTTCAATTAAATATCAATTCTTGAGTTATTTTAAAGCTCAGAAACATTTGATCCATCATAAAATACAGAATAGCCATTGTCTTGGATTTCTATGGGTGCAGATTTAAAAGAAAACAATTTTTCGCCCAATAGTATAGCATTTGACAATGAAGTAATGGTGGGAAATAAGTCTAACAATTCAAGTCTCCTTGGGGAACCCAATTAATGATTTAACATAATAGCAAAACTTTGAGACACACTTGCAAAACAGAGATCAATCCTGCAAAATGTAAAGCATAGTCTCTAAAGGTGCGCAGGTGGTTCATGCCATAGGCTTGCCTACTTCCTCACTAGAGGCTAAGGTTTAAGTTTGTTCCACTGTAATTCACAGTGCAGCTGTGAACTGAGAGGTTCCTTTTGTCCTTTTCTTTGATAAAGTGTGAAGGTTTCCAGCCCAGCACTTTGAGACGTCTTGAAGACTTGTAGGCATTCGATAAGGTGCCGCATAAAAGGGTTGATCTACAAGATTAGGCCGCATGGAATTAAGGGGAATCTATTAGCATGGACTGAAACATGGCTAACGGGAAGAAAACAAAGAGTAGGGATAAACGGGTCCTTCTCAGATTGGCGGGATGTAACTAGTGGAATGCCACAAGGATCAGTGCTTGGGCCTCAACTATTTACAATCTACGATCTAGATGAGGACATTGAATTTAATATATCCAAATTCGCGGATGACACTAAACTAGAAGGGAGAGTAAACATCGAGGATGACATTCAGAAAATGCAACGAGATATAGATAGGCTCAGTGAGTGGGCAAATTGGTGGCAGATGAAGTATAATGTAGGGAAGTATGAGGTCATCCACCTTGGTGGTAAAAACAGTAGAGCAGATTATTTTTTAGAAGGGGAGAAACTAGATAAGTGTTAGCGTCCAGAGGGACTTGGGTGTCCTTGTACACCAGTCACAAAAAGTTAGTTTGCAGGTACAGCAGCAGTTTGGAAGTCTAATGGTATGTGGAGTCCTGTAGCTCAGTGGTTAGAGCACTCGCTTTGCAAGCGAGAGACCTGAGTTCAATTCCAGGCAGAGGGCGAAACCTTGGGCAAGTTTCCTTACTCCACACAGAGCCTAATAATAATCCCTCCAAAACCAAAAACAGTAATAAATTGGTCATTTTCAATCTACGACTGTTTGTGGGACATTGCTGTGCGCAATTGGCTGCCGCGTTTGCCCACAAATATACAGTCAATTCACTTTACAGTGTGTTCTGTGAAGCGCTTTGGGACGTCCTCCCCACGTGAAAAGCGCTATATCAAATGCCAGGGTTATTATTATGTTGCCATTTGTTACAAAATGGTTAAAATATAAGAGGAGTGAAGTCTTGCAGCAACTGTATAGGGCCCTGGTGAGAGTATTGTGTGCAGTTTTGGTCTCCTTATTTAAGAAAGGATGTACTCGCCTTGGAGGGGGTACAATGTAGATTCACTGGGTTGGTACCGGGGATGAGTTATGAGATGGGTTGAGCAATTTAGGTCCATATTCTCTAGAATATAGAAGAATGAGAGGTGATCTTATAGAAACCTATAAGATTCCTTTTTCAAGACAATTATTATTCCAGATCCATCAACTAAGAAGTGCACTATCCTTGGGTGGATTCTTTCTATTCCCCTTCCCAGTTTTGCTTCCATCTCTTCACTCATGTGCTGGATCTACATTTGCTACATCATAACAATAAAGAGTTCCAAATTGTAAATACTGTACAATTTTAAAGGGGGTGCAGGAACAGAGAGAGAGACCTGGGGGTTCACATACACAAATCTTTGAAGGTGGCAGGACAAGTTGGGAAAGCTGTTAAAAAAGCATATGGGATCCTTGGCTTTATTATAAGTAGAGGCATATAATATAAAAAGGAGATCATGTTGAACCTTTGCAAATCGCTGGTTAGGCCTCAGCTGGAGTATTGTGTCCAATTCTGAGCACCACTTCTGTGCTGTATGTAATGGCCCACTCCCAAGGCACAACACTATCGTGTGAAATATTTCGATACTTGCCTCTCTTCTCAGTTTCTTTTGCTTCTAGCGAATCAGTCACTTTGGAAGTCCATTCATCATAGGGTGCTACATATAATCTCAATGCATGCAGCATTGGATAGAGATCATCCAAGGTGTAGCGATATCTAGGGTAGGGAAAAAGAAGTTCAACGGTAAAGAAAGTAAAACACAAGAATCACTAAAACAATATTGAAGTTGAGAAACCATTACTGTCAAATGGAAAGAAACTTCCTTGAGGAGAAAAATCAAATGGCTTATGTTTAATATACCATAAAACAAAGCACCGCTGTTTGATAGATAGCTTGGTTACATCTCCACTCTGCTGAAGTTTCTTGTTAATCTGCCAGAAATGCACAAGTGCCAATCAATCACAATGCATAAAATATGCCGCAACCAACAATTTTTCATTTGTAAATATATTTTTTATGGATATGATTTCAAGATACTAGATCAAACACCACAAGGTGTTTCATGCAATCTTATAAAATTTCAGTCTTCCACGTTTTAGATTCAAACTGTAATGCAATCCTTCTAAAAGCAAACCGGCCCACCCAAAAAATCTGTTCTGTTGTAGCCATTAAACTGTACCCAACAAAGTCTAGCTGAAGAAGATTAAATACTCAAGGGAACTATTTAATTTGAAATTCTGGCAGAATGACCGCACATTAAGTAGAATCTGCTTCAACTTCAAATAAAAAGTATCCTACCAACAGAAGTTTAGTTCCCAATCAGAATCCATCTAAAACATTTGACCTGTCACAAATTTAGGATATCACTTATCAGGATGGGGGGAAGCTAAGCAGAGTCGCCATGAGACTGAGCTGGCTCCAAGGTGAGTGACCTGCTTGGTAATGGAATATTGAAAGAGTTTGAACCGCTGGTTTCTTTCTGAGTCAGTGTAAGTCACTGCTGATTACTTTCCAGCCAGACCTCATGGTGGCCTTTATTTCCCTGAAGGTTGGTGGAGCATTAAGGTGTCAAGATTGGCCTCTTGCAAATGTCTCCTGTGATGCCCATCACCATAATCCTGTAACTCTGCTACCTTAGCTTCCATTCATCTTGCATTTGGCAGTTTGATCTGCACTTCATGGCAATGGTCTCTATAAGCAGTCTTCTTAGTCAGGGAACTTGTCACTTAAATGAATCGTGATGCCGCCAAGATACAAATCCAATAGTCTGCTCAATTGCCTGATGCACCACATTCTGGCGATCCATCTATTCCATAAATATCTGTGTTATCCGGGGGCGCAATAGAGTTCAAAAGGGCTTCCTCGATCTTATCACACAGTACTGCTTGAAAATCATCGTTCTCAGTCTTTCAACATTCAAACTCATTGCCGGCTTCACTATTATAATATAGCATCTTGGCACCACATTTATAGACAGTTTTAAGCATGTCTTCAATGATCGGTCCACATTTAGCTCCACGCCTGACACAGCTTACCCTAGCTGGCAAACATCCCTCTGACTCACAATCACAATCTATCAGGTGCCATTGTCGGGACCTTGGGTGCATCCACAATGCCGTTTTCTTAGTTATCAAAAAAAAGCATTTGTGATAACCAGTCCATGCCTAGCACACAAATCAAGGAGCAGGGAACCATTCCTATTTACATCACTAAACTAATGTCTACCAAAAACGAGTTGCCAAGTCATAGCATCCCTTCCTATGTGTTCATTGAGGGCCTGCCATCATGATTAGCTTATTGGAAATAGGGGATAACATAATCCTTGCATTTGATATAGCGCCTTATCACGTCTTCGTCACGCCTCAAAGTGCCTCACAGAATATACTGTAAAATGAATGGACTGTATATCCAATCGCGCACAGCAGCGTCCCACAAACAGTTGTGGATTGAGTGACCATCAATTTTTTTTTACGATTATTACCCCCGGAAATGCAATCCGCCAATCGACTAATAATCGGTTTCTACTTACTGCTAGGTAAACAGAGGCGTGTGGTGTAAATAAACTTACCTAAGGTTTCACCCTGCCTGGGAATCCAACCCAGGTCCTCTCGCTTGCGAGGCAAGTGCTCTAACCACTAAACTACAGCACTCCATAAGATATTGTAAAGTCAATTGACTATATTTTGTGAATGAAACGCGGAAGTCAATTACGCACAGCAATTGTCCTACGAACAATCATCGATTGAGTGGTCAAATTATAGGCCAACAATCCTCCAGAAAAAAATTGGTCATTAACTTCACAATTGTTTGTGAGACATTGCTATGTGCAAATTGGCTGCCGCATTTCCCTACAAAGTTTACAGAAAACGTCGTGAAGTTCTTCTACGATGTTCAACTTTATAGGCACTATTTCAATTGCTAGTTATTACAGGGCAACCCGGTTATGAAACCCTTTCCCCTAAAACAGAAGCCTTACTGATAAGCCAATAGAAAAGTGGGTTTCAGTTTTTCAGCAGAATCACCACAAATACCTTCCTCCGCTACAAACCCGCAATAAATGTAGTTTCTGGCCCGCGGGCCTCCCAGCTGTTTATGTGATGTCACTGTGGGTGGGGCGGCTCCGGACGTGCATGCATGGTGTGGTGCAAGTGGCAAATGGGCTTCACTTGGAGGCCCCACTGCTATGATATATACATTTGTGTGTGTCTCTCTGTGTGTATGTGTTAGTGTGTGTGTCTCCATCGGTTTGTGAGTGTTTCTGTGTCCCCTCTCTGTGTGTTTTTGGGTGAGCCTGTCTGTGTCTCTCTAAGCGTTTGTGGTATCTCTATGCGAGTGTTTGTTTCTCTCTGTCTGGACGTGTGCCTCTCTGTCTCTTGAGTGTGTGTGTCTTTCTATGTTTGAGTGTCTGTCTGAGTGTGTCTTTCTGTGTCTGAGTATGTGTCTGTGAGCGTGTGTCTGTCTGTGATGTGTCTGTCTTTGTGTCTCTGTTTGAGAGTGTGTTTCTCTCGTGTCTGTAAGTGATGTGTCTCTCTGTGTCTGAGTGTGTGTCTCTCTCTCTCCAGGTCTGTGTGCGGTGCTGGGCCGAGAGCTCCTGTAGCTTCAATGGTGTCCCCTGTCCCCGACCCTCCCCCCACTAAAAAAAGCCATCCAGTTTTTGTTAAAGAAGCAATTTACATATTTTTTGCAACAATCTAGTATGTGTTATTTCCTCATGTTTATTTTGTATTAGTAAAGTGAAAAAAATGTAGGTTGGCAATAAAATGTACCTCATAGAACCAACCAACTCCTTGCTATTTTGCAAAATTTGCCAAAAATCTCCCGCAATCACCCGGAATGTTATATGTAGGAAGTGGCAGTAACAACACTATAGCAAGGAAGTGACATCAGCAGCACTTTCAACACACATGTAATGTGTAGGAAATGATGTCGCAGGGATCCGATAGGGAAGCTGGGGCACACAAACAGGAAGCAGTTTCAATAATGACCTGATGTCACAAGAATCCTCTTATAAATACGTTGTTCTATATTAAGCAGCTCCAAACAACAAAAGGTGAAAAACAACAAAAGTGCAACAGAAATTATTTCAGTAAAAAGACTGATGAGCACAGGATCAACATTTTCTAAAGAGTGTTTGTGGAGTCCTGTAGCTCAGTGGTTAGAGCACTCGCTTTGCAAGTGAGAGACCTGAGTTCAATTCCAGGCAGAGGGCGAAACCTTGGGCAAGTTTCCTTACTCCACACAGAGCCTAATAATAATCCCTCCAAAACAAAACAATAATAAATTGGTCATTTTCAATCCACAACTGTTTGTGGGACATTGCTGTGCGCAATTGGCTGCCGCGTTCGCCCACAAATATACAGTCAATTCACTCTACAGCATATTCTGTGAAGCGCTTTGAGACGTCTAGAAGACGTGAAAGGCGCTATATCAAATTCAAGGATTATTATATTATTAAAAAGGAACCAAATAAGTTCTTGGAAATTAAAAGTATTCAAGGTTATTAGGATATGAGGAAAATGTGTTAAGAGCCATTTGGGAATTTGGATGAATAGCTAGATGGATCAAGTGTTCTACTTCTGCCTGAAATCGTCTTAAAACACATTCCTTACATTTTGATTAATTAGCGCCATTTCATGAAACTTTGGATAGTTTAATCCTTTGGTTCCTGACAAATGCAATTCCATTATAACTATTCACGTTCCCTACAAGGCTCATTTGTGAGGCTGAAAAACTGAGAATCTTTGTATGTACCAAACTGGATGAGACTTTAAACCGAGGTCTCATCTGCCTGTTCAGGTAGATGTTAAAGATCCCAGGGCACTACTCAAAAAGAAGGGAGTTTTTCCCTGGTGTTCTGGCCAATAAATCCTCCAAATAAAAAATTGGTCACTCACTCCATGGCTGCTTGTGGGACATTATTGTGTGCAAATTGGCTGCCACATTTTGCCCACAAAATACAGTGAATCCATTTTACAATATATTCTGTGAGGCACTTTGAGATATCTCAACAATGTGCTCAGGCAAGGATTATTATTATTATTATTAATAGTCTTCCTGAACTTTCTTAATCAAAATAATAACTTTGCAAAACTAACAGAGGATAGCAATTGTTTTTGAATTGCGCAAGGTTACAGGGTAGTAGAGAACATTTTCAAGTAAACCCTAAAACGACTTTCATCATTTAGGATTTAATAAATTCTGTTCAGGGATAAAAATTTAGTTCAAGTGCATCACCTTTTGTAATGTCAGGCAATAATGGGATTTCCCCCATTATAGTCACTCAGTGCTAATGGCACTGTGTTGAAAGGAACCTTTACCCCAATACATCTACATTTGTATCAGTTACACTAAACAATAGGTCACAGGTTAATTTCTCTGTGCTAACACTAATGTCGTTGGAAGATTTACCTGAGCTGATGTCTGTTTGGTGCACAGAAGCAGAGGTCCTTAGCATGGTACAGGCACACCAGTTCGTTAGGTTTACATGGGCAGGAGATTGCTGACAAGAAACAAGTAGTCTTGCACTTTGTACACTGCCGCTCATCATCAGGCAAAAGCTCAAATTTCTCCCTCACAGTGTCGGTCACTCCCTGGAAATGGAGTAGATATTTAACAGTGAAAACTTCTATTTAGGCTTCATTTAATACCAGCAATGACTTTCAGAGATCTCATGTGTCTTAACTAAGCAGAAAGGTTCTACAACACTAGTTCAGGTTTTGTTCTCAAGATTAGAATAAAGCCATCTGCAATATCCTCAAAAAGATACCTGTGAACAGAACCTTCCCTGAAGCCAAACTTTCCCATTTATTATTTGCAAAACCTGAAAGTACTCCTAATTAATTTATACCGTAGCATTCAACAAAGCATAGAATAATACGTCAAATTACAGAATTTTGTGAACATGCATGTAAATTACAGTGCTGAAACAGATCAGGCATTTTAAAATCATTAAATTGGCATTATAAACCCATTAATCCTCCTGCACCAGATTTATGCCAGAGAGACCATTATCGCCATAACAAGAATGCCCACTAGAGATGAAAAAGGACTAATGCATTCCAAGTTACTGTCTAAGGCATCAAAGCCTCTAAACAAATTTCTTCATCAAAGGTTTCTATTCCTCTATGTTTAATGAAACCCCAGACGTCCACAACCAAAACAATCTGCATGTAGATTCCTGATTTTATTGCTGAATAGGTCATAAAGGCAATCAGAAAGAGAAAAGTATAGTATGTAGTATAGTAAAGCATGTATAATGCTGCCTCACTTAGCACTTGTGTCCCATGAGCTCACATTAACTAAAAATACAACACACCCAGCTTCGGGCACTGACTTGCACTTCAGCACTAAACAAAATGGATGACTGCTGCCGATGTCACTTACATAAAATATACAGTATAGAAACAGACAATTCAATCCTTAGAACCTCAGAAATTAACATCAGGAAAGAAGGCCCATTGTGCCTGTGCCGGTTAGTTTAAAAGCAATCCTTTCTGTCCCATTTTCCTGCCCTTTCTCTATTCCCCTACAGCTGACCACTTTTAACTTATTTTATGTAGTTCCCTTTCAAAAAACCAATATGGATTCTGCTTCAAACACATTCATGGCAGGGCATTCAGTGTCATAATTACTCTGTGGAAGAAAAAAATTCTAATCACCCCATTTACTAACCATTCTAAATCGAGGCCAAACAAGTCTGTGCCAGTGTTAATACTATACACGAACCTCTACCAAAATTTTCCTGCAGCTGTGCCCAGGAAGTGCCACTCATGTCACTTACATCACCTTATGAAAGAAGTGACATCAGTTGTGCTTCTTGCACATTCAAGCAACCTGACCACCTGGAAATCGGGATTTGCACTTTATAATACGATCTCAGGTACAGGACCCAAAGGACTGCATTATAACGAGGTTCCCCAGTAACCCTATTACTATGCTAAATAGATATTGTGTTGCTTGCCCAAATTTATTGTGAATACCTTACTGAAGAACAGGTCTAACCAGACTTCTTACCACTCAAGATGGTTTAAAGGGTATTAAAAAAGTTTAAATGCAGAATGGTTCTCATGACAAGTCGGTTATCAATACATTGGAACATACTGGAATTAAATAAACCATCAACATGATTAATAACACAGAACAAACAAATCACTTTTTGAGCAAGTCACTCACTTCCGCTTCACTTCTACAATGCAGAAGGAAGTCATTCAGCCCATCATAACCAGGAACAGTCCACAGAGCAAGGATATCACTTCAATCCCACTGCCCCATGTTATCCCCATTCCCCTTCAAGCCCCTCTTTTTATATGCCTGTTTAACTTCCCTATTGAAAGTTAGAATGAACTCCATCTCCAACACCCTTACCTACCTGGTAAGTGATCCAGATCCCAACTATTCTCTGGGTGAAAAAAAATTCCTTTCAAGTTCTCCTTTCACTCTTCTTGTAGCTTTCTTATGGTTCTACTTCATTTAGATTTAAAACTACTTTTACTACTTTCAATATTATAAATATGATTTGTTACTTTGAATGTTAACTCTCCATTATTCTTATAATTAACTATACAACGAACTCAAACGTTTAGAAGTATTAGAAAATTAACATAACAAAGTCAACTTGTATTAATGATTGTTCTCGTATTTTGGGGGCCAATGCCCACAGTGTAATGAATATGAAGTAAAAGACCTGAAGGTACAAGTGCAACTTGCAGTCGATGTTCAAGTATTTTTCTAAGTCAGACATATGATTGTTTAAGTTATAACTGCCATGAAGAACTGTAGAAGTGTTCAATGAAGTGATGCACATTTGCATCTCAACCTGAGCAAGAAGATCAGGTGTTACTTGAGGATTTCTTCTTTCTCTGCATGTGAAAAGATACTCAACAACTCTTTGTTGTTGGCCACTTTTGTTGTTTCTTTGTTCCGCAAAAATGCTGCAATGTACTCCATTGCTTCCACAATAGAAGGTGAATGCACATCACTTGCTACCTGTTACTTTCCAGTATTTGCTCCAATCTATGCCCATTTTCAGTGACTGTTCAAGGACATCTTCCCACGTTGAGATGTTTTCTCCAATATGGGATGACTTTGCATACTAAGGGAAGGAAGCAATTCCAATGACCACTTTGGAAAGTTGTGGAAATTGCAAAAATAGTGATACTGGGGGGGAAGTGGATATTTTCAGATGCAGAATATTGACCAGCCAGCAGATTTGACTGCAGCACATTACATGGTGCCAAAACCAGATTGCCAAATGATTCCATACTTAAAAGCAAAGCATTTCTTCACATCCTACAATTGTTTGTTGCACATCGAGCAGTACAGACAGAATATTTACAATCTACAACAACAAATTACATTTATAGAGCACCTTTCACTTCGGGAGGACGTCTCAAGGCGCTGGGTGGTCAGGGGTTGGAACCCGAGCATGGGGGCGGGGTGGAGTAGGGGGTGAGGGATGGCAGAGGTGGGAGGGCACGATCGAAGATGAGGGTCTTGAGACCGGCCTTGAAGGAGGCAAGGGAGGAAGCAAGGCGAAGGGACTGTGGGATGGAATTCCAGAGTGTGGGGGCAGAGAGGCTGAAAGCTCGGCCACCGATGGTAGGGCGGGTCAGGCGGGAGATATGGAGCAGACCAAAGCCGGCTAAACAGAGGGAACGGGCAGGTTGGTAGGGAGTCAGCAGGTCAGAGTTGAACCTCAAGCTAGAGTTAGTTATCTTGGTTCAGGCATGCTGTGGAAATAAAGTGTGCTGCGAATGCTGATGCTTTGCAGAATGCTGTTTTTAATAATTTACACAACATCCATTTCAACCACTAAATGAAGAGGTTTCCAAGGTTTATTGTTTTTGCTGTCAATACTAATGCCTGACACTCCAAAGCAGGCAGGGGATGTGCTGCATTGTTAGAGGAGCTGTCCTTTGGATGAGACATTAAATGGAGTCCTGTCTGCCTGTTCAGATCGTTAAAGATCCCAAGGCACTATTCGAAAAAGAGAAGTTTCTCCTGGTGTCCTGGCTCACAATTCCCCACATAAAATTGGTCACGTCTATTTGTGAGACAACAATCATCTGTAAACTGCCTGTCATTTTCACCAACAAGATGCACCATCACAGCACTTTGAAATATATCCCAGTGAAGTGCATTGAGATGGTAGATATGATGCTCATTCAAAAAGTTGGATTTTTTTTGGTCAGCCATCAGTGCTTCAGTATCCAAACTATAATGAGTTTCACATAACCATGATGCTCCGTGGAGCTACACCGTGGAAATTTCTGTGCATCTGGAAAGGAATTTAGTCCCTCCCCAGGAAACACCTTACTTACGAATTCCAGAGAGTATTAGTCACAGGTTGATGAAAGCATACACAAAAGTATGCCAGAATTTAACCATCTAAAACCACTGCTGGAATTTAACCATTTAAAATCCTTCAGAGCACTTTCTGTCATGATACATGCAGTTTGGCCAGCTACGACTACTTAATGGGGCTTTGCCTTGAAAGGTTAACATGAGCCAATTGGAAATAATCTGTCCTAAGTGCTATCTGCTGCTTTAAGTCCTGCCAACGGATCAGAATGATTGGGGACAGCAATGCCTTGAAGTATTGTAATCTGCCAGGCTCAGGAACCAGACTACTGAGATGATCACAAAGAGTGATTCGATTCCAATAGTACAGTACTGCTGCCAAGCACGTCACTTTGGACAGCTCAGTTCTTAAACTTATAATATCAGGACAGGAGGTGATATTGTGATTGGATTGTTCTGCTAATATTGAGATCAGACACTAGAAGTTGGTAAACGCACTAGGCATTTAGCAGGAGTATTCACACAGGCTCAAGAAATTGGTACTGCATCACCAGTAAACAATTAAATTCACTTAGAACTGGCTGCTGAAAAGGGTGTCTATACACCAACATGGCTAAAAAAGCCACTGGTTGCATTAGACAGGTGGTTGGTGAATAGATGTGGTTTATTATGGAAAAATTGGTTGGGACTGTTCAGGGTGGTTGTTGACAGCAGGTGATTGCTGAAATAGGATTGACTGTAGTTAATCAGAACGCCATAGAGGGTTGACTCAGTTCAACATTTCATTACCAAGCCTTTCACATTGAAGCCAATTCAACTCTAAGAGCACTTCGCCTACCTCCTTTTCAAGGAAGTCACTAGTTAGTATTTTAGTGAATAGTTGGTATTAATAATAGTATACTTTTGCCTATATCCAGACTAATTTCCTGCTGAAAAGCAACAAAGAACATGGATCAGAACAAGGCATTTATGTCATTCAAATCATAACAAGAGCACATTTCACAATCTAAAAATAGAATTGAAATTGAATAAAAAGAATGTTTCTCAGTGCAGCAGGATGAAGCTGCTAAAAAGAAAGTAGCAAACTCCCAAGAGATACGATGGAGACTCGCTCAAACAATTTACAAAAATAATAAACGGATTTGATCTTAGTTGACAAATTCTTGGTAGGGTAAAATTTCCAAACGTGTATCGTGAAATTCAGAAAATTATACTTAACCAGAAACCTATACCTTTGGGTTTTGCCTTCAACGCAAGGAACAACTTAAGAAACTGGTATAAACAAGAATGGTAATAAGAAATGATAGCATTTTAAGGTCATGGCAAAGTTCATTAAGTCAAAATATAGACAGTGACACAACTTTGAGATATCTTGATGCTGGCACATATTGCCAACAAAACTTTTTATGTCGAAATGGTTCAAAAAGTTACAAGAGCATAAATAGCTGTAATGTTTCCGCTGTGATTTACTAACAGCACTCACCGTTTTACGAACTGCCTCCCGCAATCTCTTCTCGTCATCTATCATAATCATCATATCCTTATGAACAGCAGAAGCTAAAACCAGATCAAGATCCTTAAACTTTGAGGCCATCTTACAAATCATCTCATCATGAGAGAAAACACAGTAACGATTTAGAAGACGATAATGTTGCACACACTGTCTGCCCATTGGAAGCTGAAAAACAACCAGATGAAATGAATATTAAGACACCTTAGAAGAGTAATTGAAAAACCTCTCAAAGCTTATGAAATTTATAGTGCTTGAAGATGGCGAAAAATGCATAATGCTTTAAAGCTATTGAATTCAATGTATTTGAGGTGCACATGCAAATTGTTTCCCAATTTTATGCCACAACATTTGAACTATAATTGAATCACTTCAAGGATGATTTGCATTTAATGTGTTGCATGCTTTCCATCAATGTACTTCGAGTACACCATCTGTGGTAATCTCAGTAGTTTCTTGAGAGGTGGGTCCGCAAATTCCAAGGTAGTGCTGACGACAGTCCAGCCCAGCCAGCCTGATTCAACAGCAAGACTTGCCAGAGGCAGACTAATCACCGAGAGCAGCAATCCATCCCATTCAACTTCAGAGAGCCAAGCCCTAATGGATAGCCCAAAAATAATTAGAGTAATCACAACAGGAAAAACCAAGAAAAGCTCATCATGGTGCTCTTAATGGCAAAGTATGTGGGTTTAGCTGCTTAAACTCCATCAGCAGCCCCATCCATGGTTTTTGCCAACCTGCACCTAATCCTGCCAGAATTAAGTTAGCACAATGTGTCCCTCAGGGGAGAGAGTGCATGAACATTGTAGGTGGCATACGTATATGGAACCCTCAGTCTTGTTTGGATGACTATCTTAAGCAGTGTGATGGGACAGACACATGGCTGATAAAAATCATAGACATATTGAATGACCATCAGACTTACCCAGTCCAATGTACAGAAATTCACAGCTTCTGCGAAGTTGAAACCTTGGTTAAAACCACTGTGATAGGCTCTGGGGAACGTAATAACAAATTCTCCTGCACACTGATTGGTTCTGTAAACCTGAATTCAGGAAACAAAAAATACAATCATTTCAGCCATCAATTTAATGCTACTCTGTTAAGAGCACAATCAAACTGGCATGGGATATCGCATACAAGTCCATAATTCTTTAGTTGTAGTCTTATTTGGACAAAATTGACCACTTTAAGTAACTTCCTCACATAACCTTGCTCTAGAGGAATACATCACTCATTTGTTTAATGGACATTTGATAACTGGCTTTCCTCCAGCCTCATTTACAAAAGAAAATAGTCTGGTGTTTAACAAAGATCCTTTGTCATTTCTAGATGAAGGGCCCTTGGAGTAAGTGGAAGAAACAAAAATGTTAGCCATCTTCAGGAGTGTAATTTCCTGAGATAAGAAGAAATCCGGATAATCAAAGCAAAATGAAAAGATGAGGCTTAAGAATTACCCTATAGTTATGCTAAATAAGATGTGCACATATGCCACCAGCATACAAGGTACATCAATTCTTTGTACTGATATGAGTATAGTATATAGCCAGGCTGACACAAGATCAAACCAATTGTACAGGATCCCAAGAGAACATCCAACTCAGAGCCATAATGACTGGGCACTTACGAGTAGAATTCTCAAATTATAGTAATCATGCACAAAAAAATAAACTTAACATTCGATCACTAACTTACTCTGATACCTCTATTGTGATCAAAGATTACCATGTTGAAATTTTCCTTCAGGCAACCCAGATTCTGAAGTAGAATTTGTACATAAAGACACATACTTGAAGAAAATTCTCCTGCTGAAAAATTTTAAATGGATATGCAATGAAGTCTTCAACCAAAATTATTAGAACCTTGAAGGTACCTTTGAAACCATATCTATAGCCACAAAAGCATATCTATATACTATGAAAAAGTTATCCTGACCACACAGTAGGATTTCACACAGGTATGAGCTGTGGATTTCACGCAGTGAGCTGGCTGCATCAATACGCAGGTCATTCTTGAGATGAGATTATAAAACATCTTTAAATATTAAAGTTTAAAATTAGCATCTCAGGGCTGAAACTTACAGGCACTCCGTGAGCCATCAGTGTGTTGGGGTTCATGATGGTGACCAGCTGATGGAGAAGGTCAGGCTGTGTTTCAAACAACTCAGGCGCTAACCTCTTCATCACACTCTCTAGCTGCTCTGCCACATACGCTGGTGCTCCATACCATGTCTTGGGTTCCCCCCTAAAGTTTTGAAAAAAAGTTAAGATCAGTGAATTAGGTAAATAAATGGTACAAGACAAGGAGTTTTAATTTACTACTCACAGCAAGCATCAGATTCATAGGATATTGAATTCCTAACTAATTTTTCTGACGTTTGAGCCCCAGCCGGTAATAGGAACTGTGCAGTGAAGGGCACAGTTCAGCATTAAATGTCTGAATGCATTTCCACCATCCTCATTGAGCACACACCTCTCTCTATAAGAGTAGTGGTTCCACCTGGTCTTTGTAAACAATAACTTGCATTTATATATTGCCCCTCACACAGGGTAGTGTCCCAGAATGCTTGACAGTGGCAGAGCATAATGCCGAGCCGGGGGGAGGAGTCTGTGACCGTAGGCACGGTCGAATAAGGATAATCATGCAACCTGAAGATAGGGAAGGAAGGGGCAAGAGGAGGGATAGAGGAAGTGTTCCTGAGTTTCAGGGCATAGTGCACGAAAGTGCGGCCACCAATGGTGGAACGGAGAGCACAAGAGACATGCAGAAGGCCAGAGCCAGTTGAGGGGAGGCAGCAGGTTGGGAGGTAAGCAGGTCGGAGAGGTAGGGACGTGCCAGGACTTGAAGGGATTTGAAAGCAAATGTGAGGATCTTGAAATCGATCCATTTGGCGATAGGGAGCTAGTGGAGTCTGGCTAGAACTGGTGTGCTGGAGGGAGTTTGGAAGGCGGTCCTGGTCAGGGTCCATATGTGGGGAAGGAAGAAGACCTGAGGGGGATCGAATCTGACGCCTAGGTTGCGCACTGGTTCAGTAAGTCTGAGGGATAGTCCAGGGAGGTTGAGGAGATCAGAGCCACAGGATAGAAGACAATAATGGGAGCCAATGAATACGGCTTCTGCCAGGTCAACATTTAGCTGTAGAAAGTTTTCACTCATCCAGGCCCTGAAGTCCACCAAACATTGGTAGGTCTGGAGACACAGCTGGAGAAGTAGATTTGTACGTCAGACATACTTGTGGAAGTTTACCTCATGTCTGCGGATGACTTCGCCAAGAGGGAGCATAAAGATGAGGAAGCGGAGGGGGCCAAGGATGAAGCCCTGGGGTAGACCACAGGTGACTGGAAAGGAAATCGTTTGAGGAGATAATGTGAAGGCGATTTGTTAGATAGAATGCAAACTAGGATAGTGCGGTCCCACTAAGGTGGATGAGGATGGTGCTGTCGACTGTGTCGAACACGCCAGAGAGGTCAAGGAAGATAATAATAATTCTTGCATTTGATATGGCGCTTTTCACGTCTTCTAGATGTCTCAAGTACTTCACAGAATATAGTGTGAAGTGAATTGACTGTATATTTGTGGGCAAAATACGGCAGCAGTGTCCCACAAACAGTCGTGGATTAAAGTTTGAGTCTGTGGAGTCCTGTAGCTCAGTGGTTAGAGCACTCGCTTTGCAAGCGAGAGACCTGAGTTCAATTCCAGGCAGAGGGCGAAACCTTGGGCAAGTTTCCTTACTCCACACAGAGCCTAATAATAATCCCTCCAAAACCAAAAACAATAATAAATGGGTCATTTTCAATCTACGACTGTTTGTGGGACATTGCTGTGCGCAATTGGCTGCCGCGTTCGCCCACAAATATACAGTTCGATTCACTTTACAGTGTGTTCTGTGAAGCGCTTTGGGACGTCCTCCCGACGTGAAAAAGCGCAATATCAAATGCAAGGATTATTATTATTATTATCATAAAGTGCCAATTTATCATTGTTTTTTTTGAGGGATTACTATCAGGCGGGTGGAGTAAGGAAACTTGCCCAAGGTTTTGCCCTGTCAGGAATCGAGCCCAGGTTTCTCGCTGGAAAGTGTTCTAGCTACTGAGCTACAGGACTCCAGGATGACGACACAGAGGGAGCCCTGGTCACAGAGGGAGCAAGAGAACGAGAGAGGGGGGGGTAACGTCGTCTGTGAACTTGCGTAAAGTTACACCTTTGAAGCTAAAATCAATCTTCATCTATAACTTCTATGTTTGTGTTCTTCCCCTCATTAACTACATGTCCCAGATTATACAGCAGGTTTCAACTCGCGCTGGTAAAACTCTAGACTAAGTACAGATATTTTTCTGTAGAAAACAAATGTTTAATTTAACAAGTAGGACAATCTGATGATTTCTCACCAGTGCAGATAGTTGATTGAGTAACTCCAGTGGTCCTCAATGTGCCAACAGAAGGAGGAGAAGCACATTCCTACATAGAGCCATGGTAATTTCATCCCACAGATATCTGCACTAACGTGAGTCAGGACGGAAGGCTCCAACACAGGCATGTTGTTTAAATTCCATCCTGAATCAAAATACATCTGCAAATAAAAAGGAAAAAGGTCCCTGCACACCTCAGAAATAAAGCAATATTTCAAATGTTCAAAACTATAGCATCCTCCATAAACTGAATAGTATTGTTAAAAAACAGTAAGAGGATGAAGTAGATACAAAACCAATTACAGATTGAATACATTTCTACTACATTTTACATTGTATAATGAGCTTGAAAAAAAGGCTTACCTGTTCATCAGGTCTCAATTTCAGTTTGCCATTTTTAATGGGGAATCCACTACCAAATTCTTTAGAAGCTATATCAGCTCCATATTCTACTGTAACATCCTCTTCAATGGTGCTAACCAAGCGCCAGAACTCCTTTTCCACCAGTTCTGTTGGAACCATCTGTGAGTGCATTCCGTTTGTGGGGAGAAAAGAAAGAGGAAAATGTGCAACTTGAAAACAACAACTTGCACTTATATAGCGCCCTCCACACAGAATAGCATCTCAGAGTGCTTGAGCCAAAACAAACTTCTTGAATTCTCCATTAGGACACACTCAAACAAGCCGAAAGTAATGAAACATTTCTTTTTCGTTGCTTCATGAAAAAATCGTCACAGGCTGGTTAGAGTATTCAATTCATTGCTACAAATTGTAATGAAACAGAGTTCATAAATTTTTAAAGGGAATTAGATGCACTTCAAAAGATTATAAGGATTGGGAAGCAAAGAAGGTAGGATCTGATTAGGTGACTCATATGGAGGAGCATCAGCACACACTTGATGAGCCATACAGTAACATTATATAATAATCTTTGCATTTGATATAGCGCTTTATCTGGTATTCGAGACGCCTCAAAGCGCTTCACAGAATATACTGTAAAGTGGGCAAAATACAGCAGCCAACTGCGCGCAGCAGTGTCCCACAAACAATGGATTGATATTTTTATTATTTATTTTTTTACGTTTAATTTTTGAAGAGATTATTACCCTCAGAAAGTGATCCGCCAATCGACTACCAACCGGGTTCCTACCTACTGCTAGCTAACAGAGGCATGCAGAGTAAGGAAACTTGTCTAATGTTTCGCCCTGCCCCCGAATCGAATTCAGTTCCCGTTGCTTGCGAAACGAGTCCCCGAACTAATACGCTACAGAACTCCACAATCAAACATTCGTTGATTCTTCTATTTAACATCCAATTTAAAGAATCATCAAGGATTATACCAGAGGTACATCGCTCAGAGACAATGGTGACATTAACAGACTTGCATATCTAGGCCACAATTCCTAGGCTATTATCCCAGCATGAATAAACCAAGCTAGCAATCAATTAAAATTAGTTACTTTTTTCAATCCAGGAGGACAGTGCCTGACTTCACATTTTTCCACAATAAAATTATGGAAATAGAGTGAAGGTCTTTCCATGATGTCTCAGCATGTACTTTAGCCTTAAGTCATAGATCAAGTGCTCTGAGATGTTACCCTGCGTGGAGGGCGCTATATAAGTGCAAGTTGCTTTTGTTTTAGATAGAGCTGTTCCCATTTTTGCTCTTGTCACTTAATTGCAAATGTTAAACTGATGCAATCTGCCTTAAGCATATAGTAAAACAAAAACAGAAGTCACTGGGAACACTCAGCAGGTCAGGAAGCATCTATGGAGAAACGAAAGTGAGTCAACGTTTCAGGTCCCAACCCTTCGTCAGAACGGGTCGTTAAGGCTCGAAGGGTTGTGGATCTGAAACGTTGACTCACTTTCCTTTCTCCATAAATGCTGCCTGACCTGCTGAGTGTTCCCAGCGACTTCTGTTTTCGTTTTCAGATTTCCAGCATCTGCAGTATTTTGCATTTTGAGCGTTTAGCAATTCATTAGCCAATTTTGGGCATTGTTGGAATCCTCTGTACAAATCTCTTTTTTTAAAACAAGTGTGTAATTTCTTCTTCTATTTTTTGTCCTATTTGCAAGCACCTCTGCTTCTGGTCCATAGCCTCCTCATATTGAGATTTGGGTCCACAGGCATTGGTTGCCCTCCAGTATCCTTCCCAGCCCACCACTCAGCTGATTCAGGCTGTGGAGGGTATCACAGGAAAGCCTGAATCTCTCTGCTTGTGGTTGAACATTATCAGGAGGGGGATCAGGAATAAGAATCCTGGATGCTTTTCACATCCCTAACCCTGGGAAGACCAATTTAGCAAACTCAGCAAGACCAGGATTCATCAGCAAGTGGTAGCTCGATCCACTGCACCATACAGACTATCATACATTTTTCTAATAATTTCTGCTATAAACAAATAGAATTTTTGTAGTAAGCTTTGGATTTCAAATTTCTGTAAATGTTCTTTCTAAACCTTGTGATGGCTCATGCCTACATACATAATAATCCTTGCATTTGATACAGCACCTTATCAAGTCCTCAAGATGTCTCACAAAGCGCTTCACAGAATCCACTGTAAAGTGTAGTGACTATGTTTTGCGAGCGAAACACGGCAGCCAATTGAGTATAGCGACGTCCCACAAACAGTCATGGATTGGATTGAGCGGTCACATTATTATTTTTTTCAAGGGATTATTACCTCCGGAAAAGTGATCCACCAATCGACTAACAAGTGGGTTCCTACTGACTGCTGGTAATCAGTCTTTATGTGTGTGATGCCTGTGTTAGAGAGTGTGTGTGAGTGAGTGTGTGGGGTAAGGGAGCTTGTCCAACGGTTTGCCCTGCCCGGGAATCGAACCCAGGTCCTCTCCCTTGCGAGGCGTCTAACCACTGAGCTACAGGACTCCCCTCAGAGCCTGCACGCACATACTCGCGCACGCACACACTTACATGAACTGGCATGTTGAAGTAATCAGATTTAAAGGCATCTGCCATTTCACCAAATGCACGCAGTGTGTAGTCCCTTGGTGCTTGTTCAAAACCAAAAGCTTCTTGAGGCTTGCTACACTCCTAGAATGAAAAAAATGTTTAAGATTGATGTCATGTACTTCAGTATTAATACATTTCGCAATATAGACATCCTGCTCAGATACCTGCTTCTATCCTATTCTTTGCATAGTAATTACTATCTAAACTTCAAGCGAAATATATTGTGAAGCATTGTTTCACAAGTTTTTCTGCAATATTCATCTTTCCAAAATTAAATGAGAACTCAAGTTACAATAGGAGCCTTAATAATAGGATGCAATGCCTTTTATGGTTCTACAAATCATTGTCATTTCAGCTTTTCTTAAGAGTCTTTCATGCATTTACTTGTTTCATTAGCAACCTAATGCATTTTGTGAAATTATAGATGAGAAATACATAACTTCAACAAGAAACTAAAAACAAAAATATGTTAGGTTGGAGCAGCTGCAGAATGCTCTGGGGAGATCTTATTGAAGTATTCAAGATCCCAAAAGGCAGATCAAATGAACCCTAATAACATGGACTTGAGCTCAAAATAGGGAAAATGAAGAGTTCAGATTAACTGTTATTGCTTTACAAAGTGGCGAGTGTGTGGAATAGACTACGCAGGGAGGTTGTGGAACCAAATTGTCAGCAACTGGAAAAGGAAATTTGTTTGGCGAATAAATTGAGGGTTTGAAAAAAAAATACAGAATTATTTGTTTTACTTTAAAACCAGCCAGACAGATTGCAATGGTGTTTTCTTGTCCTGCATATTCTATGGTCTACTGTTCAAAAGGCCATGGAGTAGTTGTAGGCAAGACATGGTTGCATAATCCTAGAGATAAACTAGAATTCTTGTTACTAACCTGAGCCAGACACTTTGGGCACCTCCAATCACCTTTAGGGACATCATTCAGTGGTGGAAGAAGACAAAAGGTATGATAACTGTCATCACAGCCATCACACAACAGGAGTCGATCCTCTTCATTACCTTGTCCACACACTAGGCAAACATACAGATCAACCTATGGAGAAAAGGAACAGTAAAGACTTACATCAGCTCTCTCTGAGGAGAATGGTCAACAAAACAATCAAAAAAGATTCAATTTTTGAGGATTGCAAATTGGCACAATAGTTAAAATTGGCAACTATTCAACAACCGTAGGCAATTGTTTGTCTTGATCTTATCACATGCCATAATTACCATGGCACTATTCTCGTAATGTCTCAAAATGCTTTGCAGAGGCGGGCTTTGAAACCCAAAAGAGTGAGGGAGAGGGGTTTTAGGAGAGTTCCAGTGTGTGGGAACAGGAAGTGATTGAAAGGGAAAGGGAGACTAAGGCCAAGGAGACATTTGAAGGTAAGAACAAAGTCAAACTGTAGGAATAGGGAGCCACTGAAACCTGGCAAAGTTGGGTGATGGGCTCGCAGAGCCTTACGAAGGAGAGAATGTGGACTACAGAGTTCTGGTTGATCTGGAGCTCGTGGAGAGTAAAGATGGAAAAACAGGGTGTTGGACATGTTGTCTGGAGGTGACAAAGGCTGAATAACCTCCAGGTTTTAAAGAGAACTAATAGAAAAGACTAATTTGGAGGCCATACCACTAGGGAGAGAAATCCATATCTACAGTTAGTGTCACATTCTTTTTGTCGAATCCTCACTTTCAAATGAATTGCACTAAAATGTGTAAAAAACAGTAAAGCTTAAAACAAATACATTTTGCATTAACAAGTTTTCCTTTATTTTTATGCTATTATATAAAACAAATATTTACTAAACAAGTCTTCAAGATTCAAATGGGCTTCATCAAACGGGACATGGGCAAATTGCCTTTATATGGAGAAAAAAAGTGCAAGCTTACTCCATAGAACTGGAGTAGTCACGAGTTAGCATCAAGTCTAAAATGTGAAGTGGCATCACCTACTCTTCCCTAGTACATTTTCTGATCTCATTCAACTCCAAAGGTGATTGGAGAATGCAGAATGAAGAGTAAATACAACCCTCATTTTCTTTTCTCCATTTATTATCTGGTCTACTTACTACATTTGTGGCTGTAGTGCTCCTGTAGTTTCGGAGGGTTCTGGTTCGCTCAGGATCAGTCATCCGGTTTTCATTTCCCTCTTTCTTTACTCCAGATATATTGGACTTTTCTGCATTTCCTTAAAAAAAATTCAGCACTCACAGAAAAGACTAACATGGGTACTGACACCGATTATCCAGATTAAGCATGCTTATCTGAAGTACAGCGCTACTTAGATGCAAAGTCCCAATTTGAAGAGCATCAACTACACCACAACAATTTCACTTGAAAGCCCACTCCTACAAAGTAGGTTAAGACTTTAAAGCTATTAATCTGGGCTAGATTCAATCCAGCTCTCAATAACCAGATCTACCACGAGTGGATAATCTCGGACAAGATTGAACACAGCTGCACATCATTGTCAGCAGTTAGAGAAATCCATACACCACCAAGTTTCCTGGTCAATACCCAATTATTGTTCAAGTATTATCCATAACATCATTAAGAATTTCTTTTAAAAAATGTCTTCAACAAAAGTACAATGCTCAGTTACTGAGGGATTATGGAAGTGGATTATTTACAATACTTTCCTAACAGTAACTTGTATGAGATGTGTTAAGAATTCTCACCTCTGTGCCGATTAAAACAATTATAAAAATCAGGATTGTTTGGGGGTTTTAAAAACAATCACTTCAGTTGCACTAATAATTATAACAGTTTAATTTTAAAAAAGGAACAGAAACTGTCTTGAACCAGTACACGCCATCTATAATAGTACATTATTTGTATATAAATATATTAAAAGGATGGACACATTATGTGACAGCCATAAAATCTTTAAAATTTAATCCATTTTAATCATTCCATTTTGCTGACTGAAATAATCTTAAAAATATCAAATAAAGACTATACTAAACTAGTAGATGGAAGCAAAGGTGCATAATAGTAATAAATCCTTGCATTTGATATAGTACTTTACCACAATGAAGGTCTCAAAGCGCTTTACATGATGTGTAGTGACTATTTGTAGACTACTGTAGTAACATTGAACCTGGAAGATTCTCTAATATTATATATGTTTCTGCAATATAGATGTGCAAGAAAACAGAACTCACAAGTCCTCTGTGTAAAATTCTAAACAACATAAAAGGATATCCAGATAGACTCCATTACTAAGCACCAAACAAGAGTTCAATTTGTTTACACTTCAGTCTCCCATGGACTTGTGGTTACTGGAAATGTGACCCACTTCTAGTGTGGATTCGTTGTGCATGTGTAGTGGGTAAGAAGCCATTTTACTAATGCAGTATTCACATTTTTAAATCTGGAACACTGCATTCAACTGCTTGAATGCCTTTCAAGTCTTCAGCTGATTGTTTGGACCACCTAGATGATTTCTCAAGTAATCCTGTTCAATTCTCAACTACACAAATCCTCTTTGTACTATGGGTCAATCCAATCCAGAAGTTACCATCCCAGTCTCAATTCATAAATAAGGATCCTTAAATTTACTACTTCACGTAATTTCACCAGCTCTCTTCACCTGGTATGATTTATCAGTCATAAATCAGTTCAGATGAAAGCTCTTCAGCCCACTGGATCTCATCCTTCCAGAGTAACCACCCTACCATCTTTCCATTAGTCATTTTTTTAAATGAGTTTAGTCTCCTGGCCTGAACTATCTTTGTAAACCGTTTCAGTCATTTACTGCCCTCTAGGTAAAGAAATATTTGTCTGTCCTGATATATATCCTTTGCAATTCTAAACCTGGGTCACGTTGTTCATCTTGTGCATCCGAACGTACAGTTCTCAATCTCAGCTAAAATCTTGTATATCGTTATGTATAAAAGGTCCCCTCTGAGATGCTTTCAAGATTGAAGAACCCCAACCTTGTTTAATAATTGTTCATAGCTCATTCCTATCCTCATAACACCGAGAATTATCTTCATTGCTCTCATGTGGCTCTGGGCCCTGAGCAGCCAGCCCGGTTAGCCACAGTGACCAGAACTGTACCCAGTACTGTAGGTGCGGTCTGACCAGAGCACTATACACTATACAGAGGGGATACATTCAGTCACCTCTGCCCCATCCACAGCCATGCCCACATCACCTCTCCCTCATGACCCACCCCCCACATACCCACCCCATACTCTTTCGACCCTATCTCTCCTTCCTACCTCAACACGACTGTCCGCAAACTCAAACCTACCATCTTTCCCTCGATCCCATCCCCACTTCTCTCCTCATCTCCCAGTTCCACCTTCTGGCCCCTCTCCTGTCTGACATCATCAACCTCTCCTTGTCCACCGGTTCAGTTCCCACCTCCCTAAAAACAGCCGTCATCACCCCCATCCTGAAAATACCTTCCCTGGATCCATCACTCCTCTACAGCCACCGCCCCATCTCTAACCTCCCATTCCTCTCCAAGGTCCTGGAACGAGTCGTCGCTCCTTTCTTTCTCGCCATTCCATCTTTGAACCCCTCCAATCCGGCTTCCGTGCTGCCTATCGCACAGAAACAGCCCTGGTCAAAGTCACTAATGACGTTCTGAACATCTGTGATCAGGGTTCCCTCTGCCTCCTTGTCCTTCTCGATCTCTCTGCCACCTTCAACACTGTCGACCACTCCATCCTCATACACCGCCTCTCCTCCTTACTTAATCTTCACTGACCTGCCCTTGCCTGGATTGAATCCTATCTCTCTCACCGTCTCCACTTTGTTGCCTCTGACGGTTTCTCCTCCAGCCCCCGCACTGTCACGTGTGGCGCCCCCCAGGGCTCTGTCCATTTCTCCTCTTTAATATCTACATGCTCCCCCTCGGGGACATCATCCACAGACATGGGGTCAACTTCCACATGTACGCGATGACACCCGCACTCGCTTTGCAAGTGAGAGACCTGAGTTCAATTCCAGGCAGGGCGAAACCTTGGGCAAGTTTCCTTACTCCACACAGAGCCTAATAATAATCCCTCCAAAAAAAAAAAACAATAATAAATTGTTCATTTTCAATCTACGACTGTTTGTGGGACATTGCTGTGCGCAATTGGCTGCCGCGTTCGCCCACAAATATACAGTCAATTCACTTTACAGTGTGTTCTGTGAAGCACTTTGGGACGTCCTCCCGACGTGAAAAGCGCTATATCAAATGCAAGATTATTATTATTATTATTATAACTATCTCTCTGCCCCCACCCTCAACTCCAGGGCCACTGCTGTCCTGACAGACTGTCTGTCGGACATCAAGTCCTGGATGAGGGCAAACTTCCTACAGTTGAATGTGAATACGTCTGAGGCCCTCCTGATTGGCTCACGGCAGCGCCTCAGCACCTCAGGCTCCGGCAGCATCACCCTCCATGGTGTACACTACAACTCACCAGTCAGTCAGGAACCCGGGTGTCTTGTTCGACCCTCAACTGTCTTTTCTTCCCCACATCCAAGCCATGACCCGCTCTGCCTCCCCTCACCTGCGTAACATTGTCCGACTCCGCCACTACCTCACCCCTCAGGCCACTGAAACTCTTGTTCATGCCTTCATCACCTCCAGGCTCGACTATGCAAACGCCCTGCGTGTCGGCCTTCCCAACTCCTCCCTCCACAGCTGCAGATAATCCAGAACTCTGCAGCCCGTGTCCTCTCCTGAACCAAACTCTGTGATCCCATCTCCCCCATTCTCGCCCGATTCCATTGGCTCCCTATCCTTCAGAGGATCCAGTTCAAGATCCTGGTCCTCACATACAAAGCCCTCCATGGCCTCCCTACCTCTGCCACTTCCTAACCCCGTCAACCCGCCCATTCCCTCGGCTCAGCGGTTCCGGCTGCTCCACGTCCCCCGACCCACCATTGGTGGGAGAGCCTTCAGCCACTCTGCCCCCAACCTGGAATTTCATCCCCCAATCACTCCACCTCACTCCCTCCTTAGCCTCCTTCAAGTCCTGCCTCAAGACCCTCCTCTTCGATTATGCCACCTCCCTTCCCCTCCCTTCTCCCCCACCCCAGCTCGCATCTGAAATGCTGTCACTGTCAATGCAATCTTCTTGTTGTTTTCCACGGAATCCCCTATAAACAGCGTCCTCGACTATAAACTTGCTAAAAATTATGTTTCTGACACTGGATGTGCATCTGCATTCCACATTCCCTTCGCTTCACTCCCTCCCTTGCCTCCTTCAAGTTGCATCTCAAAAACCCTACTCTTCGACCGAGCCTTCAGACCACTCTCCCCAATCTCAATCCCCAGTTCGGGTCCAAATCCCTGACTGCCCAGAGGCTTGGGACATCCGCCGGCCATGAAAGGCACTATACAAATGTAACTTTGTATACGTAAGTGTCTCGGTGTGACTCCCTCTTCTCTGTCTGTGTGTATATCTCTTTCTGCCCGAGTATGTGTCTCTCTCTCTCTGAGAATGTTTGCCTCTGTGTGAGTGTCTTTTTCTGTGTCTGTGAGTGTGTCTGTGTGTATGTCTCTCTCTCTCTCTGGGTCGCTGTGTCTGTGTGCGATCCTGGGCCTTGAGAGGCAGGAGGTGGTGAGCTCCTGCAGCCCCCCGCAGCAGGACACTATCGTTAAAGAAGGTATGGAATGTGTTTTAGATACAAATTAACTAATCTTAAAGCCCCAATAAAAGTCAATGATGTGCAAAGGGGAGATGGAGTGATAAGTTTTAGTGGTACAAGATTAATATTTCAGAATAAAGCTACTACTAACCTCAGAGTGCAATTGATATAAAAGGTGATAGCACTCTCGCCTCCAAGTCAGAGGTTGTGGTTTAAACACCCCATTGGAACTTTGAACTCATAGTCTAGGCTAGCACTCCAGTGCAATGCTGCATGGTTAGAGGTGTCGAACTTCAGATAAGACAGTAAGACATTAAACATCTCCCTGTCCAGGTTGATGTTAAAGATCTCATGTCATTATTCAAAAAGAAGAGTTTCTCCCATCTCCTGGTCCAAAACTCCCCAAATAAAATTGATCACTGCTTGTAAGATATTGCTGTGTGCAGGGTTGACTGACTTCGCCAACAGCATATACAGTTATTAAACTTTGCAATTTATCCTGTGAAGTGCTTTGAGACTTCCTCAGAAAGTGAAAGGTGCTATATGAAATACAAGGATTATTGTAGTCTAAAAATAAATAGATCAAACTAAAAATAGAAGACCTTTGAGACAAAAGTAATCAACTTTTTTAAAAAAAATTAAGTCTGGTTGAAATAAAAACTGGAAATAACTGACATGAGAATAATTCTCTGTAGAGCCAGTGATGGTATATGCAAGTATACAATATTTGCATGCGCAAAAACACATTGTTGCAGTTCATTTCTCATTTCAGTTGTGATTAACTTGCTTATATCAAACATTTACTTTTTTATTGATTGTAAAACTGGCCTATCCAGCCAATGAAAATTTTCTCCAATTTTCTAAAATGGACAATGGGAGAGCAGGAAGAATGAAGACAGAAGTTGGGAGTGGGACAAATAGTAGAAAACAGTTTTGAAAGAACAACAATTTGGATTTATATAGTGCCCTCCACGCCGGACGGCGTCTCAGAGCTTCACAATAACGGATCCCGGGACCGAGCCAGGGGGAGGGGGATGATGGTGACCAAATGTTCAGTCGAAAAGAAAGGTCTCCAGCTGAGACCTGAAAATAGGAAGAGAGAAGGGGACGCGAAGGGAGTGAGGAAGGGAGTTCCAGAGTCTCAGGGCATAGCGGCTGAAGGCACGGCCGCCGAGGGTGAAGCGGAGGACTCGGGGGACGAGGAGGAGGCCAGACATGGTGGAATGAAGGCAACGGGCACTGTTTAGAGAGGAGGTCAGAGAGGTAGGGGGTTTCAGAGGAGTGGGGGATTTGAAGACACTCTGGGACAGACAGCCGGTGCAGTCTGGCAAGGACTGGGGTAATCGGGGAACAGAGTTTGGTGCGGGTAAGAATGCGGACGGCAGAGTTTGTATGGTCTGGATTTTATGGATGGTAGTGGAGGGGAGACCGGCGAGGAGGGTATTTGAATAGTCCAGCCGATAGGTAACAAAGGCATGCAGGGTTTCGGCGGCTTTTGAGTGAGGTATTGGCGGAGACGGGCGATGCGTCGGAGGTGGAAGAAAGCAGTGCTGGTGAGGAACCGGATGTGGGGGAGGAAGGATAATTGGGGATCGAACCTGACGCCCAGGTTGCGTATGGGTTCGGAGAGTTTTAGGGGGAGGTTGGGTAGGTGGAGGAAGTGAGAACCATGTGATTTTAGACGTTGACGAGAGCCAAAGAGTATGGCTTTCGTCTTGTCAACGTTCAGCTGCAGGAAATTTGCACTCATCCAGCTCCTGAGGTCTAACAGGCAGGCTGACAGAACATTAGGGGACTGGGGGTGGGGGGGGTCGCAAAGTGAGGTGGAAAAATAGAGTTGGGTGTCGTCCGCATAAATATGGAAGTGTACCCCATGTCTGTGGATGATATCCCCAAGAGGGAGCATTTAGATCAGAAAGGAGGGGAAAAAGGATGGATCCTTGGGGAATCCCTTAGGTAACTGGGTGAGAGTGGGAGGAGAAGCCAATTGTGCAGATGTACTGCTGGCGGTTCACGAGGTAGGACTTGAACCAGGCGAGTGCGGTCCCACTGAGGTGGATGACGGAAGCAGAAGAAGCAGAATAGTGAAACAATAAGTGTCAAGTAGGTTTTAAAAAGTTTGATTTAAATTCAGTATTTCAAATTAGGACTGTAATTTGTACCCGAATACACTAAAATGAACATTATCCGAATAACTGATACAACGTTAGGTAGGGTAGTAAATAGTGAGGAGGACTGTAACCAACTGCAGGCAGACATACACAGAATGGTGGAATGGGCTGACATGTGGCAGATGGATTTCAATGTACATAAGTGTGAGGTGATACACTTAGGGAGGAAAAATGATAGGAGGCAATATAGACTTGGGAGCTCAATCTTAAGGGGGTGAACGTACAGAGAGATCTGGGTGTTCAAGTAAGCGAATCATTAAAGGTAGCGGGGCAGGTAGAAAGGGCAGTAAAAAGGGCATTTGGTGTACTGAGCTTTATTAGTAGGGGCATAGAGTATAAGAGTAGGGGTTATGGTTAATCTATACAAAACACTGGTTAGGCCTCAGCTGGAGTACTGCGTCCAGTTCTGGGCACCTTACTGCAGGAAGGACATTAAGGCACTGGAAAGGGTGCAGAGGAGATTCACGAGAATGATAGCAGGAATGGGGAACCTTAGCTATGAGGACAGTGGAGAAGTTAGGACTTTTCCCATTACAGCAGAGAAGGTTACACGGGGACCTGATAGAGGTCTTCAAGATCATGAAAGGTTTCGACAGGCGAGATAGGGAAAAGCTGTTTCCGCTGGTAGGTGTGTCTGTGACTTGTGGTCACAGTCTGAAGATATCTACCAAAAGAAGCAGAGGGGAGGTTAGAAGAAATGTTTTCACTCAGCGAGTTGTTGGAATTTGGAATGATCCGCCCGAAAGGGCAGTGAAGTCCGATTCGATAACAGCTTTTAATAGAGAACTGGACAGGTATCTGGGGAAGACGGGTTTGCAGGGTTATGCAGAGAAAGCTGGTGATTGGGGTTAGTGAAAGTGACGCTCTGTCAAAGAGCCGCACAGACTCAATGGGCCGAATGGTCTCCTTCTGTGCCGTAACATTCTATGAATCTATGAAAAAAACTATTACAGTGTGAAGCTAGAAAGTGACTTAGCTTAAAATGGAGGGAAGCCTATGGACACACGAATCCCAAAGTATGGTACACTTCCAGCATGGGCCAGCCTTACAGGAAGTACAGAGGAGTGCAACAAAGATGATTCCCAGTGTTAAGTGAATAAGCGATGATTAGACATGCTCTTCAGTTTTGAAAGTAATCATCTCAGAAAGATATGCAAAAATAAATGGGATTGAGAAAGCGAGCTGTCAGCAGCACCCTAAGAGAGGGAGCAGGGGACATTTTCGTTTTCACTGACTGAATAATATTCTAATTTTTTCTTTTTTCTTTAAAATACAGTGGGTAAACTAACATATACTCGCCGATCCATAAAAATCCAGTCTCTGTAGATTGATTGATAATCTTGAAACAAGAAACAGGACACTGGATTGTAAACTCTGATTTGATAGTATTTTGTACAATAAGCATACCAATACTGACTGATATGCAATTAACTCATACCACTTTCCCGTTTCATTGATCCAAGTCTTGTTTTAGGGCGCAGATCATGAATGTGGACCTCAGTGATCTCACTGGGCTCGGTCTTTACACATCCCACCTGTGAATTGAAGTGTAGTTAAGCTCTAGAGAAATTATGATATCCATTTCAATTCCATAAACATAAATGCTACAAAACACCACCACCACTAATTTTTATATCAATGATCGTTGTGTACGCAGCTCAATTCTTGGATTGTGAATCAGCACATATTGGATTTAGACTTAATATTTATCTCTGGTTGTGAAACTGTTTGCACGGTTGCTAAGAATGTGATTTTCCCATTGCCAGGAATACAATTTCCTCATATGGAGGGATTGCATTTCTAACATCTTCTGGATGCAATTGGATTTTTTTTTTCTGTAACTCAAGACATTATTTACTTTTGAACAGGTAGGGATGCAGACAGAGAGAAAATGAGAGAAAGTCAGTGAGTGAGTGAAAGACCAGGAGAGTGAGAGAAAGGGGCAGACACTGCAGTACTAATAGCAACAATACAACTACTTATGAAACATTTTTTTAAATTAGCGCCATAGCCAATTTGTATTTTGCTTGAAGTCCAATTATTTTCATGTTTACTTATCTGCAATTTGGCCATTCCCAATTAATTTGAATAGTCAGCTCTCCACAGTATATATATTTAAATATATATATAAATAAAACTGATTACATGTCTATAGCATTTTTAATGAATTGCACAGTAGCATTTTTACCCAATTGCACAGTTAATACCTGCAGATAAAACTAGTTGCAACGTAATATTGTCTTTCTACTGCAGAAAATGATTATCCATGAAACTGTATTCACCTCTGATCTCATCCGTTTTGCCCGACGTGTTTGTGTACTAATTTCTGAGGGTTGAACGGACTGGCGCTGAGCGAGATCATGTGGCTTGTACTCTTGATCTTTTTCGTCATTGACCAGTCCTGGCTTCTGAATACACAAAATAAAAAGTACAATATTAATGTTCATGCATAAATTACTACAACAATTAGTATTACAGCAACATGCATTGCCTGAAGCAAACTTGAGTCTCTTTCTTGTAAAATAGCATTTAAATACTTCACAACAAGAGAGGGGAAGGGGAGGAGGAAAATTTATAGATTTTTGACCAACAGCACAGGTACACGTTTCTCAAGGTTTAAAGGAGGGGGAAGAAAATGAGCAAACCAAAGTAATTTTGGAAGAGGGCATGGAAAAGAACAAAGACATGCTAGCTGACTTATCATCCTCCAAGGGTGGAGCAAAGGGAATGAGCAATGGGCAAGAGTCAAAAGGTCAAATGATATGGGATCCCCCATTAAGTGATTATACTCAAGAGAGGGATATTTTCCAATCAGTGAATTTCATCCTACTCAGCAGAGTTTAATCACTTTCTGTTCCTTTTTTTTCAAATTGAGTGCAAAAGAAACCATGAATTCAGGTAGGACTAATTAAACAAGGAGAAACCCATCACAAGAGTTTTTCCAACGCAAATACAGAAAAAGTCAAATATCAGTAATAACTTGTGAAAATTAATTCATTGTTTTTAACTGCACTTCTGCAACACTATAGGTAGTTTTTTTATATTCATTTACGCAATGACATTTTTATAAATACAATGGAATCTGCTTTCGGTGATTAACCACAGGTAGATCAAACAAAATGCCTGGCCCCGATTTATTTGTATTCTTCCTAGTTTTAAATATCCCTCTTGATTCGGATAAAAATCCTGTCAAGCCAGACAAAATGTCACACTGGTCCCCGCTGAGGGGCTCCATTGACCCAGGAGGGGCTCCGGAATTGGAAGAAATGGAGATGGGCAGAATCTAAGATCGATTGACAGCAGACCTCAGTGATTCACAAGTGGCTCGAGTTAGGCTGTCAATCAGTGAGGTGGGTGGGAAGGAGGAACAGGAAAGAATAAGGGAGGGAATATCGTGATTGATTGACTCAGCTGTCATGAGAGCTGTGGCAATGGCTACACCCATTGTCAGCACCACACTAATTGGTCCCAATGGGAACAGCATCAGGAGAGAAGAAATGCTGCTTCTTTTCTGGTGGGAGGGTAATTTGCAGCCAATTAAAAGTATTTTATTGAATTCTGTGAGTACAGGACTTTAACTAATTCCTAGGTTAAAACACTGTTTGGTAAGTTAGCATTGCTTCAGGTGAAACAACATTATCACATACAGTATTTTTATATGGCTTTGTCAGGCTCTTCTGCTGAGCGAAAATGGTATTTCAGCTAACCTCAGACGCCTCTTAAGCCATCCAAAACTGCCATCTATCTCCCATATGTTCGACTTAACCGGCTTCCACTGTACATCATTTCTAACAAACAAACTCCGCTAGAGTAGTGCAACAAACTTTTTTTGCCTTCAGTTTTGCACAATTTTAACAAAAACAATTCCATCTCAAAATTCTGCAGTTCTTATATCCCAGATGCTACAATAGCAAACTTGTTGCCAAGAATGAAGCAGAAATAGGAAAACCTCCAAAAGAGGCAGCAGACAGGTTAGGAGCGTGGTAGATACCTTGAATATCCTGAAAGTGATGGGAAGAATGGTAGAGGGAGAAGTTCTCAAAGATGGAAAATGTGCCCAAGTTTGGGGATGTACCATGCTGAACATAAATGCCACACTGCCATAATTATATGGCACTACCATAATTATATGAACCAAGTGTTCAGAGAGGGGATCAAGTCAAGCACTATTGCATATCAAAGGATTGATCACAAAAAAAAGCAGCAAAAGAGTTAGGGATGCTTAAAGTGAAAACTATACAAAGTAGTCTCTCTCGCTTTGCAAGCGAGAGACCTGAGTTCAATTCCAGGCAGAGGGCGAAACCTTGGGCAAGTTTCCTTACTCCACACAGAGCCTAATAATAATCCCTCCAAAACAAAAACAATAATAAATTGGTCATTTTCAATCTACGACTGTTTGTGGGACATTGCTGTGCGCAATTGGCTGCCGCGTTCGCCCACAAATATACAGTCAATTCACTTTACAGTGTGTTCTGTGAAGCGCTTTGGGACGTCCTCCCGACGTGAAAAGCGCTATATCAAATGCAAGGATTATTATTATTATTATTATTAAATCCAAAAAATTAAACAAATACAATTTTAAAGGCCAATTTTTATGACTTCCTCTCAGTTCTTCATTATGCTGAGATGGATAACTGGAGTGCCAGATGCATCAGTAAATGAACACTAAGCATATTCATTCATTTAAAGTGGTGAAAAAACAAACCTTATTCAGAGCAGGAACAGCCACTAAACACATGTTTTTGGAACTGTCAGGTGTTTAATGTGAGAGGGTTTGAAAATATAAATTAAGTGCTCTCACACAGAGGGGTCGTCATTAACAGATCAGGGCTTTTTTCTAGGCTCTTCACCAGCAAACATACGACATTTAGCTGGCAAAAGCACTTCCTGCTAGAAATAAATCTATATGGATAAGTTTTTTTTTTACTTGTATCTAGGCCCACAAGAAGGATTTGTAGTCAATTTTTAAAATGCAAGCTGGATAGGTTAGGAAGAAACACCAAGAAGCAAGATGCAAAAGCTTTGAGTTTGTGCTGAAATGTACTATATTTCAAGTTCTTGCCACGCTGGGACAAATTCCAGATCAGGAAAAGCTGAACAGACAGAAAGGATGATTTTAAACTGATTTAGATAGGAAGGATTGTTTCTAAAAATTTCAGCAGACTAAAACTTTCCATAGCCTCCCAGCAGCCCAACACCACGCTGAGCAGTCTCACTGTCCTTGCTTGCATTCCAGTGGCTAGGGGCATTACCTTTGACTCAGATTGTTTGAATTCAAATCAAAATGCTAGTACTAGGATTTTTTAAAAAATGCTGGTAGATGGCAGCACCAGAATTGTAATACTTAGCAGGAAATTCCAGCTCACCGGCCAGATATCTACCCCCACACCCCACCACCAACTTGTCCAGCTAGCCAAGGTTTAAATGTATTAGGAAGGCAAAAAGCAAACTCAAAACAATAGAATGAAAAAAGTTGGGAGTAGGAGGTAGGAGGTATCTGAGTGCTGCTAGGAGGTGGAGATGGAGTGTATGAGTTGACAAAAAAAAGTGAATAAGTAAAAGAAGCCTCAAAACTGGAGTCCTGTAGCTCAGTGGTTAGAGCACTCGCCTCACAAGTGAGAGACGGTTCGATTCCCGGCAGAGTGAAACCTTGGGCAAGTTTCCTTACTTCACACGCCTAATAATAATCCCTCAAAAAAAAATTGGTCATTTCAATCCACGACTGTTTGTGGGACACTGTTGTACGCAATTGGCTGCCACATTTTGCCCACAAATATACAGTCAATTTACTTTACAGTCTATTTTGTGAAGCGCTTTGAGACGTCTAGAAGACGTAAAAAACGCTATATCAAATGCAAGGATTATTATTAACTCTACACAAACAGCGCAAGTCTAAAAAATAAAATCAGAGATTTTTACTCGAATGAAAGTTATAGGCTTCAGCAACTTAATTAATTAAATATAATGGTTCCGCAGGACTAGAAAAGCATTATCTACAATAACCTGGCCTTATATCAGCATGGTTCATGTAATACAGGGTGGTCCAACTGGCAGCCCGCATCTCCCTCCATTTCATCCGGCCCACCCACTCCCTCTGTAACCCATAAAAATGTAACATTACGTTTCTGGAAGGGAAACACAAAAATATTGCTTATGAAGCCCATAGTCGTTTCTTAAATAGTGCATCCAACTCTCAGCAGCCAAAAGTTTGGACCACCGTGATGTAATATAATGCAAGAACAATATGGAAATCCAAGCACGTTATGAAGTGGGAGCAGTAAGACAATGTCACCAAAGCATCAGCCTATCACCTACAGCCCCTCGGTTGAACCACAAGGTTCATAAGCACCAGCTTCGAACAAAAATGCAAGGTTTTCAGTAGTCTGAAGAAGCATCCTTATGGAGTGGAAGGATCCATGTTTCACTGTCAAGGAGGGAGAAGTGAAAGGTCCAGGGGAGAGTAGACAACAACTATAAATTGTATTTAAAGGGTGACCAAAAAGTTTTGATAACTACCTTATTATCTATCAAAAAAATATAATTTCTTTAAGATTTGTTAGACATTGCAATGGTATCTCTAATTTTTGGTCATCCTGTATAAACAAAAATTAGTGAGACCATTAAAATGGAAAGTCTGGATGTTGCATGTGAGTTGGGAGTTGGATTCAGATGGGATGGAGGTCAAGCAGGCAGGGGAAGAAGGATAACCAAAGACATGGCCGAAGAGCAAGGTTTTTAGACTGACCTTGAAAGAGGGAAGGGAAACGGCATGGCTGAAAACTAAAATTTTATCAGGATAGATAAGACGTGAAACTGAAGAAAATCTTAGGGGACCGATTTCCCAAGCGTTCAGTGCCTTCGACATATAGATAACGATTTTTCTGATGATTTTAAATAACGCTTATTTGTATCACAACCATGGTTGGAATTGATTCTTCCATGACACCCCACACCCATTTTTTTTTAAATCACCTAACAAGCAAGATAGAGGCCAAGGGAGAATTTAAGTACCAGAAAGATGAGTGGGCCTTCCACATCACCCACTTTTCTTGGGTTAAGATGAGCAATGATTATATATTCCCACTGTCCCCACCTGGATGGAATATCTCACAACTCTGCTCCTAGCTGATGAATCTCAACCAGTAAATCTGAGTTGGTTTTGTCACACAGAAACTTTGGGGAGTTTAAAATTGAGCAACCTGAACTCTCAGGTAATCTGCCCAATGAAAATCCCTTCCAGTCCACATTGGAATTATTTCTGAGGGAACACTGAAATATGCTCCCAACTTTTCCTCCAAATAAGAGCAACCCACTTAATAAACATGCTATACTCACCAAAAGACTGGCTCCAGACTGGAAAAGATTATAAGGATACAGGATACGTTCATAGTGTGAACGAAGAAGGGAACCCAATGCTTTTCCTGGTAGATATCCCATCTTATGTGCCACTTTTGACCATCGTCTTTCCTTACACACTGTGTCAAACCCACCTTCTTCTGCGACAAGCTGCAAAACAATATAAGTATCTGATGTACAAAAAAGAAAGAATGTAAAGCATAAGTTTTAAATTACTTCAGAGAAGACCGTTACATCTGATCTGCAAATTACAAGGAGAATCACCAAAACAGTGTGCTACTGATTGTAGTAGTTCCAGTTTATTTGAAAGATGGTGTCCTACACAAGGCATTCATTGCATATGCCCATCAGTCCCACCCTAGTCAGGCTCCACTGCTGCCTGATATCTCAGCGAAGCTAAAGACACTCGCAGCCCCCTAACTCTTCATGCTCTCCCTTGTTGTGTCCTTCTTCAGACTAGCTCACCCACATTTCTCAGCAGACATGGCCCTGTTGCACATTCCACATTCTATCTGTCTTTAAAACTCTCCTGAAATCCTACTTTTCGAACGTGCCTACTGCCTCCTGTTCAGTGTTTGGCACCATCTCTGTAAAGCACACTGCTACCCTACTTGAAAGAAAGAGGTTATATTATATTAAAGAGCTCAAAGACGCTACTCACGTGAAGGGCACTATATAAGTGGTGTTGCATTGATGCAAATAGCTTTTGTTACTGAATATACAGGGGTGACCAAAATATCTTGCCCGATTCATTTTGCAGTCAATGTACTTCCAATTAAAACAAATATTGTGGATATAGCAATCTCCACCCTTGTGGAGAACATGTGGTTCTTTGCATTTTTCTGAAATGTTTGCATTATACAGTACCTTTTAACCTTGGAAGTACAATTTTAAATGACCTGAAAAAAAGAGCTATGCTTGGAAGCTTCTACCAGAATAATACAACCACAACTTTAATTTATATAGTGCCCTCACACAGGGCAGCGTCCTAGAGTGCTTGACAGTGGTGGGGCACAACTTCAACTAATGATTCAACTAAACATTGTTTGTCTTCAAAATCCCAGAGAAAATGTAGATGGATTATGTCTCTAGTGTGAATGAGTTTCTGTGGGAGATTATCCATTCTGATTATTAACACAATCAGCAGTTCAAGCAAAATCCTGAAATTCTTATGCATTCAATGCTTTTTTGAAATTCTCATGAGGCAAATTTAAACCCATTCAACATTATCCCTCCCTTAAAGACTTTACTGTATTGATTTTTTGAAATCTGAATTAAAATGGAACACTTTTCACTGCAACAATTAACGGTAGTGTCTGACTGGTAGTATTATATTCTATTCTAGTTCTGGTAGACAATATTTAAACATGGAAGTTTAGAAGTATCCAGAACTCAACATTAATGAGAATGTTATTCTTGATTTGACAAAATCTTACCTTATTGAGTAAAAACAAATCCAAAATCTTTCTTTCCACATGTGGAATTTTTAATGTTGATCCCTGTAGTTCCCAGAATTTTGCTATCTGGTCGAGGAAGTTGAGCTTTACTCTGGTCTGAGCCTACAAATAAAATGTTTGATGAGCATTCTAAATACAAGCATAGAACCAGGATGAGGCCATTTACCCATTGAGCCTGTTCCAATTTATTAAATCATAGCATATAGTGTGGGAGCCGGTTAAGCCGGACACAACAGGAGAGATATTTTGTCCGACTTAAGAGGTATCTGAAGTTAACCAAAATACCATTCCCGCCCAGCGGAAGAGCTGCAGTGGCGCCGTATATGCCATAATGGTGTTTTACTTGAAGCAATGTTAACTAACCCGTGAAAGTTAAGACTCATAGAATTCAGTAACATATATTTACCTTTGTTTGGCTGCAAAATACAGTACTTTCCTGTTCGTTACCTTCCCATTGGACGGGAAGCAGACCGGTTAGCAGTGGTGCTGAAGTGATTGACAGCCTGCAGCAACTGCTCCACGCATTCACAAGCAGCTCAGCTGTCAATCAATTATGATTTGACTCCTCCTATCCCCTCCCTTGTCTTCCCCATTCCTGCACCCCTCACTAATTGACAGCACAACTCCAGCCACTTGTGAATGGCTGTCAATCGCAATTTGACGCCTACCAGCCACATGTCCCTCGTAGGTGAAGGCATGACACACATAGAAGCCCCAGTGAGTACATTCAGCGCTGACCAGCGCATCATTTTGTCCAGATTTTCATCCAAACCAATTGGCATATTTAAAACAGGCAAGAATACAAGTTCGTATTCAGCCGGGCATTTTGTTCGATTTATCCAACATCCTGGCAAAGCAACTTCAAGTGTACTTCAAAAACAACCACAAAATTCATTTATATAGCGCCTTTCATGTCGAGGACTTCCCAAGGTGCTAGACAAGACAGTTTCAGACCTGAGCTGAGGGTCGCGGAGGGGGGAGGGCAGTGAGGCGAAGCAGGGAGATCGAAAGCACGATGCCCCACTATTGGCAGACGTGCCTTCTGCCACTCTGCCTCCACCCTCTGGAACTCCATCCCGCAGCCGCTTCATCTCGCCCCTCCTTCGCCACCTTCAAGTCCCACCTCAAGATCCTCCTCTTTGACCGTACTTTCGATCTCCCTGCTTGCCCCCCTGCCCTCCCCAACCCCCAGCTCGGGTCTGTAACTTTGTCCAGCACCTTGGGGCGTCCTCCCGACGTGAAAGGTGCTATGCAGATGTAATTTTGTTGTTGTTGGTTAGCAGTGACTGTTCTCATGACTTTGTGCAGCAATTGCTATGTTACAGGTTAAGTGAAGGACAATAAAGTGTAATTGAGAGCCGGAGTAATTACTATGAAGGGTGGTAGGAGGCCAGGTCACTGGACGTATTCAACAAATCTTGAATACTTCAAAGAAAATCCATTCCATGACTGTTTGTGGGACATTGCTGCGCGCCATTGGCTGCGTGTTTCGCCTACAAAATACACAGTCAATCCACTTTCAATATATTCTGTGAAGTGCTTTGAGATGTCTCAATGACCTGATAAGGCGCTGTATCAAATGCAAGGATTATAATTATTAATTTAGGAAATGAGGAAGGCATTCAGCCCATCAAACCTATTCCACCAATTAGATTTCTAGCATAGCTATCGATCACAATGCCTTGTCCTATCTCTATACATCCTAATATCTCTTGTTCTCAATTCTCTGTTTCTTAAACATCTCTGCCGTTACGACTTTTTGTGGCAGAGCATTCCATGTTTTCTCATCTCTTGTGAATCGAGTAAGGTCGGTATTTTGGAATAAGTTGAAGGACCTTTGCCAAAACTTTTTCTGATCTTGTGAACAACTCGCTGAATAAAGTAATTAGCTATGGGGAATTCTATCCTTGGTCTCTAACTACACTATCTTATCCTGTAATTGTATATAGATCTTTGTCTTTGTGCCCTAAGGTTCTTCATAAAGTACCGATTTATAGTAATTACTGAGTTGTGCTTGTAAATGTAGACAGGACTACTGTGAAGTATTTCAACGGGGATAAAGAATTATACATTTTTGCTGAATTTATGCTATACCATTGAAATCAAAATGACCATGCTTCTTCTCTTCAATTGCAGGATTGGCAGCCACCATTTGCCTGTGATGTTGACAAGCTGCATTTCACACCTCGAATTCAGCGGCTGAATGAATTGGAGGTAATTTTTTTTATTTTACCCCAACCAATTTTTCTTGAATTGATTTTATGTATCTGAATATAGAATATTCTTTGATCATAATAATAAATAATAATAATCCTTGCATTTGATATAGCACTTTTCACGTCTTCTAGACGTCTCAAAGCGCTTCACAGAATATACTGTACAGTGAATTGAATGTATATTTTTTGGGGAAACATGGCAGCCAATTGTACACAGTAGTGACCCACAAACAGTCATGGATTGAGTGACCAGATTTTTTTGTTTCTGTTTTGTTTTTATCGATTAATTGCAGAAAATTGCAGCATTTGGAGATTCTTATTTCAAAATATGTTCAACAACAGGCCTTCATTACTTCGAGGCTCGACTAAGAACTCCCTGCTTGTCAGCCTCCCCAACTCCTCCCTCCACAGGCTGCAGAACAGCCTGTGTCCTCTTCCGCACCAGGCTCCGTGACCCTATCACCTCCATCCTCGCCCAACTCCACTGGCTTCCCATCGCACAGAGGATACAGTTCAAGATCCTGGTCCTCACTTTCAGAGCCCTCCATGGTCTTGCTCCCCCCTTACCTCTCCGACCTCCTAACCCGCTACCATTCTGCTCGTTCCCTCTGCTCAGCGGGCTCTGGCCTGCTTCACATCCCCTACCTTGCTCGCCCCACAGTCGACGGGCAGGCCTTCTGGAACTCCACTCTGCACCCACCCTCTGGAACTCCATCCCACAGTCCCTCCGCCTTCGCCCTACCTTGCTATCTTCAAGACCCACCTCAAGGCCCTCCACTTCGAGGGTGTGTGAGGGGGTGGGGTGGGGGGGGTGAGGGGGTGGGTGGGGAGAGGGGTGTGTGAGGGGTGGGGGGGAGGGGTGTGTGAGGGCTGGGGCGGGGGGGGTGTGAGGGGGGAGGGGTGTGTGAGGGGGCGGGGGGGTGTGAGGGGGGGGGTGGGGGGAGGGGTGTGTGAGGGGTGGGGGGGGGGGTGGGGTGGGGGGTGAGGGGGGAGGGTGTGTGAGGGGGTGGGCGGGGGGGTGTGAGGGGGTGGGGTGGGGGGGGGGTGTGAGGGGGTGGGGCGGGGGGGGGTGGAGGGTGGGGTGGGGGAGAGGGTGTGTGAGGGGGTGGGGGGAGGGGTGTGTGAGGGCTGGGCGGGGGGGGGGTGTGAGGGGGAGGGGCGGGGGGGTGTGAGGGTGTGGGGGGGGGGTGGGGGGGAGGGGCGGGGGGGGTGTGAGGGTGTGGGGTG